GCCTCTTCAATTTGTGTTCTATATCCTTCGTGCCACATCAGTGCCACTCAGACTCTGCCTTCCTATTATTGTTGAATTTATCCTTGTTGGTAGCTTATATATCATCATGTCTTTCCATACTGTCAATCTCAATACCTAATTTTGTCAGGAAGTGATGCTTGGACATGTGAGCAGAAGTGTGGCCCAAATTGCTGGCTGGCCAGCAAAAATTGTGACATTGTGACACTTGTGACTGGTAGCACTCTCATGTAAGAGATCTCTATTGAGGTGAAACAGGGTAATATAGATTCATGGACATGGTAGTAGCTGTATAGATAGTCCTACAAGTTAATGATATAGAGTGTTTACTCATACTGATATGAGTGCTCTCAGAGCTCTCAGAGCGTGGGTTCTGCTATCAAATCAGGGGTGGGAAAACACACCGGCTATATAGCAGATACCGGATTTCCTGATGCATCTCCCCCACCAATTCTCATGCGGCACCTGCGCAGGTTGTCGACATCGGTGACGGCCTCGTCGTCAAGTATGGCGTCACCACGGGCCTTTCGGAAGCTCTAGCGTCCGAGCTCGTTCGCTCTCAAACCAGCATCCCTGTTCCTCGTGTTCTCGCCTACTATTCCGACTCCGAGTCCAGGATTCCGTATAAGATCGGATACATCGTGATGGAGAAGGTCGAGGGTGTGATGCTAAATAGTATCTTGGAGATGTTGGACGATGCCGCGATCGAGTCCATCACTTCTCAGCTGGGGGAGTATCTCAGCGAGATGAAGAAGCTCGACAGACCTGGGGAATGGGGAATGGTCGGAAAGAACGGGATCTATCATCGCAGCCCTTATTTCACCTACCAGTCTCCGTTTCACGCCAATTCCAGGACATCAAACCCTCTTCGAGCTCGGTGCTGCAGAGACTTCGTGGAACATTTCGCCCAACTCGTCGATCGCAGCATGAACGAGAAATGGGCCGCCAGCACGCGGGCGATAGTCGATTCTTTCAACAACGATCTCCCTTCCTCGTTCTGTCATCCCGATCTCATTCCGGAGAATATCATGGTTGACAAACGCACGAATCGTATCACTGCCATCATCGACTGGCAAGGAGCCGGCTGGTATCCGTACTTCTTTCAATCGTGGGTCGCCAACAATCGAATAAGCGTTTACTCACCCACGAAGTACGCAAAGTGGCATCGGATATGGACAGTCTTGATGAAGGCGTATCCGGAGTCGGTGGAGATGAATCGATTGCTTTGGGAAGCCGAGGGGTATGGCTTTGAAGATTACCCCACATCTGTGTAAGTGCTCTTTCCATGGTCACCAATCATCGATGTCATACCTGAACAAATTCTTACAGGTGCGACTGTTGCGAGTAGGAGCTCATCCATTTACTTGATTTTATTCTCATTAAGACTCCTGTGGCTCTGGTCTGAATTGCGATGATATTCCAACTATATACTTTGCACCTGGCTCTGTCCTGGGCTGGTGCTGCGCCCATTGTTCATATCGAACGTCAATGCACATCTATATCTCTTTCTCGCATTCCCTCGCGCTCTTGCTAACGACTAGTAAATCGAAGTTGGTCCCCCCCGGCACGCGTGTCGCGTGGCGCAATTCCCTCATCCCACCAAGCGTCACCCCCATTGCATTGCATCTCCTTTCCGTCAAGCGTCATGCACGCCGCACCTAGCTACGTATTCCCTCTACGGATTGTGATATCTGATATCTTGGTGAGATAGCACGGGAAAATAACGGATAGCGCGATATTCGCCAGAGGCGTCCGCTTTTGTGGACCAGCATCCTGCAGAGATCTGATACGGTGAGCGGATTATGCTGCTGGGCGTCCGAGATGTTTGCCACCTCAATTTCTGTTTTTATTCGCTTCCCCATGGTGGGAAGGCATGCAACGCGTGGCTATAACTCACCTGTCTATCTGTTGTTACCCTTGACCTTCCTAGTCGCTTGTTCCTCTCTGCCCTTGACGACTCGGAATCTTGCTTGCAGTCTGAAGGTGCGAATGTATGTCACTCAACGTCTTTTCCCCTGTATGAGTACATCACATCATTCTGACCTCTTTTTCTTCGGCGGCGTACATAGATAACCACGAATTTCGCATACACCGTCAGTGCTTAGCTCAAAGATGCATTCGTCACCTGTCGACGTGGAGGACAGCGCCTTCCACGGCGGCGACAAGCTCAAAAGCGAAGCACATCAGACTGCATGCCTCGAAGGGAACCCCAGTGCTGATATATCATCGAGTGCCGAGACACGTCGAATGTCGACAGTGAAGAGTAGATGGGGCCTTTTGGCGCTGAGCTTTCAGACGCTTGGTACGTTCCGTACCTACCCCTGCTCTATTCCTTCGCCACAGCTTCTTCAACTCTCATGCATTTTTTGGGACACCGGCCATCGCTAACACTCTTGATCTACAGGAATAATCTATTCCGACGTCGGTACCTCCCCCGTCTATACAATGAACGGTTTGTGGCCGGCGACTGGACCCGTGCCGTCCGCGGAAGATGTGGTGGGAGGAATCAGCGCGATCGTTTGGGCGTTGACCATCATTCCCTTGGTTAAATATGTGCGTTGGAAGTGCTTGTTTATCAATACTGCGTGTTTTTTCAGACTGATGGTGTTGGTGAAGGTATTCGTTGCCTTGAGGTTCGGCACGAGTGAAGGTTAGTACTCATTCTCTGTTGTCTCTCAACTCGACTACTGTAACCGAAGTTGATAGAAGATGTTGTTCTAAGGCGAGGGTGGTATATTTGCACTCTACCAGGGTCTTTATCCGTATACTTCCCTGGGAGTCTCAGATGTTGTCGCGAATATCTCGCCAACGGACCCATGCAGCCCCAAACCGATGAGGAAGAGGAGGATACCGCCTCCTTGTATGCGTTGGCCGTTGCTTATATGGGTAAGCCCTGCGATATACTTGAGAAAGTTGACGGATTCTAAAGAACCTTGTTGACACTGTGGTGCGGTGATGCAGGCCCTGTTCGGAACGAGCCTGACCATGGCGGATGGGGTGTTCACGGCCGCGGTCTCTGTGACCAGTGCTGTGGGAGGGATAGGTATGCACTTTGTTTCTCTTTCTTCTCTCCTTCGTCACGGGGTCCTTCGGTCTCTGATTGGCGCTGTGGTTATGTAGCTGTCGCTAAACCAGAAGTTTTCAACTCTGTCGTCCCTATATCTATCGTAATCATTCTCACTTAGCCACCGCATGATACGCAGATACTAACTCTTTATTTGTAATATAGGGTTTCCTTCTCGTGCTATTCCTCGCACAACCTTTCGGGACGCACAGGCTCTCCGTCGCATTTGCTCCTGGTACGGCTCATTCATCCGCTTTGCGTTTTGATTAAATAGCAAATCTTCAACGGGCTGACGTGGATGAATGCTCTCAACACGAAGTTACGGGTATCTGGCTCCTCATAATCGCCGGTTCTGGCATCTGTAATATAACACAGTACCCTGGGATATGGAGGGCCTTTGATCCGTCGAGGGCTATTATGTGTATGTCTGACTCTTCTCTCGCTCTTATGGCCTAGCACTCGACCCTTTATGGAAGCTGACATGATTTTATCGTCTTTTTACACATGCTCGTAGATTTTGTGAGGACAGGAAACTATGATCTGCTCGCCGGGGTTTTGTTGGCTCTGACGGGTTGTGAAGCCATGTTCGCGAGGTCTGTCGATTTGGCGTTTCGCTCTCCTCACCTCTGGACGTCTCGAACCTAATGTCAAATATAGTTTGGGCCACTTCAATATGCGCTCTATTCAGGTTGACTTCCCTCCTCTACTTGCCCAGAGTTTATATTTCCCACTAACAGAGCCCCTTGCACTTCCATTCTCTTATTCTCCCTCACCCTCTCATCACTACATAGATCTCCTTCTCCACAATCGTCTACCCCTGTCTCATCCTTGCCTACCTAGGTCAGGGAGCAAGAATCGTCGTGGATGGAGAAGCCGTCATGTCCAACATTTTCTTCCTGACGGTGCCTGGAAAGGCTAATGGGCCTCTCTTCTGGTGCGTATTGCCAAGTGGTCAGCGTTGTAGTTGGAGGACTGACATGACGTGGTTGGGACGAAGGGTCATATATGTATTCGCTATTCTGGCAACGGTACGCAATCAAAACTCTTAACGTCACTCTCTGTAGCGGTAAAAGATGTTGACGCTGATTTTGACAATGTGTTGGTCAATATAGCTAATAGCTTCGCAGACGATGATCACAGCGACGTTCAGTCTTATACAACAACTGGTCAACATGAAGAACTTGCCTGCGTACGTCGTTAACCTACAGACATTCGGCCAAGGCTTACATATAACTGGACTATGTAGTGTCAGGATGGTGCATACTTCCAATACGATCCGAGGTCAGATATACGTACCTGCTGCTAATTGGATTTGTGAGTCCTTCACCCTTAATTATACTACAAGTAATAAACAAGGCTGATTATGAGTGCTGTCTAGTGATGACTGCGACGATCATCGTCGTTGCCGTCTTCAAGGACGCGACACAATTGACAAACGCATACGGGTCTGTGCCTTTCTACATTGCCTTCTCGCTTCATCGTTCTATAGACCCACATCATCCACTATCTAGCTGACCTTGTGATGGAATAGGTTCGCTGTGTCAACGGTAATGTTTACGACTACGGTCCTGATCACGATCCAGATATCATACGTGAAACAACTGCCTATTGCTGTAGCGTTATTGTATTTTGTGACGTATGGGTTCTTTGACGGTGAGGATTTTCCACCCTTGCTCCAAGGTAGAGCCGTAACCTCGTGCGATGGCAGGCCTGTTCTGGGGTGCGTCGTTGAAGAAGATACCGGAAGGAGCTTGGGTACCGCTTATGATGGGCAGTATTCTGTGCGTAGTTTTGTGCCCCTTTTTCAACGCGTACATAGCTCACGGTGTAAAATTGATATACTACAGGTGGATTTTGATGGCATTTTGGGATTGGGTCAAGGTGCGTGCATATTATCGTGTGTCCCTACGGGCTCTGAGCTGATTTTTCACTCAGGGACTGGAAGAGAAATTCGACGGTTCTTCTCGCCAAAAGCTCGAGAAACTCATCGTCCGCTCCGTACCCGGTGCAGATTCATCATTGCCCACCCTGGAAAACCTTCTCGGCATTCATGGAGCGTCTACCTCACCATATTACAGTGTACAAGCTGAGAAGGTTCGCGGGAGGGATCCGTCAATCGGCCAGGATATCGATGACGAGGGTCGGGAGTCAGATGTGCAAAATATATTGAGGGAGGTGACAAAATATTTTCTGGTTCAGACTGGTGGCGAGGTTGGGAGTAAGCCATGGGGTAGTGAGAAAACGGAGTTGGTGAGGTTACCCATCGTCGGGGTATTTCACAAGATGGCGAATGAGAGGGGAGTTCCGCATTCATTTATAAGTGAGTTCGCAGGCACACACTTGGACATAAATGTGTTAATGTTGTGTTGTCATCCTACAGGCTTCGTTCGACAATGGCCTGCTCTACCAAAAGTGGTGGTGCGTGCCGAATCCCGTCAACGTCGTGTGACAGTGACTTACAGGAAAGCATTTTCCACAGATATTCCTTTCCTTCAAGGTCCTGCCCTTGGCCCGTGTCCCGATTGAAGACCGTTATACCGTGGAGACGGTAGACTTGATCCCCGGTTCGTCATCAATGAGTTGGCTGCTCATCGACCCGTATTTCAGCCTGACTCGCCTTACTATAGGTGTATATATTGCGACATACCACGTAGGCTTTAGGCAGGGATCACCGGTCGAAGTAGGGTTTCTATGCAGCTTCGTCCCTAAAGCATCATCTCACAGTGCACTTCTGTGGATAGGTTTCTGAGCTCGTGGAGCGTATATGTGCTCTTGAATCTCGATCGGACCCAAGGGAACTCATCTCAACCGATAAGAATATTAGTGCCGTCAGTCATCGCTATACCCATATGTCAGTGCCTTCTTTTTCGTGCACCGGTCTTCTGGTCTGATTTGCCTTTCTTTTCTTCGCCCCATGGCTCAAACATCTCTTTTTTCACGCAGCGTTCCCCACTACGAGATTATTAGCAAACAAACCATGGGTGTAGGACTGCTTTCTCCGGCCGTGAATTGCGTTAGGCGGTTCTTGATCCAGGATATCTATGGAAGGCTATGTACGTTCGTCTCACTTCCCCTCCGTCTCTGTCAGACCTGAACATGACGTCTAACGTCGCTACACTGATTAGGTGTTATGTTTCCAGAGGCGACGAACTGGATTGCTACTTCCGACGAGTGAGTGGTCTACGTCTTGCAGAATGCGCTGTTGAGAGGGTATCATATGCCATTTCATCTCATATTTTCTTTTGCAGGATCATCTGTATCGGCATAACTGCCCGCATTTGATTGTTCCATTATACTACTCTTGTAGTAGACAGTCGGTGGAGGAAACTTCGTTGCATTACGCTTTCAAGGAACAGATATTCTCGAAACTATCGCCGCTCTGTCTCTTGGCCGCTAGAATTTTACAGCGTAGGTCTAAGACTTAGCGAATTGGGCACTACCAAGCTGTGGTATTACTATGTTGGCGAATCAACTGTGCCAACCGCCCCTTGGATCATACAATAGCTGTGAACTCCCTAATTGGCGTCTGGTATCGACTGTTCTTCCCGACTTACATCGTCGTCTGGGTTACATTTTGTGTGCTTAGTTGAATGTGGTCCTGTCATATTTTTGTGGTATAAACCCGTGCGTTTTATCCTATCACATTTTGCATGGTGCAGGAATAAGGATGGAGGCAGCAATAAGTGGTCAATACGTCCTCAATGGTGTGCCGGCACCCAAGATATTGTGGCACCCTGGTGTAAGCTTCGGCCTCCTCCGACTTTAACTTTCAAGCTTCAAACACCGCTTGCGCCAGGTGGCATCGATCCTCTTGTTCTCTACGACTTTGGTACGACGAAAGACACCTCCGAGTACTGAACAAATCCTCAGTTAGTTTTTCGCTCACCCTGCTAATATCGCGCGTTTCAGAAGCTGTCAGTCATGCCTGCTTCCTTCCGTAAACTTTTCGCCCCATTCCCGCACGATCTGGGCGACATCCAGGAATTCATACCATCTGGACGTCTCGTCTCCCCCGCTGATTCTCATGGAACCACGCGGGTCGTCGACATCGGTGGCGGCTTGGTCGTGAAGTATGGCAACACGACACGACTTTCGGAAGCTCTGGCGTCCGAGCTCGTTCGCTCTCAAACTAGCATACCTGTTCCTCGCGTTCTCGCTTACTATTCCGACTCCTCCAAGATATACAAGATCGGATATATCGTGATGGAGAAGGTCGAGGGTGTAATGCTTAGTAGCATCCTGGAGATATTGGACGGTGCTGCGATCGAGTCCATCACTTCTCAGTTGGGAGGATATCTCAGTGAGATGAAGAAGCTCGACAGACCTGGAGAATGGGGAATGGTCGGCAAGAACGGGATCTATCATCGCGACCCTTATTTCACCTACCAGCTCCCCCCACCGTCTACGGTCACTTCCAAGAAATCAAATCCTCTTCGAGCTCGGTGCTGCAGAGACTTCGTGGAACATTTCGCCCGACTCGTCAATCGGAGCATGAACGAGGAATGGGCTGCCAGCACGCAGGCGATAGTCGATTCTTTCAACAACGATCTACCTTCCTCATTCTGTCATCCAGATCTCGTTCCCGAGAATATCATGATCGACGAACGCACAAATCGTATCACCGCCATCATCGACTGGCAAGGAGCCGGCTGGTATCCGTACTTCTTTCTGTCCTGGGTCGCTCACAATCGGGTGAGCGCGTACTCGCCCGCGAAGTATGCGCAGTGGCATCGGATATGGACAGCCTTGATGGAGAGGTATCCGGAGTCGGTGGGTATGAATCAGTTGCTTTGGGAAGCCGATGGGTATGGCTTTCAGGATCTCCCCCAGTCAGTGTATGTACTCTTTTCTACGTCACAAACCACTGCAATTCTCTTATCTGACGAATGGGATTTTCGTAGATGTGACTGTTGCGAGTAGGAGCTTATCCAACCTCCGATCTTCAGGGCCATTCCGAATATCAAGCTTCTCTTCCTGTTCCCACTACGATACCTCATGAGCTCTGACTTGTGTCCGGTTCGTTTCTTCAATAAAAGAGTTCGTATTCGCTGTGGTGTCCAGACTCTAAGAATATCACGACGTCGAAGTAAATAGAGAACGCAGGGACCTGAACGTCACCTGCACGAGTTTCGGGTGGCGGCGCGGACATGCATGTCCAAGTCAAGAGCGGAGAAGTCCAGGAAGTTCAAGGAAATCGAGGACATAAGGCACTAGAGGAGGGTAATGAAGTAATGCAGAGGTGTTGAGCATATGTGATGGTCCTTATGGACGAGTAGCTGTGAGTCAATGGACGAGTACATAGGGGGATGGGGTCAGTCTAAAGTCATTCGGAAGAGAGGATCCATGGACCGTGGTCCTCGGATTCAATCTCCGCTGCACGTGTCTACGCTAGACCAGTGACGGGCCTTGTTTATATTCATGAGTTGAAGTGAAATCAATTCTCCCTCCGGCATACGATCTTCGCCAAACACGCATTCTCCGGATTAAACTCCAAACTCTGTTCAATAGGTTCAATGTTCAAGTTGTGTGCTTGCAGTAGTACTTGAGTACAGTAACTCGAAGCACTACAATGTGGAGGGCACATGGTGTAGTTGGTTATCACGCTCGCTTAGCATGCGAGAGGTGTCCGGTTCAATTCCGGATGTGTCCACTAATGATGTCAAATGTCCACGATTTTTTTTTCCAGTCGTCACCCAGGTGAGTTCATAGCAGCCTTTGTCAACAGTTTTTGCGAAAATCATCTACTCTGCACGACTCAAGTGGTCGAACGATTTATTCATTCTTAAAGAAGTGGGAACCACTGCGGCCACTGGCATCGAGCTCAGTGGGCCTGTCGGGAGTCCGACATCCTATGTTTCCGTACTTATCTCAGACAGACTCACGTCACCCGATTCCACCAGGGTCTCTTTGGGTGCCTGTTCGTTTGCATTGGATGCCAAGCTGATTATTATTGTCCTTCAAACAGATGATAAGCGATCCATATCAAACACCCTTCTCTCCAGAACGCCCACCATGACCGACCCAAATTTCCACATCTCGACCCCACGCCTCTATCTCTCATACTTTCTACCCACCTCGGATGCTCATGTCGACTTCATCTTTGAATTGTTCAACAGTCCATCCTTCATCGCTGCCGTTGGCGATACCGGCATGACGACTCGCGATCTTGCACGAGGAAGGATTCAAGCATTCGTCAACACCCACGAGAAGATCGGATATGGCCAATACCTCATATCACTGAAACCAGACAACTCCTCGTCCTTCTATCTCTCGAACGCTACACCTATCGGTGCGGTCTCTCTCCTCCTTCGGGAAGGCTTTTACTCTGTCCCCGACATCGGCTTTGCCATCACCCCCTCCGAACATGGCAAAGGCTACGCTTCTGAGGCCGCCACCGCACTCATGGAGTACGCACGGAAGGAGCACGGAGTGACGCAGTTTACTGGGTATACCAGGCCGGGGAACATAGGGAGCAGGAAGACCATGGAGAAGTGTGGGTTGAAGTTTTGGGGAGAGATGAAGTTGAGGAGGTTTGAAGGCAGGGTCGATGCGGTGTACTGTTCGGACGGAATGGGTAAGGGACCGGACGGGATGAAGGAGTATGGTTATACGGAGAAGGAGATGGTATTCGAGAAGGAGGAAGAGTCCTAACGCTGCTCCGAAACGGTGTATGTATCCATATGCCTATCTTATACGCTTCGTCCATGCCTTCTATTCCCGCTCCGCCGCTTTTCACCCCGACACCCAATCAATCATCGATCCCATACTCCTTTAAGTCCCCCATTCCCGGCAACGCAAACACGAAGCTCTCATGGCCCCCAAACGCGACAAGCTTCCTCACCCCCCTCTCCTCCAACCCAACCTTCCCCAACACCTTCTTACTCTTCGCATTCCTCACACTCGTGAATCCAAGGACACCGTCAAGCTTCAAGTCCTCCAACGCATGCCTAATAATCTCTTTCCCCGCCTCCGTCGCATACCCTTTCCCATTCTCCTCTTCCAGAATCGCGAACCCTACGTCGGGGACTTTATAATGCCCCATCATCAACGAAACGTTTCCTATCGGCTTCGCATCCTCAAAACTCGACGAGAGTTCGGACGGAGAAGAGGATTCAGCGGAGTGAGATTTGAGCCAGATGACGTATTGTCCGAAACCGTATTTGGCCTGACGCTCGGAGAATGCGATGAGGACTTTGTGCGCTTTCTCGAGGGTGTCGATGCCGGTTTTGCCTTCGGCGGCGATGAAGATGGGTGAGTTGTAGAGATTGAAGAGGAAGGCGGCGTGGGCGTCGTTGGAGGGGAGGAAGTGAGTGATGAAGAGGCGGGGGGTTTCGAGGCGCCAGGTTGGGTCGGCCATCGCGTGTGCGGAGTGGTGGGTGGTGGTAAGGTGGATGGCAAATGATAGGGGTTGGTGCTCCGCCTTGGTTAGGTTTGTTGGGAGGAGTGTTCGTTGTTGATTCAGACGATATACACGTCGGTCGCCAGGACGCTTCGCTAGTAAGTCCCCTTCAATATTTCCCGCTCAGTCGAGTTCATTATATTTTCACACCTTCGAGTCACATCCAGTCGTGCACAAGCATTCACGTCCTCGGTGCCTTCGAGAATCGAAATCGATTGTCTGCATAGCGTCATGAGACGCAGAGATAACGACCTCCTCGGTCCTTGCTATCCCTCGTGCGGCTGCGTTATCCGTTCCTTAACGGTGTCTGATCGACCTGCCAGATAATTGATATTGAACACGGCCTTCCTGATGCACGGATCTGAAGCAGATTTGCGGTGCGTTGTGTATTTCAATTTTCAGTTTTGATCCCGAGCAGGATGGTCTTGCTTATCCGTGGTCACCTTGGGCTATTGAGCAACACTGTTTTGACTCGACACATTATGTTGATCTTTGTGCTACATAGAGAATCTCTAGGCATGCTCTCATACGAAGCCGCTATGTTGCGGTCTGACTCAACTCGTTTGAGCGCACGTTCCGTTCTTTCTACTAAGACTTACTCCACAGGACGTCCAAGGGACATCGAACGCCGCCACTGTCTTTCTAGGGGGGTCCTATGTCTGATGCGGTTGCGATGTACATTGGTCCGTGGTGTATCGGTTGCATCCTCGCTCTTTATGACAGAACAGCTTGTATCCATGAATTGCGAGAGGAGCTGGTTCGAGTCCGGCTGGGCCTACTTATACATCTCGTCCGTATATGTATATGCTTTTATCATGCCGGCATGTGCCTCGTATCTTGATCAAGACCATCTCAATATATAAATGCGACTGTCTCGAACCATTGCTTGGGGTGAGTTGCTGAGTGCCACCGTGGCACCCAAAACAACTGTTCGATTTACGTACGACCTTCATTTGGCCGTCACAACATCGGCAGTGTCCGTTCCTCCTCCAACCCGAACCTCATCAACGCGACGCGTGCACTAGGACGCGTTTGGACAGGTACTTAACGCGATATATTTCGTTCTCGACGCGCCATTGTATACTGATTATGTTGCAAAGACAGTCACAGAGGCCTCTACGTTTCCGAAACGAAGCGTCTAGAAGAAAACTGCTGCTTTAGCATCCGCCAAGGTCAGTATGCACGACTAGGTTTTTGTATCGACTTTCAATATGCATATAATACCTTCCCCCTCTTGATACGATAGATAACATATTCTTCTTCGAGACGATCTCGATTAATATTCCTCGCTGACGCTTATATCTTACCCGCTTCCATAGGTACACTGGTCCACGTTTTGCATCACCATGATCAAGGGGCTCAACGTATACTGCTTCATATGCGGAGGCCCAACTTGCAAACAGTTCGCCGACTGCGACGGTATATCTCTTCGGGGCTCAAACCCAGCCCCATGGGACGAACTGCCAGGCCTCACTTCCTCCGACGCATCCTGGCTCTGCGATAACACCGTCGCCGTCTATGCAGATTGTATCTCTCCTCCCGGCATCTACCAGCGCAAAGAGAACCGTCTTAGGCCCGCTGCGAAGATTGAGACCGTACTTGGGCGCATGTGCTTCAGTGGATTCGCAGGTGACTTGGACAAATATCTTAGATGGGGCGGCGAGGGGGAAAGAGAGTCATACCGAGAGCTTGAGGAGATGCTGCGGGAGATGGAATTTGTTGATGATGGCATACATCTGGATTCTGGTTTTACTCCGAACTGGGCGAGGGCGATGCGGCCGGGGGATATGACGGATTATCCGGTCGACATCGAACAAGGCGTCTACATCGCGCACGAAACCTGCCTCTTCCTCGCAACGGCCTGGTCAAAGACGCAGAATCCCTCACATTATGGCGATTCAACGATTACTGGTGAGCCCGAGCCCGACGATGTTCTCAAGTTTGGGATGTGTTCGGATCAGAGGACCCATATTGCTTCATTCTTCGTCTACGCGCTCCCCGCCCTTATACCGAACCTCGTCCCTACTTCTTTGGAGCCAGCAACAGCGGCTTTTTTCGCCATGACACGAGCAAATCTCTCCAAGATCGGAGTAGACCCAGATCTATCGTTCACACGCATTGACCTACAACCCGTCTTACGCGATTTTCTTCACGGTGTCGAGCCAACCAAGCGTTCAAAGGCAGGAGGCACATGGCTGGAGGGAAGGAAGAGCCACAACTTCTATCACCGGGAACAATACGGGATCGCACATCTTAAACGTCCAGATACTTTCCCTGTTGTCAGCCAGATCCAAAAGCCGAAACCGGTCCGCCTCTCGCCATGGACTGTCATCGGTAATCCTATCGCTCCGAAGGCATTCAAGCTCTTTCCCACATCCACCAAGGCCACCCGTGGCCACAGCCTACCTCTGGAAATCGTCCTGCGCATTCTAACGATAGGCGATATCGACGACTCGGACGTTCGCTCGCTCGAACGCGTGTCAAGATCGTGGAAGGATTTTTTCCGCACGCCCTTCATGCAGAAAGCGTGGTGGCGCGACGTGTGTTGTAAAGTGCCCTTCAATGGGTGCCTGTATCTTCCCACAGCGGCGGACTGGACGATGAGCGCGGAGATGGTGAGGATTGCGTTGAAGATGAAGGGAAAGGACGCGGAGTGTTATGACTGGAGGGGATATTTCATCAGGGCGAGGAAGGATTTGAACATTCAGAATCGACGAAGGATCTTGGAGGCGGTCATGCTCTTGGATAACATGATCAGGTCGCCGGCGAGCTCGACGTGAAGCGGAGCTGTAGACGAGCCGAGGGACGGCGTGGAGTCTTATATGTTTGCTTTTGCTATCCGTAGACATCCTTTGTAATTATCAAAGTTCTGCATCGTATCGTGCGGAGTATCTGATTTTCGGCCTTCGGTTCGCAGGCGTAAAAGTATCTAGACTGAAAGCTATTTGCCACTTGGGCCACACTTCACATCGGCTCGGGCCGGGGTATCGTTCTCGGGCGAATTCGGACGAACCCTCTTGCTTTCAACTATGTTCGCGCCTCGTTCTTCCCGCCGAATCCTCTGCGACTGCACACAACCCGCCAAGCGACAATCCGTAACGTCAATGGCTACTCTTATCATATTTGGGTCTCGACACCTGGAGATACTTGGTCATGGTATTTTGAGCGTGACGAAGGCTCTGAATGCAGATGAGTGAGTGGTGGACTCCTGTCTTGGGACTTGGCTTCCTTCCTTTCATCCCATTGGCGTACGTTTCTTTTCATCGACATCCACCAGTGTCTATCTGAAAATATGTGTATATATGCTGTATTGCTGAGCTGGTTGGAGCTCCACCCATTAATACACCGCAGTTGGTGCTATTTCTGTAAGTCCTTGAATTTCGATTCAAATCTACAAAGTACCGGATGCACGCATTACAACATACCTCATACAATATGGTGAGGGAGAGGAGCCTGTTAGAGCCTGGTTGGACCTGACCATGACTTTACCGCCGCTCCAACAAAGAATTGCTCAATGTATTTTATCACGGTCTATGCTTGATGACGAGTCTTGTTGATCAGCCAGTGTGAGGGTATGTTACGGGCCCATGGTGTATCGGATGCACGCTCGCGATGTGTGGCCGCTGTTATAGCATTGCACATTCGATAGCGAGAGGAGCCGGTTCGAATCCGGCGAGACCTGTTAAGTTGTGACACATTTTTTTGGTATGTTCAACACTTCGATCCTCACGCAGCACCATTGGTCTGCCCACCGCAATGCACACGTATGCGCAGATGATCACCGCGCACATGGTTTCCCTCAGTTCCCCTATGGAACTATGCTTCGTTCATCTAGAGGGAAGCATTTTCGCGTCGGTCGCACCGTAATGCGTACACGTCCATGCTGTATCTGGATGCACGTTGGCTCAAAATATGCGAGAATATATGAGTACTTGTTCTACGTTTGCGAAAAGAGCCGGTTCGAATCCGGCTGGACCTATATTTGTTCCAGACGAGGATACTTATTCATGAAAAGCAGGTATGTATTATCGGTATACTGTTGCTTTTACAGAGCACAGAGCACGAGCCTCGAATGTGCATAATTTCGGGTCCCTCCGCCTCCTTTGTTTCTTTTGTGCACTGTGATAGCCACGCACATCAGCGTCATTTCGGGACTCGAAGATCACATTATACAGGGCTATAGTATAGTGGTTGTACGTTCGAGATCCATGTATGTGTCTGGTGATACACATTGGTAATCCCATATATCATCGAGAGGGGCCGGTTCGATTCCGGCTAGACCTTCGTATAGTGCGCTTGAACTTATGTTTTTCCTCTTATCTTCTTTGGTTTCGTTAGGGTGTTCGTAGTTCCGCACATCCAGCGGTTATAGGATTCTCGAGCTCGCTATGTTTTCACTAAGTCCAAGCATCCGAATCTAGCCGAATTAGGCGACTAAGGAACTCGAACAAACCATACTTACCGCAGGCCCATGGTAGTTGCACGCTCGAGATCCGTAGGCTCTTACTCTACTATCATTATGGAGAGGAGCCAGTTTGAGTCCGGCTGGACCTGAGGCCTGAGTAACTGTCAGATCGAGGAACCCAACGTTTTCCTACCCTTAAGCTTTTTATTACGCGCACTTGGAGGATGTGATTGAGAAAGAGCAGGGGCTCATAGAAAGGAAACGCATGATCCCGAGTCCTTTTCCCTATATGTCTGGTTTATTACTTTGTACACCATGACAGCCCACGTCTAATCCACATAGCATCTTAATCTCGAGACTCGAGATAAGTGCAAGGGTCTATAGTGTAGTGGTTGCACGCTCGAGATCTATAGGATTCCATGGGAATAGATTATTGAGAGGGGCCAGTTCGATTCTGGCTAGACTTTCTGTCAAAGATTGGTAGGAGAATCTGTTTTTTTTTTCCTTGTTCTCGTCGGGCGCTTCACAGTATTAAGGGACTCGAACAAACCATACTTATCACGGGCCCATGGTGTACCGGTTGCATGCTCGAGATCCGTTGAACAGAGGTAGGAGTGTTTGTCGAGAGGAGGCCGGTTCGAATCCGGCTGGGCCTATGACAGACGAGAACTGGTGCAAACCCCCAATTTTTACGCATTTTGTGATGTGGGGTGTTCGTGATGATTCGGAGAGGCGGGACGCGTAGGAGGAAGTATAGAAGCATCGACGGAGAGAGCTGTAATTGAGTAAGATGGAGCATATATAGTCCTTGCGTACGAGACAGATACAAGACCATTGCGTCAACGAAACAGACTCGATAGACGGTCTACCAAGCCCTCAGAAAGAAATAAAAGGCCACGTCGTACGAGATAGTAGATCGAGACTCAACAGATGACACAATCGTCGCTCATATACTTGACCAGTCTGGCCTCGAACATCCCCCTCAGCGTTCCATGCTCATCGACATAACCTGACGCCCTACTGACCGTCAACAAGGTAAGTATGGAATCATAAAAGCCCCGGGAAAGACACGACGACTAAGGACGCACCCATTCCTCGCACCATCGAGCACACGCTCATCCAACGTCACCTCAACTTCGTATCCTCCCTCTTCCGGTTCAAAGCCTGCACTCGCTCCATTATGCATACTCATCTTCCCCTTCGCTTTGGATCGTGACATTGCATTCGTCGCAGCAGCCGCGGAAGAGTAAGAATAGGGAGCGGTGTCGGAGATAGGTTCGCCGAGCAGGTGTTTACGCGGTGACTGCATTCGGATCGATATATCGGGTAAGTTCTGTGGTGGACGAGGACTGTTAGAACCTGGCCCGGCGAAGGTAGAGGTAGAGGTCGTGGAATATGGGGTAGGACGGTAGGAGCCTGGCATGCCACCACTGGAGGTTTTCGGGGGAATGCTCGCTGTGATGGAGGAGGAGATCGGATTCGGGTGGGAAGAGGGATAGATTGTGAGACGGGAGTCGACATAGGTTGGTTGACTTCCGTCGGAGAGACCGAGTGCGACGCGGGGCGGAGAGGGTCCAGAGGAGGAGGGTGGTGCCGAGAAGCGGAGGTACCACATCCTGCCTGTAAAACCCAAGGAGCGACTAAATGTAAGATAGGGAGTTTCACATAAAAACAAGGAAGAGGAAATAAGAAACAAATGTAAGGGGAGAAACGGAGAAGAGGTGTGGTGTAGAAGAGGGGCTAAAGCACGTGCCTCTCGCGATCCACTCAACTCTCACCACCTTCGAGACCCTCATCCTCAACTGAAACTTCACGATCTCGAATCTCACCACAAACGCCCTATCAGCATCCCCACCGCTACCTCCACCTTCACCTCCTCCTCCAGCTGCCTCCTCAACCTCGATGACGTCACCCGCACTATCCCAGTCTTCCCCATGGCTGAGTAGGATCTCGTCTGAACCGGAGAGACGCGCGAATGATTTCGGAAAGCGCGATTTGATCAACGTGAAGGTCGAATGGTCAGAGTTGACCATACACACGCAACGGACTTCGGAGATCGTGTGTGGTAGAATAGGAGTCATTTCCGCGAGTAGAAACACAACCATATCAATCTCCTCCTCCTGTCCACCTCCATCACCTTCGCCCTCTGCCCTCGCTTTGCCTGTCTCTACTCTCCTGCTTACAGCACGTGCCCTCGGCCGTTTAACAATAGCCCAGTAAACAACCCCATGCTCCTCAATGAACCTCTCCTGCAACACCTCTGAGAAATTGATGCCGTTAGACGCGCAAGCTTCTTTACAACTCGCTAGGACACTGCTGATGAATGTTTCGGACGTATCCGAGGTAGGGCGCTGAACGAGATCGCGAAGCAGGGAGTGGATTGTCGACAGAAGTTCGGGTGGTGGCTTGGAAAAGGTAGGAAGGAAGGAGAACCATTTGCGTTGGATTGTGGTTGACGGAGGAGGTTGGGAGGCGAGGGAAGTGGGACGGGCGGAGGCGAGGGAGAATGGCGAAGTCGGGATTGGAGCACGTGGGCGACTGGGACCGGCAGTGGATAAAACGGAAGATAATGAAATAGAATCGCGACCGGAGGGACTGTATGGAGGAGGGACATCAGCGGAGGGTATGTCTGTGTAAGGCGAGTCGTCGAGAGGCTTTTTGATGTCTGATGGTTCGTCTGCCAAAGTGAGCATTGTTCCAAACCCAAAACCTAGAAGACGTCGATAATATGAAGCCCTCAGCGTTCTTCTGGAGATGGAAGATGAAAGTCAAAGAGGACGTCTGAAAGCAGTGCAACGAGGTTGATGGCTCCCTAATCCAAGTACAGATAGAGCAATAATAAGGCGGTAGATTAATGTATCAAGCTATCTTTTAGTCAAAGAAATAAACTGTACTGCGCAAAGTGTACAGTGCCGAGCGCATTGCATGCCATGGGACGCATGCCGTGCCCTTGCGTAGACGAACGGCGAAGACGTCGACGACGACAGCGAACACAAAAGCTGTGCCACTGTGGCGTGGCCCGTCGGAACTCGGCTTTTTCCGGTCTGCCCAATCGTTGATTACGTGCGTTCTTATCTACCATCGTTCGCTGCTCCTAGAACTCATCACCTAGTCTAACGTCACATCTGGTTCTAGTTATATCTTTGAAGCTTGCATTTTTTCGGCTTACTCTTGGAACTTGGCCGCTGCTTCGGCGTAATACTATGGACGCTACCGACGAACTACTAGACTCACGCCGGGAACTCGTCCGAACTCAGCTACGGCTCGAGCGAGTACAACGCGAGTTGGATTCGCTCCATGCGGAACACGCCGCCCAAATCAAACTAGTTCTCGAGGATCTCACTCACACACGTCGTCAATGTGACGAAGCGCGGGCTCTGGCCGAAAGATTCAAGTTGGATCTTGGGCAACTGGAAAAAGCCTCGGCTGGGAACTCGTCGTTGAACGATGAGCTAGCTGGAGCTCGGAGGGACGCTAAGGATCGAAGGGTCGAGTGTCAAGACCTTCGTGATGAGCTCCAGCGGGAGAGGGAATCTATGAATAGAGATCGGGAAGGTTGGGAGTGGGAGAAGGTGCAGTTGCGGAGCGAATTGATGCGTCTAGAGGATGCGGCCAACGAGACCAGGATGGAGGCACCCGAACTGTTACAGGATGACCTTCAGCTTGGGATGGTCGAAGGTAATCCATCTAGTGAGTGGCTGTGAGAATAGTCCTGTTGACGCTATATCTGACGGTTGGCTCAAAAGGCTCCAGGGTAACAACTCGGACCCGATTTTCTCGACCTCGAAGTTTGAGCATCGACAACACCAATGAATTCAACGTAAGTACCTGTTTTTACTGAAAGCTGGTTACCACACAACTGACAACTTTCGACTCCGTTAAGACACCCGTAAGACAGGGATCGGCTGGTAATCATCTTTTTTAATCTTTGCTTGAAGGCTTATACTCACCCCTTCGCATTGTTCATGCAGCAGCCTTTGCGCTCTCCGTCTCTGAGGACGGTAAGAACATTCCCAGTACGTCCGTTAAGAGAGAGGTAAACTTGTTTATCTCGACATTGTCCCTGAAATGTTGTGTGAATATTGCTAACTGGACAATGTCACGCAGAATGGCAGTATCTTTCCTGTCAAGCGTGGGCTTCCCGACGGCGACGACAAGAACACCGTTCACCCACCTAAGCGACACAGACCGAACATGCCACAAACGACTACGCCAGAGGTAACACCGATTCCATTTCCCCCTGGTTGCTGGCGATACTATTCTATCTACTCATATCTCTTTAACGATCATTCTAAGAGTCATGAGGATCGTATGGATCGCGGCTTCCCTCCAGCCTCTAACCCCGTGGGCGCGATGCACACAGATCAGGTATGCCCATCTCCTTGAAGCGAATCAAGACTTTCTTACATATACCTCTTCAAGACCGATTTTACATGCCCCGAATGTGACAACATCATTCCTGGTGCCGGTAAAGACAAACTCGCCCAATGCAACCACATGAAGGAAAACCACACGATCTCTAGGCAATTCACCAACTTTGCAAAGACGAGGAATCGGCTGTGCATATACCGCAGTCCAATCCAGTGGCATTTTTCTTGCCCTTGTGGGGAACAATTCAAGAGGAAGGACGAGTTGGAGAGGCATATCTTTGGGCTCGGTCAGACAGCCCAGGGTGCACACCGTGCTAAATCATTGCTGCCGATGCAAAGGAAGATTCGGAGCGACGTGGAAGCAATCTCAAAAAGGTCTTTGTCCTCAGTATTATGTCTGTTTCCGCATCCCTGATCTATGACGCTGCAGTTCTGCGTAAAGTCCGTATCATCAGTGTAACGGATTGTCGCCAGTCAACCACCTGGGACGGTCGGGAGTATGGGCAGGGGGCCAGCGTATCCTGCTGGCGTCGTGGATAAGGCACATGCTAGCACATCTTAGTCTTTCGACTTCTTCTGATTCGACCCATTTTTTTGCCTGGTCCGCATCACTTTGTGTCGTTCCTCCGAGCTCATCGCTTGTTCTATCTCCAAGGGGCACACAAATTCTCCTGATAATGCCGTCTAGTTCTTGCTGTGTCTGCGAAGGCTTGAGCTTTCCTAGCTGATGGACGAGTTGCGCGAGCATGGGGTTATTGAAACCTGTTGTCGTTAACAGACGAGTGGCGCTCAGAATGCTATCCCGATATCGAACTTTTTCACTGTTCTTTGCTCGACGTGCGGTCTGACAGTGAGTTAGCTCAGTGTTTTTCGGTGCCGAGCAGGCCCAGTCAGCCGAGAAGTAAACGTCCAGCCGAGCGGGTTTTAACCAGACATCGTCTCGCGTTCGCTCGCGTCGGCTCGTCTGGTCCACTTCTTTCGACTTCCACCTCTTTGTTTAGCTTCCTCACCAACTTTCGTTCCCGTGTTCGTTTGAGGGTGTTCAGAAAGGATAGGGGTCATTCTCTTCTCAGCGTCTCATCTCCTCCGAAATCTTTCTGCTGTGCTTCGTACAGATTTATGTCACTGATATAGATGCATGATAGCGACAAGAATATATTCATGCCCCACCGTGCTCCAACATCTTTGACGAGACGTAGATCGTTGCCTATGCTCCTGTGACTGATGCTGATATGAGCGTCATAGTGGGGCTTGCCTGTATTATAGGGCCTCCCGGAGCTGCTGTATATGACCGGCTTGAGCCTCCAGAGTCTCATAGATTCGACGTGTCCCACCGCTCGTCAATCTGTAAACCGCTTCGACCCTAATTGCGACTTGACGTTATCCCGAGAAGACGCTGCATCTGCACATGTGCAGTATAACTTGTGTTCTGTGCTTTCGTCGTATGACTGGAGAAGAACCTTGTCGTCATCCAACTTATCCACTTGCACAGGCATAGGCTAACACCGCGGTGTTTCATGATTCTCAAGACCGCCTCATTTTTCATCTCGGTCATGCCGCTACTTGTCCATTTGTCCGTATTCCAGTCGGAGCGTGCGTCTAAAGCCGTGCTTTCGCAGGATGCGATTTGGATGACTTGTATATGTTACCGCCGAAACCACGTCCACAGAGAGTCAGCGTGCATGCACCCACGTTTCTCTTACCCAAAAAAAATAGGACTTCAACATCTCGTGAGCTCCATCGTGACTCTAATTAGTTGAGACCTCGGTCTTCCTGAAACACATACATTGTGTGAATATCATGCTCCAGAGGGTTGCTTCTTAGATTCACCAAGCTGTGTTCGTTTCCTGCTGGAGTTGTGCGTGAGCGCTTTTATACCTGACTGAACCAGTGTTAGAGAAGCACAAATCTTCGTCCCCTTCTTCACCCTCATCTCACACAAGGTCGTATACTTGAATATATGTAAATCTGTCGCTATGTCCGCAGATAGTTGCATCTGGGCACCTCCCACCGGGGCCCAGATCAGGCTGTTTACACTGGAGCTTATGGCCGACACAGCATCCTACGGTAACGTTGCTGAGCTCAAACTCATACATATGCTCACTGATACTGGCATCCAGGTGTTTTCTTTGCTGTGATAGTCATGTCCACCTATATCTTAGCGTACGCCGTTCAAGCTTTCACATTCTCTCCGAACTTGAACTGACCTGGTTCATAGTCGAAAAGGCTTGCGAAACTCGACTCCGCGACTGATCTTCCTATGCCTCAGTCTCCTCATGTTCCTGATATCTTCGATCCATCTCCCACTTCACATCCTCTACTTCATTCTTCAGCTCCCTTACGACTGCACTTTTGGTCCCGCGGATCAAGCACAGTTTATTCACATGCTGGGTCAGATGTGGGCATCTATCGAATGTTTGGAACGAGCTCAGTATTTGCTCGGTGATATCATTGTCGTGTGGCGCGCATGGGTTCTGTGGCAGCATAGCATCTGGGCCCGATTATTCTTGGCCGTCTCAATAGTGGGAACCGCCTGTGAGTGTTACAACGTTTTGTTCTGACTTACAACTGTTCAAATTCTGGGCTGCACATATGTCTAGCCACGTCCATTCTTCTCGCCGTAATCAATGTTCTGCAAGAAGAAGACAATAAGTACTATTCCGACCTTGAACGGAATCTCACGGGTACTTTTGGCCTTCTTTTCACAAACGCTGGTGCTACGATCCTGATAGCTTACAAGACCTGGTGAGCTTCACTTTATCATGGTAAACAGTGATGAGGCGGTGATTCGACACATTAATTAATGTCCGAATCCAGGATTTACCGGCACTCGGTCAAAGACTTCCTGAGCCGCGGGGGTTCCAGAGCAAAAACGGAAAACACACTTATTCTGATCATCGAGTCTGGTGCGATATACTGTGTGTATTGGGTACGTGGACGCATCGAAATCAATATGCCTAGTGGTTGTTCGACTCCGGGAAAATGACGGCTCTGTTCCCTTGTTCCAAGATTTTAATGCTTGTAGGAGACTTCGGGCTTTATGACAATTTCAAGTTTGAATGGTTTCAACCCAGCGTTGCTGTTCGTATACTGTTGTCCTTGAAAAGTAGACCCGTATCTGACGGTCATATTTTTTTCTGCAGGGAATTTATCCGACTATAATCATGCTTCTCGTCGCCGTCCAGAGATCAACGGCCGATAGCATGTTTTCCCTCTCCGAGCGCTCTGGAGCCGGCGAGTCGATAGCGTTTGCTCCCGCACCTATATATGTTTCGGCTACGCGTCGTTGCACTCTTGGACAACAGCAACAAGGGTCGGATATGTCTGTGTCTGGGAGCGGGAGCTCTGCAGCTGTGGATCAGAGGACCGATTGCGATGAGGCAAAAATTGAGAGCGTTAAGCAGCCAGTATCATCTCCTTGAAAGGACCGGATGGTACACACGGGTCGTCGTGCTCCACCGTAGTAGCTCTAATATTCATCAGACTTGGTATAATTTGTGTCTTTGACATCTTTTCCTTACCGCACCGCTGCATCGGTCAACATCTCCTTAGGTACAACATCTGGGGTCGCGTCGACCCAATGCTGCGGTCAGCCATCAGCCGAACCTCGGCAACGTCGCCTGTGGCGTGTACCTGGTCTACACAGCGTCCTCAAAAACCGCCACGGGAATTCATCCGATCACCCGGTTTGATACCTTGTGCGACGGGCGTGAGACTTTAGTCTGGCATGATATTTAGACAACGCTCTTGGGAGGTTGCGACGTATAAGTATCGTGCAGTTTTGCCTTCTATCATCCCATCACTCAAGCCCCTCCGTCTTTGCCAATGTCTCAAAACGACCACGAAATCGTTCTTCGTCGGCTGACGACTCCTACGGGCAAGTGGGATCGTTGATACATAATCATTATATCTGTGGAATTGACTAATCTGTCTTGAAGATGCAGAGGTGGAGCGCACAGTGGACGTTCTGCTCACTGCTTTCCGCTATGGTACATTCTTTCGTACCCACTTCACCAACCGCAATCCTCGAACGTTGAACCTTTCTTACAAAAACTATAGCTCCTTTCATGCAGATTTTGGTCGGCGGCGATTTGTCGCTACTCCCCGTTTACTACGGCGCCTCGGTCAAGTCTGGTATCATTGGAGGTCATGTTGTTGTCGCTGGCTCTTCTCCCGAAGTTATCACAGGTGCCGCGGTTTGGTATGCACCCGGACAGAAATCCTTCGGGACGTATGTGATACAAACCTCATTTCCAGACTGATTTATTGCTGATGAAGAGAAATGTATTTACCCCTCTAGCGACGAGCAACGTGCAGACCTTACTAACTTCATGCAGATGATGCCCGATAGCTTGAGAGAATGGTGGACTAATTATGTCCGTAAGATTCTCAATCCTCGCGGAATTCATTGTTCCTCGTCTGATATGTAACCCATCCTCTTTCGCAGCTCAATCCCACATACACAGATTTCACGAACGAGTTGCTTGGAGCCGATTATAAGGAGTCGGCGTGGTACCTACAGCTCATGGGTGTCGAGCCCGGGTTTCAAGGTCATGGTATCGGCTCTGCGTTACTGCGCTACGGAGAAATCCTGGTGAGAAATTCTCATCGTACCCTATGAGGCTTAGATAGCCTATTGTCCTCGTGCTCATGCCCGATTCTCCGTAGGCGCGCAAGATAGGGAGTCCAATCATTCTCGAGACCACCAGCGAAAAGGCTGTGCGTGCTCATTCCGTAACGTATGATTGAGAATTGCTGACGTCTCTCTCTATTCCTAGGTTGGTTTTTATAAGCATCTGGGCTTCGCTGTTCGGGGAGAAACCGTCATTAATAGCCCAAGAGGTGACACCAAGGCCTATGTCCTTACCAAAGAGACGAAGTAGATCCAAAGGAATGCCACTCAGGTCATAATGTTTAAGGAAGTTGATTGACAAGGTCCCCAACAGATCACTTCAAGGGCTGAAACATCGCATCACGCTTGCTCTCTCCGTCCGTATTATTGCTTGCACCACTACTACCCACTGCGTCCCTTCTCCACTTCTTCCAATCTTCTTTTGGCCTCTATCGCCTTTGCCAACGCTTTCGTCCAATCCTTCATCAGTGGAATCTCTCTCCCCACCGCCCTTTCGCGCGGGTTTGGTGTCTGAGCCTCTACGCCAAGGTATGACCTCCCTGCTCCTTCAGTGCCCTCCGTACCCCGATCCGATACACCTATCCTCTGCTTTAACACGGACAACTCCTTGCGCACAAATTTCCATTTTCTCCACGCATTCTCCCACTCTCCCTCCGCATTCTCCCATTCCTTCTCCTCCTCAGTCTGACGATGTCGGTGTATGAACTGATAAATGAACTGCAATACCGTAAGTGTAGGCACTAAAAGCATCACCACGGGAAAGACCTAAATCAGATATGGAATCGTCAGCATAGCATCCTTTCGACAAGTAGATCTATGAGATAGATTTATGCAGAACACGCACCTGTCCTATCGTCCAGCTACTGTCGAAGTGCCCACCCACCAGGTTCACATTGGCGTGGATGGTAAGCTCGTTCGAAAGAATGAGCATCGCAACCACAACTACCGTAAAGAATATAAGGAACAGTCGAACATAACGCTTCGGAATTCTATGGAATATAGTAGGTTTCGTGGTCCGATTCATATATCCAAATAAGAAGAACCGTATTTCATTACCAAGAAAATCGAAGGCGCATTTAAGCCGACGGAGGACCCCTTGCTCTTCTGAGGAGAGAAACTTTACAACAGAGTATGGTATCAGGATAAGGATGTGTGCGAGTAAAAAAAGCATAGATATGTACGGGTCAAGGAACCTGAAATAACCTTCACGAAAACCATAATCGAGCATTTGGGGATGCGCATGTCCTTTTATAAGAACGAGAATATCGACAAACATGCATGAGAGCACTAGATATAAAATTAAACCCATCAAAAAGACCACAGCACCTGTCCAGCCGCTTGAAACCTTTATATACGCCATAACGAAGACCTGTGTCTCGTTTTCACAGTTCTCATACTCGTTGGTATCTGCATCACTCCATATAAAAGTTGAGAACCCGGTTGCGATTGCCATCACAGAGAAGCCTTGTAGACGCAAAAGTCTCGCGGAACGGTTGGTGTACTGCGCTGTTCGCGACGCTGCTCCTGCCAATAGCACGAACAGTGCTGCGAAGGCATGTAACCAAAGAAGTATAGAGACGGACAGGGCCAAGAAGGATGGTAGGCCTTTTTTGATGAGCAGTACAATGGCAGAGACGAAGAGCGCGATGGCAGTGATGGTCATGGTCCAATAGGAAGCGTAAATGTCCGAGTCGGTTTCGGAGAGCCAGGCGACCATAACTAGTAGATAAAAAGATATGAGCACGACCTGCAAGAATGGGAGATAACAGTATACTACTAAGGGAATTGACGAGATATACGCACTGGTCAAACAGGCTTGTGTATAAAAGGCGACACGTATTCCGAGTCCTGTGATGTCTGTGGTTCGTGTTGTTAACTTGTGTCGTTCAATAGATAGTGCTAAGGCTCACTAAGCAGGAAAGGACTCACCTGGATTATCGGAAATAGTACTGCAATTATTGTCAGACATATTCATACAGTGTCAGTCTAGGGAAATGCAGATGGTACCGTTCTAGCGAGGAGGGGAGGAGGGGAGGAAGCAGTTAATTGTAGAGAGTAACCCCTCGGTATTTGTTCATGGGTGGTATGTTGCCATTATCAAACATCCCACCCCCGAGTACTTACTGTTTGGCTGTTGGCTTTCTACATGCACTACATGTAACGAAAAGTTAGGGCGGCTATCTGCCAGAGTCCCCATCTTTGAAGTGATATGCCTTCCCTACATCTTTTTGGGCTGATGCAAGATTGATGTCGCGAACAAGCCTTAGTCCCCGAAAAAGGAACAGGGAATCTTATCTGAGTCTCTATGCAGGTAAAATTAATCCTGCACAAAGTGTTTAAATTACTATGCTTTGCATGTTGTGAATTGTTGGTGAATTGTCTGCCATGTCTGTGGCGGAGGCTGTGCCGTTGTGGTGGCGGATGATAAGTTCTCGGCTTCTTCCGATTTTCCTGATTTTTTTTCCCCCGCCATCGTTCCTCCAAGCTTCGGTCTGTTTCCTTCGTGTATGGTGGGAGTAGCCACTTCATGTCACGTCGCGGAAAAAATTTAAGACCTTCGCAAATATGATTTTTGGAAACAGAAACATCGATTCTAGAGTAAATCCGCCATGTCCAGTCAAACGGAAAATCCTAACCCTAACCCTAATTACACGGCCAAATTCTCGTCGAAGATACAACCAATCATCAGCGAGAGTGAAGCTTCGCATCTCTCGCAGACCTCTCCTCGTTCGCTGTGTCCAAGTCTTGCTGAGAAACACCACGGTGAGACCGATACTTCTTCACAGCATACTGTACTTTTTCGACCAAAGGTTCATCAAGAATGTACGTCACCCATCAGTTTCGCCCGGGTCACGGTTCAGAAACCGTGCGTGAGCGTGACGGGACCCGTAAATGGTTCAGAAAACAGCGTAGGCGCTTGCAAAAATGATTATTTTGCGCAAGCGCCTGCCGAGGTCACTGTTCGCTCACCATGCGTTATGCGTGAGGTCACGCAGGATTTTGTTCGGTTCATCAATGCGGAGAACGCGTGACGAACCTTTGGTCGAAAAAGTACAGTACTCTGCTGCCAGTCCGGTGGCGCCCAATCCATAGACACTCATGTAACGTTGTGCACGGCGGAAGAAACGGCGTATTGTGATGCGGGGGCAAGCGGCTAGAGCTTGATGAAGAAGCAACTTGCCTGCTTGAAAATTACCGTTCGAACGTTCACGATAGTAACGCTTCACCCAACCCCAGAAGTATTCAATCGGGTTCATTTCCGGGTGAAACTTTGGGAGAAAGTGACAGAACATGTCGCCTGCCTCCTCAATAATCTAAGAAAAGACATAGCCGTCAATATACCCAGTGCTGAAGTCTTGCTGAAGTCTAAAGTAGTAAGTGAAGACTCACAATCTCGAGCAATGACTTCTGGCTGCGGAAGTCTTCCTGCAATGAGAGAATGCGACGCATGCAACACTCCGTCGGTTCGTCCTCGTCTTCTTCATCCTCCGAGTCCTCCGAATCCTCTGGGTCGGGTTCCGGCGGCGGATCGCCCACGACCTGAGGCTTTCGTTTCTTGCGGCCCTTGCAGACGGCACAATCACCGATGATCTTCTTCCCACCGGGTCCGATCTGACCAGGACCAATGTATCCCCTCTCCTCTAGGATCACCTTCATTCCTTTCTGCTTTCCCTCAAACTTCTTATATGGGTGGTCATCGGGAAGGTGAGTAGGAAAGACGAGCTGCTGAGGTTTACCGCCATGTCCGAACGGGTTGTCCAGCGGGATGATAGTGTCACGCAAAAATGGTTGGCCACCGGCAGGATTGACGAGCACCTTAGAGGTGGAAAGTGCGTCGGCAGGCATGCAGTCGTGACATGATGAGTTATCGAAGACCCAGTGAATGACTGCATTGGGGAACAGTTGGCGTGCAATGGGAATCGATGTCTTGAGCTGAAGACGAAGCCAATGACATCAGTAGAACCGTCCGGTGATCCTAACACAGACTTGAACTGACCTGCGTAACCATTTGTTTAGCATTCCAATAATCATCGCCACCCTCCTTCGACGTCGGATAGATCACCACTCGAGAATCAGTGATCGGAAGACGGATCGATTCTGGAAGCTTTGCATTTGCTTCTTTCATCTCGTCTGTCAACTCCAGGTTCCCAAATCGCTCACAGATGAAACCCGACACCATCATCAGCCTTCCACGGCCCTTCTTCTTGAGCACCTGCTCGCCCGGCTTCAGCCAGTAACTAACACCTTGAGCATCGTTATCGTGGAATCCTGATTCATCTTGGTAAATCCAGACGTGCTCTTTCTCTCCCTCCTCGAGAGATGGCACTGATTCGTCCATTGCGGGACCTTCATACCGGGCCACAAACCTGACACAAGTAATGCATGTCCTGAGTCTATATTTCTCACAAGTCTGAGAAAGCCTCTCTCACCGTTCGACGTCCACATGCTCCTTCAGATAGACCATGCGACGCTTTCGCACGTCCTTCCGTTCATGACCATCATAGTAAATCCCCTTCGAATGTTTCTTGCGGCGATAACCAAGACAGATCAGCCATGATCGCGCAGTCGAGAGCGAGATGCTCTTTTTCTTAAGGTTGAGTGAGGGAAGCAGGTGATCATTGACATGGCGCAGGAGAAGTTTAGGTGTAATCTGCGAGAATGGTGCGTCAGTTCAGTCTGATCGATGAAACTGTCTTCGACATTCACACACCTTTCCAGTCTCGACTGTGCGAAGCATTCGCTGCACACCCATTTCCACTCTCTCATCCTCCATCATCCCACCTTTCGTTTCCTTCTTCCCCTGGCGGCTTGGCTCGATAGCACCGTTCTTCTCAAAAAACCGTGCTTGCTTACTTAGCTTGCGAGCGAAGGCCGGTCCTCGACCCAAGTTTTGCGCCACCCGAGCAGATGCCTTGACACGACCTTGACGAGGTGTCCAATGGTAGAAATCGACGAGGAAGGCGAAAATTACTTCGTCACGGTATATCTTCGCTTTTCGAGAGAGTTTGAGTCCTTCACGAGCAAGTGCCTCGAGCTCGACGGGGTCCGTAGAGGCCGCATCCTCGAGAACGTCGTCAATCCACTCCAGTGCGTCGATTTCTTCCATATTCCTATCCAACTCCTTCTCTATCTCTCCAGCCGCTCTCACTATGTCTTCGTCGAGTTGCCCCTCTTCCTCAGCCCTCGCCGCTGACTCTGTCTCATTCCCCTCCGCTGACCTGTTCTCGCGGTTGCTTCCCAGCCCTTCGACTCCTTCTCCTGCAGTCAACTCTTTGTCCCCTCCCTCTCGAAGGTCATCCACCAATGCCGCACTGTCCTCTACCACCATCCTAATGTCACCGCTCTCTGCTGCCTCCTCCGCAGATTCCTCCTCCTCCTCCTCCTCCTCCTCCTCCTCCTCCTCCTCCTCCTCCTCCCGATCTCCGTCATATTCCACCTCCTCCAAGTCCTGGTCCATCATGTTGACATCTGCGCCCTCACGATCCACGACGTCTCCCGACATGCGAGTTGATGCAATATTTGTGATGGTCGTGGCAGATGTGGCACTGAAGAACGATGACAACTTCGTCTGCACGCCTTGTGGCTTTGGGCGAGCGACGATCAACTTCTTGCGACGCTGAAGGTCTGTATTAGGCGCCTTGCTAGGATTAGCATCCGTTGCGACCACATCATTGGCCATCTTCAGCCTTTTCGTGCGTGCTGTCCTCTCTGAAATTCCTCCTATTTTGTAAGGCCCTCTTTTGACCCCTGTCTTATCTTTCGCGCCACCTGCTCTATCGATGGGACCATCAAGAACCTCCTCGGCACTGCGCATGGACGCTGCTCGCAGGGCAGTCAGCGCACATGCACGTTGCTTCTCTCTCTCTCGTGCACGCTCATCCCAGGTGACAGCAGGCTGTGCCACAGCGGTCCACTCCTGGTCTGATATGTCGCTTTCGTCCTTTTTGCTGAGCCACGCACCTCTGTCTGACTCGTCGATTGCTGAAGGGACTGGTGAGGATCCAGTGTGTGGCAATTCAGGTGGTGATAAAATCACAGAGTTGTTGGTATCAGGCCCAAAAGAGAAGATATTAGAAGTAAACTGGCCATTGCTGTTGTGCGTCGTCTGAGCTTTCTTTGTTCGACGAGGCATAACGCGTAACGACCGGTGCGAGGGCTTTGAAGTAAATACACTGAAACTATATTATTTATTGGGCATGTCACACACCACGTGGTGTGACAAACGGCCAAATTCGTGTGTGATCGCCTCCCCCCGATTTTTTTTTGTAAACTGGCCCGACCATCCTCTAGATATAGCCCTTATGATCATCTGTGCACGCTGGTACTGTCTCTAACTGATTCCTGAAAGAGCCTTAGGCTTATTGGGCTCGGGTCCGAGACTTGTCACGAAGTGGCCACTCCCACCATACTCTCTCGTCCGTCTCGCCTTGTCTCTGCGAAGGCTTGGACTTTTCAGCTGGGGATCCGAACTGGACCTTCGTTAAAAATAAGTAACTCGGAGTGGCGCTCATAATCTTCAGCTGCTAGTATTCCGGCTCGGACAAAGCGACACGCGGAATGGCCTGCTCATGCAGTCCCTAGTGTATCGTATCGCCGGGGTTGCCTCTGTTGCTGGCTATGCTTACTGTTGCGAGGCTGGAACAACTCTGAGCCGTTCTCAAACAACCAGCGCTCAGCCTGCCCAAAGTCATCGTCGACCAACACTATGATCTGAACTCCTTGTTCGACGCTTGCTCGACTACCTGATGCGATATGGAGGCAGACGATATGTCCCAATCCGTCCTTCTACATCTCGATGCTGGGATGTTACGGCCTTGCGAAGATGTCTTCAAAGATCATGGCCATTGGATGATGATAAAGGGTCTCTTTTTGTGACGATAGCTACGTAGGGCTCCCGATTCTCCGCATATGCACAAGTGAGTGATTTTGAACACGACTGGGATAATTTTATTCCGAGCATTTATTGAGATTATATCACACAGCCTTTCTCGGCACACTGATCCGTGAGCAGTCGGAGTCTCGGAGGCTCATTGTGGTAATTATACACGTGTTGTTTGTCACCTGTACTGGTCACTATTGTTGTACAATTGCTAGGTAGAGTGGTCGGTGATTGCGTCTGTAGCTATGGCTAGTTCAACAATGACAACTGTGCATAATGTCAAGCAACAACGGCGTTGTACAACAACGGCAACAATGCTGTTGTACCACAGCATTAGGGCGAGTTTGTTGTTCAACAATGGGGACATCCATTGTACAACAATTGTCATGGTGCATTGTTTAACAACAATTGGATTGGAAATGCCACATGGTTCAGCCACTTGGTGTAAAATTTGCCTCAAATGACACACTGTGTGTTCACTCTATGGCCACAACCTACGAAACAGCCTGTTCATCTTAGAATCATGTTCCCCCCACACCACATTCCTGCTATACACTAAAAAAGAAGGCCCCCTTATATCGATATTGTTGGGGAAACAACGGGTTAGGTTGGTTAGGTTAGAGGGTTAGGTTGGTTAGGTTAGGTTAGGTTAGGTTAGGTTAGCTGGTTAGAGGGTTAGGTTGGTTAGGTTAGCTGGTTAGGTTAGTTAGGTTAGGTCAGTATCATTTATAACCAGCACACATACAGGGGTGAAGAGCAGTGTACCCAGACGTAAGTTCCTAGCGGAACCTAGGTCTGGGTACACTACTCTTCACCCCGAAACTTCTAGCACAGGCCTGTGTATTTTGCTTGATGATTATTGCAATCAATAAAATGCCCATACAATTGTTGTATAATGGAAATTGAGCATTGCTGTACAACGTGCATTGACTATGGTTGTACAACAGACATTGACCATTGTTGTACAACGGACGTTGTGCACTGTTGTACAACAACGAACCATCATTGACAGGCATTGTTAAACAATACAATGCCCTAGGTAGGAGCACAATCTAAAAGATAGCTACAGCCCTCGTATTGTTACAATCTTGACCAGTACGGCTCTGTTTGTTTTAGAAGGGAAGGTAAGTTACTATAACGTCCACCTTTGCAAGATTTCAATTTTTTGACTCCCTTTTGGTCGTGGTTGCATCGGGGTTCCTTTCAGCTGTTCTCCGACCGCACACCGTCCCGGTCTAGTCAAGCTGATTCGGCCTTTACCCAGCTGGTGAATGCACTTCGGGGATAAACTTCCGCGGGGACTCATCTCCGCCCACCGTAATCATGATGAGCCACGGAAACTTGGATGCTATACTCTCAATATCGTTTCTCCAGACGGTAAAGCAATGCCCCTCCGCATATCCATTTCTTTCAGAGAAACGCCGTCAACCCACTCAGTGCCCACGTTGAAAACTGTCGTGAAGTGCGAGTTTGCCAAGCCCTGTGTCGCACATAAGCGTGTCGGTACGGAATTGCTGTATACACAAAGCACTCATTTGAAGGCCCTTGAAGGTCGTCCACTGCTCTCCATTTTTCGTCTTTGCTGTCGATCATGATAAATGACATTGGAACCACTGCACCGCTGCTCTACTCGGTCTTGGCGTTCACCGACTCGGAGCAACTGAGTCGTTGATGTTCGGCATAGCTTCCCTAGATGTGTGCTATGTACAGCGCTGGATGAGAGAGTAGGGGGCAGCAAGTTACGCGCCGTGTCAGAGTCTTCTCCTCGAGGCAACATCCCTGTTATAATGCATCACCATAACGTCTAAGTATCGACCTTTTCTTCCCCCCTCACTCCTTTCTTAATCACGGCCTCGATATCCGAGTTTGTCGTTCTTGATATAGGACAGAATGACTCGCCCCTGGCGCACTCGATACTCTAGACCCATCTTAGCCGCCTTCCTCATTTCCTTCTCGGTCGTGCTCTACCTCTCGTTCGACTTCTACGCTTCCCCACTACGTGCGTTGGTCACCCTGGGCCCATACACGTTGGATCCTTCGACAACACAACCACATTCTCCTCATCCGTCCGCGTACCCTATATCCCGACTCAATAATAGCATCCACGACGAAGTTAAACATACCGACCCACCGCCCCGCATCCTTCTCGTCTCCGCATTCTTCCCCCTCTCCAAATCCAAACACTCGCTATCCGACTACGAATCCTGGCTACGCCGCTTCCTAAGCACCGTCCACACCGACCTCTATTTCTTCTGCCCTCCGGATCCTACCATAGTCAGCCTCATTCGCACATTCCGTGGGCATTTACCGATCGTCATCGATACGACGTACGGATCGCCGTTTGATGTTCTGCCGCTGCAGGGGCTGGGAGTCGAGGGAGGGAAGTATGAAAAGATGCATGCGTGGGATAGGGAGGGGTTCCGGCACTCGGGGGAGCTGTATGCGGTTTGGAACGCGAAGCCCTGGTTTTTGGAGTATGCGCTGAAGAACGGCGGTGTGAACGGCCCCATGGCGAACGGGAGTGTGTACGACTATGCGTTCTGGACGGATGCGGGGGCGATGAGAGAGGATAATGATGAGTTGTATGGAATGGGGACGTGGCCAGATCCGAGGAGGGTGCAGGAGGTATTTGAGATGGGGAGGCGAGACTTGGCCAGGGTAAATGGATTGGGGACGACGGCCACGAAGGAGGACGAGAAGCTGATATTCTTCCCTGTCTGGAATTTGCCCGATGATAAGTTCGAGTATTGGGCGGAGGATATGGGCCCTGTCGATATTGATTTCAGCGAGGGTGCGTCTCGTCTTTTATTCTCAGTGGTGCTCACATTCAAGCGTCTCTACGCCTATACGTAGGTTCCTTCTTCGGCGGTACACCGTCCTCCATCTCCTGGTACACTCGCACGTTCTACGCCTACCACGACCACTACCTCTCCCAATCCATGTTCGTCGGGAAAGACCAAACGCTCATCAACGCTCTCTTCCTCCTATATCCCTCGCATTTCTTTGGCGTCTCACTGTGGAGTGCTGGTGCCACATCACCACTAGCTATCGCACATAATCATATACCGAGGAACGCGGATACTCCGTTGGGTACGTGCGGAAACTCGTGGTATTATTATATGTGGTGGTTGGCGGATGAGACGAAGAGGGATGAGATAGCGGAGATGTGGTTGGTGGAGTCAGAGAGGAAGGATAGCATCAATGCGAGCGATGGTTGGTGGAAGTGGAATTCGATATGGAGGCTGAAGGATTGGTGGAGGGCGCCGAGCGTTAGGTGTGTTGAGGGCGAGCCATTTGGAATGAAAGGGATGCTGGAGAGGCAGTTTGGAAGAGGATGGAGAGCACCGGTTAGGACTATCAGTATAGGGACCTAAGGATAAGATCTCAAGAGCGCGAGATGCAGGTGGCTGCCGGTAGTATATTTATTTGCTTTCGTGAGAAGGAGCCTGAGGGGTAGTAGCACTTGATTATTACGCTGTATTTATATTATTCACGGAGAGTACTATGCGCAGTTGAAATTTTGTTGAGGTAATGTAGCCCAAGGAGGTCAGAGGAAGAATCGCCCCAGTATGGACAATCACACTCAAGCGAGCCGAGAGTTCGTTGTCCGGACTCAAGCGCCGACTTAAATTTGGGATGTCCGATGCCTCCAGTGGCGTCAGTGGCGTCTTCTCTCCAGACTTCTCCAGACCGCTATTTCTTCGAATTCATGACATTTCCCTCAGATTCAACCGTACAAAATGCGGTGACTCACGACGTGCTATGCTTTGGATATTCGAAAGGCTTCTGTATATGCTCTGAATTTCTGGGTATTTCTTCATCTGATCCCTGCTGAACCTATAAAAAGAACAAAAATGACCCAAAATATCGATGACGTCGCTTTCCCTCTCCTGGGCATGCCTCTCCGTCTCCCATCCACTTCGTATAAAGCACTTTTCTTCTCTCTCCTGCTACCATCTACCCGCCTACATCAACACCCCCACATCGCACGCTTCACTTCGACGACACTTCCAGCATCGTCAGCAATGAGCTCGCTTCCTTCCCTAACCGAATGGACTCAGTCTCGTCTTACATCCATCTATACCGCCACATCTCCCGAAACCTTCCACGCAGCTCTTGATGCATTCTATAGTCCGAATATTGATGCGACGGTAAACGACGAGAAGCAGACTAGGGATAATATCAGAGAGAAGATGGAGGCCAGTTGGAGGTTTGCGGGCAATGGGTGTGAGGTCGAGTGGAAGGACTGTAAGTGTCAAGATGAGAATGAGGTGCGTTTCCTTGATAGTTTCTTTGTGATAATTAAATTGGAGACCGAGTTATGCATGGTGTTGCGTCTGATGCTGACGTGCGATGCATTGTTGTCAGAAGGAGAACGGGGAAGTGAACGGTTCGTTTGTGGTTACGAGGCGATCGAAGCTGAGAGTACGAGCGGCCCCTATGACGCACTACACCACCGTGAACTTCACTGCACGGTATGTAATCGACCTAATTCTATGTATATGTTGGTTGGCTGATTCTGAACGTCCCTTCCACCACCCGCACCCTCCGGTCGTTCTCCCCATCTCTCACCATCGTTCGACCGCACTTCAAGAATCGACCAAGATTCTGTCATTGAATCCGACTCAGATGGCGACCGCCGTCGGGTCGTACACCTTGTCCAAACATCAGAGGACAAGGCTGCACCCATCAATTTGAACCCGCGGGCTATGGGTCAAGCGATGGATCGGGGACAGTGATATAGGTCGTTCATGGATAAACAAACGAAGACCAGGTATAAGTCGAAACCGATGATGTAGGAAGGATCTACAAGAGTGTTGTTTGCTTGATTTCTCGAAGATGGAAGGTGTGGTTGTAAGAGTATCTGGACGTACGATGTACGACGGACTTGGGAACGGACCGAGGATCTGTACTTGTGAATGTATGTGTATGGGTGTATGATATGGCTTTTCGCTTGGTGTCGAGATCCTAGTGTTTTCAGCATACTGCCTTTTGTGAGTTTCCGGCAGACGTTCTGACGCCAACTCACTCCACACTTTGTATGTCGCTCTCTTCTTTTGTGCCCTCGGCGCCCACTTCACTGTTGAACGCCCCTCTATTCGCCCTCTGTAACCCAAGCCACAGCGTCGAGGAACCTGCTATGCAAGATATAGTTGTCTCGATTGCGCTACGACGGCTTCCTCAGGCTAAGCAGACGAAGTATTGAAGCTTTGGGTTGAGACTGAATTTCATTGATTGTGTGCCATCATTGTGCTGTACTTAGTCTCTCTCGAATGCCCACAGGGCGTGTTGGTTGGAGAAACAACCTCTGAATACGTATCCGTATACATCACGAGATTATAATAAAAAAACGTAATGAATTGTATCCCCACGTAAGCCCAGACGGGCTTGAACCGACACAATCGTGTGCATTACTTTCACATATGTATGCCGAGCGTGCTACCAAGTACACTATGGACCTATACTTCTACACTATAAAAAACGCATAAGATCAACATCAGGGTGATTCAGAAGCGTTGCGTGTGATCTTCATGATACGTCCCACGATTGTATGTCTCCCTATCCGACAGAGTATGAACGACAGCAAGAGCCCGTCATAGTTCGTCTCGAGAGTACTCTTGATGTGCAGCTGAGTCCCCGAGAACCGCTCCTGAGACGGATGCGAACCAAGCTCTCTGGTCTTTTGGAGACGCCCAATCTGGTGTATGACCTACAATGCATCGTGTACCAGAAGGATTGTCAGTGGTTTAGTAGTCGGAAAGGCCTTGTCATTCTTGATACGGAGTAGATTGGGAGTAGATGAAAATGACGTCTGAAGAGTGCACGTACCACCGAAGAACGTTTGAAAATGCATGCCTTTCATTTTTGACTGTGCGTCTTGCCGAAAGACGAGCGCTCGCACGGAGATCACACAGTGACCATCCACGAATACGTCGAGCTCGCCTAGTTGTATTCACCGGCACACTCCCATACGTCAGGCCTTATTCATCATTATCCACAAACGCTTCCGAGGAAAGAACGTACCATCCTCCCTCCCGACCTCGTTCAACTTCACCCTGGTCGCAACTGCGAACCACTTCCCACTCTCGAACCTCCATGCGCCTCTACCGACGGAGAATCCGTAGTCAGAGTTCTCGTGGGAGTCGGGTACGGAAAGTAGGGCTCGGGTGTTGGACGGGAGGAGTGGGAGGTAGGCATAGAGCTCGGCTTCGCCGTTGGCGCTTTTGAGCGACGTCAGCGCAGGAAAGGGTAGAAAGGTCCGAGGAAACGAACATACCGCCACATAATCCTCAAGTTGAAGCAGTTACAACGTTGTTCTTTCCTCCCACCCGTGCATCCATATGCAGAATCGCCTATTCCACCATCTATCCTGCCCGAACATAAGTATTAGGACGGACTCGTAAGGCAATCCAACTACCAAAGAGAGACAAAAGAACACGCACATACGCCAGGCAACTTCCCACCCTTCACCCATTCGAAGCCCTCCTCAAACATAACTTCGTACCCACATACCACTTCAACCGCATCCTTTCTCTCAAGGGTTTGTTCGAACGGTTTTGGCCCCTTCATGTAGAATCCGAACCCTCCCTTGATCTCCCCACCGGGGTTAATACTTCCCGCAGGATAAAAAGCTTCCCATGCTTCCTCCGGTAGAATTCTTTCGTCCCCCATGCTCAACGAGTGGAGAAGACCGGTCGCATTAGCTGGGGACGAGGGCAAAGGCGGCCTGACGACACGGTGCGTGAACGCTTTCGGATTCGACACCTTATGGATTCCGAGTGCAGAGTCTGGCGCGAGGTTGAAGACAGGAATTGATGGATGGAATGCATGAAAGTATGGGGACGTTGTGAATACATTCTGGATAGGAGCTTTTGGAGGGATGGGGAGGAAGGGAGCGAGTATGTCATGCATGTTGCTTGTGCGGTCAATGGTCTTACAGTTTGAATAGATAGAACAGAAAACAGAGCATTCAGAGCATTTACGGAGCGGAAAGGTATTCGCGTTCAAGAGGGGTTATATGTGGTCGAACTTCAAGGAAGATAGTGGTCGAAGTGGTTCAAGAAGGTTCAAGTGCAAGAACTGAGCCGGGCCACACACAAGCTTCTCAATCGCCCAGAACGCCACACAACATTACGAGGCGACGTGGCGCCTTGGTGTGGCGTTGAAAACAAGTATGGTTGTTAGATACACGACAGGAACCAGACACAGTACGTAGAACGAACAAAACGATTCACAAAGTCAATCCAATAATCACAGCAAGAACCGTCACAACAAAATGGACCGCGGCTCCGTGACAATCGATTCCTTATCACCCAGCCCCCTTCCCTCCCTTTCCTCCATCACCTTCGCACACCATGCCCTCATGATTCCGCTCACCTCTTCCTCTGACTCCCAGAAAGGCGCATGTCCTACCCCATCCAACATCCAGTACTCCAGGTTCCCGAGATTCTCCTTCATGAACCAGATAATCATACGAATATCGCCAACGCACAGTAAGTACGGCTACGTTTCAGCCGAAACGAGATAGCATGGGTTAAACGACAGACCTTCATCCATGTCTCGTGCTTCTCGGCAACCATGTGCTGATCCTCCCTCCCATGTATCGCGAGTATCGGTAGAGAATCGGGACGAGAGGGAGGTAGAGACGCGATAGACATGAAAGCCTCGGGTGATTGTGGGCGCGTATAAGTATAGTGGCGTACGAGAGGGTGCTGTTGTAGCATCCCCATGAGTGAGGCGAAGGTCGGAAGTCGGGATATATTGGGAGAGCAGGTTGAGTAAGAGGGATGAAGAGCCGTGGAAAGTATGATGAAAAATACAGCTCGCAAGGCATGAACAAACGAACCTGAGTGACAATCGCACCCATCCACTTCCACACCTCCACAATTGGCACACGATCCTGTGTTCCCGGTGCTACACACGAGTCCACAAATTCTTGGATAGCGCTCGCTGGAGTGTTCATCTATATTGTCTCAAGGTAGGTTAGTTGTTGTGTTTGCATGCGCGGGGGCGCCTACCTTCGCCACCTCTTCAACCTGTACGGTAGGATCGAACGAAATTGCAGGTATGAAGCGCGTAAGAAGGTCCACAAAGACGGGGTGTACGACGAGCCGATGCATAGCTCGGTGTGCCATCGCGGCTGCTCATCACGACGATTATTGTCAACGCTGTTGTTGAAAAGATATGGAGAGGGACGTACCAAGGAGTATGAGGCCCAATATCCTGATTGGTTCCCCTGAAGTTCCGTACGTGGAGAAGTAGTCTGCTGCAACTACACCTGCACACAGCGTTAGCAATTGTGTTTCCTTGCGAGGGGATTGGACCACGAAATGTGTAGTTCTCAGAGCTCGGGTCATACTCACCGCCAAGCGACCTACAACGCCCTCACCGTTCCCAAGAGCGACCAACCAAACACCTCTGTAAGTAATCTCCATAGAATTCCTCTATAAAAGTGAACACGCACCAACCAGCAACGAAGCACTGCTTGACACCAAACGCTTCACAAACGCTCTTAAAATCTTCCCCATGTCTCGCACTCTCATACGCCTCTTTGTTCATCGGAGCGTCGCTTCGTCCGTGGCCCCGAGTTTCGTAGCGAATCTAGAACACGTTAAACCGCACGCACAGTCGCAAGAGGCAAAAAAAAGGAGACCGGTGTTATTCAACGACAACATGATGAAGCAGAGAGGCGGGCTGCCCGTTCGATGGACGTACCATCTTATACTCCTTCAGGAACTCCTCATCCACGAACTGTTTATCGAAAGGCAGTGCGGAGCAGCTCAAACCATGTACCCAAACGATGCACGGCTTGTCAGTTGCACCCAGGCATTCAGCCCATATTTTAGTGCCATCAGTCGAGGTGACAAACTGAGCTGATGCTGCCATTGAGGTGAGAGATGATGGAAGGAGCGAGAGTTGAGCGAAGGATAACGAATGGACAAGAGGAGAACGATAACGATGCGTGTCGGGCTAGTCCACGAAACACGATGTATGAGAGCCGGAAAAATCATCGCAGCGAAACGCTCTCAGGGCATGCAGTGAGTGTAGGCCGTTGTACAGTCAGGCGGGAGTCGATGTGAAGTTCGGAGCAGAATTGAATTTGGCCTCCCGTATCACGAGATCGATGCGGGGTGCGCTGATAGCCCCATCAGGCTGGGCGGTCTATGTTGCCACAAATATCAGAAATAGCACAGTGGAGAGAACGGCCGAGTATAGATTGTGTTCAATAGTAACAAAGCTGCGTTCTACCTTCACCCAGTAAGACCGTGACGGGTAAAGACATACTAGTGGAGAGCTCTGCTAAGTTGTTCCGCACCAGACTCAACGAAGAGGGAATATGAGCATGCTGGCAAGTAGCCAACGAGGAATGGGAAGCAGACAATGAAACTTGATCTCCCATACGAACAAAATCTGGCGCAACGAAGGAGGGCCTGTAGTAGACGAGGAGAAAGAGGAATAGGCCCGTATATGACTTTCGTTGACACTGTGAAGGAGGCGTCGCCATGAGATTACTGACGAAAGCACGCGAGATGTCTGGTTCAATTCCGGATATGCCCGTTTTTGTGTCCACTTCGGGATCCACAATCGGCGGGTTTGTCTTTTGGTCCGCCTTCTCCCCAGGCGCTTCTCTTCAGTTCTCTTCTTTCCTTCAAATTTCCACTGGTCGACTCAGACGCCACATAACAATAAGTACTTAATTGCTCTCTCTGTCTCATTTTTCTTTTCCGCATTCACTGTTGTTCATGTCCAATAGTCCTGGTCTTCCCATTGGAAGGTCTTGATGCGTGAGAATCTCGAGAACAGTGCGTGCCTCTCTTTTGGTTCGAATTTCACAGGGCTTCCTGTTCCGACTTTCCACAACATAGATTGGTCTGTTTTCAGGCCCACGCCTATGTTTCGTGAGTCCTTGTCGACGTGAATATACATGTATGCGGTTTGAGATCATATCCCGCCATATATTCCTCCATTTTTCCACTGCCATCCTTCGTACTTACGTCGGATGACAGGCATAAGTAGTACTACTTATGTATGCTCGCGTATAGGAAAACTTCGAAGTAAACTATAGGCTCCCCAATCGTAATCGTTGCCAGTTGCTGTCTTGTATGTCGAAGAGTCTGTACAAAATACTTGCGATTAACCCTTTGCTCCCACGGTGTGTCAGATGCGAAATGGCGGAGGCCCAAGCAACCATCCAACAACGGGGTGCGCGGTATCCGACCTCGCTGAATAACCGTGATTGGTAAATTGCATCAGTTTTCATCCTACGTCGCCCGCTGCGCCGATGGATGAAGGCACGCAGGCAAGAATGGTGGCACCAGTGTCCCAGACGTTGTCGAGGCAACGTCCTTGACACAAGGGCCACAGCCCAAGCAGGCCCCTCCGTGACAAATGCTTGTGCTCGATCTGGCAGCCTCTTCACTTTGTCACTTCCTTGTATATAACATACATGTGAAATATTTTTCGTGGCACTTCGCCCACACTTGAAGTGCCCACTCAAGGACAGGTAGTGATATGCTCTTTGTTTGCGATCGGGAAAAAACCAGTCGCGCATTGTATCGCGAACCCTGTATTGGCCCCTCTTTGATCTGAGACCTCGTGTCAGAAAGCAGGCTAGATTGGTGCCATCCTGGAGTGCCGAGGCGTGATATAAAAACACTAGCTGGTACGTCCGAGTTTCCATCATCCCAATCCCCACTTCTTTCAATTTTAAACCCTAGCGAAGCAGCTCTCAAACGTTTTCCAAATGTCAACGGAAATGGTGAGCCTTATCGTATGTGCCACGGACTTTCTTCGAAGTCGCTAACGGCAACCGGATCTTACCCTCTCGTTAGGTTTCAACTTCACCGTGGACTCTCTCGCCGGCGGAGGGAGGCGAAGGCTTGATCCTGACCATATACAGACTCTCACCCAGTACTCTCCATCATCTTCCTCATTCATCGAGGATAAAAGACATCCAAGTGAGATACCCAAGGGATCAGGTTCTCGAGTTCGACCACCTCCAGCACCTTGTCAGCGCATACCCAAACATAGAACGTCTCTCCCTCGTCGCTGCAGGCATCAAGTTTGACCCTCGCAAACCCCCATTGCAACAATCTCAGATCCTCCATTCTTCCCTGAAGATGCTCCGACTCTATTTTCACGAGAACTCCGTGGCTCTTTACTGCCTTCTTCGATGTCTCATTCCGAGTAGCAAGCAGACCCGGATCCACGCCCACGGGGAGTTCCACGACCGTCAAAACGCCTACAGGATCGGTGCTTTTCTATCGCTTTCCATGCTCCGATTGGATCCTTTTGTGTCTATCAATTGGCTCAGCATCTTACAATCATCACCCTTGGACGGCTCAGCGACTCCTTATGTTCAGTTGCAACTGGGATACTGTGAGGAAATTGGTTGTGTCGGACAGGATCCTTACCGAGTCATAACCATAAATGACCCAGGTCTTCACTGTCTCTCTCGAACCTTTGTCGAAGCACCTGGCATAATCAGCCAGCGTTCGACGTCAATCAAACATGTCCGTATCCAGATCGACGAGCCAGTTCAGATGGTGCACCTGCTCAATGCTCTGAAGGCCGTCCCAAATATCATATCGTTGGCCATCGTACTCCGCCAAAATGCCGATCTCACAGACTCCATTCCACGTTCCCCATTGCCCATCCTCGTCGCTCGTCTCCCGCAGCTTCAAGAACTGACAGTTCAAGCCTCGCGATCGGATATTCGTTTTCAGACCCGCCTTGATGCTCTCGATCGATTGTTTGGATATATCATGTTTCCGGATGAGGCGGAGGTGGATTATTTGCTCGACTGATGCTAGACAGTCTTCCGGTTTTTTTTTGTTGACGTACTTAGTCTTAGAGGCCTGAACTTGACATGTTGAATATTGACCTAGATTCAGCTGTAGCTCCGAATACTTGAGCATATATTCCCTACAACTACTCGTTTCTCTGTATGTATGAAAAATTACGCCTTCTTTTCTGTTTGCCTTTTTGGTTGCATTGTATTCGATCGATGTCGAGGGTCTGTCTTGATTGATATTTTCGTTCAATCGACCCTTGGATACCTCACTACTGTGAAATAACTCAAAGCTGATGTTTCTACTCCATCAGTCTCTTTCTTGAAGGTATTTTCTCTCGGTGGAAGCCACGAAAAAAACGCTACGCCTTTAGAGGTGGGCCACATGTGGCACTGGTGGCGGTGCGCCATCGCGTGAGACTTTGGCAGGACGCAAAGGGATCGCACTGTTTTGTCGTTCTCTCTCATAGAAGTCCTTGTCATTATTCAGTTCCCTTTGTTCTCATCGATGGAGTCACAGCCTGTCGATAATCGAGGCGTCGGGGAGCGCTATATCAAGAAGTTATTGGTTCATTCTGCCTAGTGTCGCTTTTCCCAAGTTTCGACCAACCGCGCTCTGCATCCTGCCCAAATCCTGCCAACGAGCAGCTCGAAATCAACAGTCTCTCATCAAGTCCCATCATGCCAGTGGTGCGTCCGTCATACTACGAGCACATCGTCCCCAAATCATCCCAGCAATCGTTCCAGCACTAATCTCTAGCACTAGAAACAACCTATCTCTTCGCAAACGGATGTCTTGTCCATCGACGAATGCAATGACTCCATCTTGACCATAACCATGCCATCTCCATTCATTCTTCCACACGAAGCCGCTCGATCCTCACGCATTAAGACCATCGATATTCGCTACCCCCGAGACCTCCTTCTTGATCCTCAGTATGTCTTGGCCCTAATCGCCATTTATAACCACGTGGAACATCTCTACCTCTCAGCTGGTGGCATCAACTCGTATCATCTCGACCGGATCTCGGATGCTGCGAATAACTGGGTGCCGACTCTGAAGACATTGGCTCTTCGTTTCTTCGAGGATGTGGGAGCCGTCCACTGCCTGCTCCGATGTCTCCCATTGAACATCCATACACGGATCGACATCCATGTCGAGATTCTCGATCGTGCAAGAGCCTGGGACATCGACGGGCTCAGTGTCTTTCTTGGTATCTCGATGTTGAATTTGGACCCCTACCGCTCAGCTAACTGGATCTCTATTTCGCAACGATCACTCTCAATGCGCGACCGCGATGAGACACCGCATGTTCAACTACAGCTCGGACACAAATGCCTCGATCTGGTTGGAGTGGACCCCTTCCTTACGATCACCAAAGACGACCCACATCTTCGTTGTCTCTCCCAGACATTCTCTGAACTTTCGGGTATCATCAGTGCTCGATCCACGATCAGTATACTTCGAATCGAACTCGAGGAACCTATCCAACTAAGGGACCTCCTTCGTGCACTACTGTCCCTCACTAACCTCGTCTCCCTCACCGTGGTACTTTCACATCATGGTGGTGTTAGGGAGCCCTATGCATGGGTCGAATCGGCGAGTCGGGTTGTCTTGAGGCATCTTCAAGATTTGACCCTCATCGCTTCTGGACCGACGGAGGAAGACGCACTCAACCAGTGTGCTGCTCATGATCGATTGTTGAGCCGTATCACTTTTCCAGTCACGGCCAAAGTCAATCGATTAGTTGCAGATACGATGTTCGACTCCTCCGGGATTCTGAAACTCTAGGGTCACGGTGCACTTTTTAATGGATTGGTGATGTGGCATAGGCAGACATTCGAGGTGTACTTATACTGTGACTTGGACAGCTTAATGTAGTTATGAGGTCGAGTTCCGAAGCCCCCATTTCATTGTTGTACAAGCATGCGGCTTATGTTTCAGTGGATACATGTCGATTGCGACCACCGTACTCTGCTCCGATACTTGTTCAACGTTTGTTCTCCTTCCTCGATATCCTTCGCGCAGCTATGCACTTATCTGGGTATACTTAGCTCGCAATATTTAGAGCGGGTGATCCGCGATGACAGGGATCGAAAAGAATTGAAACGTAGCCCTCAGGTACGGTTCTTGTCATCCGAACATCCTTATCTCCATTCCGAGCCGTCCAATTTGGTGGCTGTGACGCGTCATACAATGAGTATTTAGGTCACATCGCCATCAACGCGTCTCCCTGTTCGACTTTGCCCTCTTCTTTCGCCCACTCGGTTGGTTCAGGTTCGCGACCATGCAACTCGCGCTGTACCTTGCTGCCCTGTTTACTGCAGCGGTCGCTGGGGTTGACGCGTGCGGCGATGATCAGGCTCATGGCCACGATCATAACAGGAGAGAGTATCCTCAGACCGTGCTTCCCGCGCCTACTAGGCCTCTTCAGTGGGGAGACGTGAACATCATCCATACCACGGTGAGCTCATCCAAATGTGCCCACCTTGATGTGTTTTTTTTCTGTTTGTGTGTCGCTTATTACATTGTCAATCTGGGTAGGATAGTCATGGTTGGCTTTTGGGACACCAGAAGTCGACGTGGCCGGAGCCCAACTACAGGTTCTGTTCTGTCTTTAGTCACCTCTTGACGCTCTGCTGATGACTATATTTGCTCCAGCGGCGACTTCGGCGACTTTGCTTCGTTCGTGAAACACATGAAGGAAATTGCTGAGGTAGCAGATCCATCTTTCTCTTGACCAACAAACGTTGAACTTGGCAACATAGGAACGGGATGTCGACCTCTTACTCGTCGATTCCGGAGATTTGCATGAGGGTATATATGGCACGATGGTGACCCACAAGTCCTATCTGATATACGTTATTCTTAGGTACCGGGCTCTCAGACGGTTATCCCGAAGACGGCATTGATGGCCATGAGTCCAACAAGTTCTTCGCTCAGCTGCCTTACGACGTTCTCGCCATCGGAAAGTAAGTTTATTCACTCTAACATATTGCACGTATCGAGATTGACTTTCTTGTGTGGCAACCAGCCACGAACTATACTACCACAACGTCACTCTCGACATGTAAGGACGTCGTTATTTCGCTCCGACTCAACTCGCTTACTTGTAATACGGACAGGCACAAAAATTTTGCTCCGAAGTTCAATGGCAGATACCTCTCGTCCAATGCCAACATCACCGTCAACGATACGAATGGAAATCCCGTCAGTGTCCCGGTTGGCGGTGAGTACCTCATCAAATCCTTTTCGCGCTCTTCCAGACTGAGAGTCTGGTTCATCCAATATAGACCGCTTTGCCAAGTTCAACACCACAAAGTAAGATCACGCTCCACTACCGTAGTGGTCGCCGAACGCCAAGCTGATATACTGGGGATCCACTCTCCAGAGGCCGTAGTGTCACAGCTCTTGGTGTGATTTTCCACTTTACAGGAAATGACGCCAATACGACTGTCCAGGCGCCGGCGGATATGGTAAAAGAGCCTTGGGTGCGTACATTTCCCCTCAACCCATAGAGTGCTACACGGTTGACGCGTCCCACGTTCAGTTTGCGGAAGCTATCGCTGAAGAGCCTGACTTCTTTTTGCTCGTGGGGTAAGCAACGCTCGTCCAATGATGTAAACCATTGCTCATGAAATAGTCGTCGATAGCCATATGCCCGTCGCCAATGACAGTTGTGAGCTCACATAGCCTTCTACTGCTAGCCTCTGGAGAGTTTACTCACTACATCTACAGGGCCCTACGTGTTCAATGCCATCCGAGCCGTACATCCAGATACGCCCATGATTGTCCTTGGTGGTCACTCGCATATTCGTGACTGTCGTAAGCGTCTCTCCTCCGTCATCTTGTTCAATTTCTGAACGGACCCCGTTATAGAGATGTATGATGGTCGTACCATGGCTCTCGAGAGTGGGAGGTACATGGAGACAGTAGGTTTGTATACCGTACCAGCAGTCATGTGTACAACGCTCATTGGCTCACTTTTGCAGGATGGCTGAGTAAGCACGGGATACGATTCCCGTAAAGTCACAACGAACTTACGTGTGTATTTCAGGCATGGATTTAGACGAGGCAAACGACAAGAAGAACCTCACCTTCAGCCGCCGTTACCTCGATCCGAACCGTGTCACCTACGAGGTAGGCCTGCTCCTGCTAAAACATATCTCTTAGGCTGTGGCCGTTCTCATCCGTTTCTCAGTTCCACACGAGCCAAACCAACTCCACCTTTGACACTGAACACGGAGAGAGTATCACCGCCGGCCTGCTACATTTGGCCGAGAGGTTCGATCTTTCGAACACGTATGGAATCGCTCCCAGAACGTATACGCTGACCAGGTAGGTTCCATCTTCTCAGATAGGACACCGCCTTTGCTGACCGAAATGCTTACGTGTGTCGTAGGGACGCTTACCCATCCAACGGTTCTCTCGTGTCTCTCTATATCGAAGTACGTGCATTTGTTGTCTTCGTCTTTGACTAGATGTCTGAAGTTGCATCGAACAGGCAACACCTGCAGCTCTTGCCGTCAACAACAGCCGTGCCGATATTCCTCACATCGTCATCGCCAACTCCGGTGGTCTTCGTTTTGATCTCTACGAAGGCCCTTTCACGAAAACCGACGCACTCTCGGACCAACCATGGCATAATGGGTTTTACTATATTCCAAACGTCACACTCGATGACGCTCTTCAGGTCTTGCCTGTCCTCAATGGTGATACCTCGTCAGCTTCGCGACGTAGAAGTGAGAGTGAGCGGAAGTGGAGGAGCGTTCATGAAGAGTCGGTGAGGGAGAGCATGCAGGAAAGAACGAGGAGGAGGGAGCAGGAGAGATGGGCTCGGGGTGATATTACGTTGAGGTATAATCGGTGGTTGCAGGATATGGACAAGAAGGCTGGTGCGCTAAGAAGGGACACTGCGAACCTTACGTTGGGATATGTTACGACCGATGTGAGTCTTGCTTTAGTCTGCAGCTCTAGGCCTCGATTCTAACCATTCACATGACCTGCAGAACTGTCCCGGCGTCGGGGACGACATCCCTCACTCACCACCCCCATACTACAGCGCTCCGGACTATGTTCAATCCACGACACCCGACGTCGACGGTTCTACGCTCACCGATTTCGTCTTCGTGGACTACGTCGCGAGCGATATCATTGCCGCGCTGAACGACGCACAGAGCGACGTGGTGTACTCCATCGACGATGTCGGCGTCTACAGCGGTATATTGACCAAGAACGTTTTACCTATATACGCGCAGCTCGCATGGAATTAAGCGTCATTAGATTCTTGACGCCCGTTTAGTAGACTTATGATAGCAGACCCCAATGAACTAATCATACATTTAGCGAACAAATAATTCGGCTGCTTACTTCCTTCGGCGCCCCTTGCTCTTTCTTCCTTCCTTTGCTTGAACTTCTATCCATTCTTTTGCCTCACGGACTTGCTGCTCACATGCAAGGCCAAGAAGTCAGTCGTCACATCCGTCCGCGCTCAGCGGTAGACCTCAAAAATATTGCACTGACCAACATTCTCGCCTCCTTGCTATGCTCCAGGGATACCATTAGCGAGCGCGCCATTTCCCACACACGAGTATTATCTTCTTCGTCCTCGATGTTTTGAACCTCAACTTGAAGGGTGAGAACGTCTTGCCTAAGGTAGTGATTCGGTCTATAACCGGGGCCATCTGAGCATGAATGACAGGACCGTAAGTAGGCCGACTGCAAGATAACCACAACCTGCAATACTCACGATGTACTTTAGGCAGCAGCTCCATCCGGCATCTCATGATGTCCGGTCCGAGGTCAAAAGCGCGTTCTTCTTGAACTAGACTATTCACTCGCATGATTAGCATATGAGAAAGACATGAAAGAAAGCAGTCGGGATGTGCACGTTTTGCCACGACAACTGGCGCAAACCCGACGTCGATGCTCGAAGTCGGTCACGGTCTTGACTCCATCCTTCAAACACACCTGACGCGAAGATCAGCTCCTGTCACGATGTGAAAATATTACAGACACATTACTTGGCAATTGGGTCCACCGAGGAGCAAGTCGACCCAGAATGGCTCCGCGATATCGTCTGGACACGGAGGAAAGCTTACACGGTCATGCCTCCGTGCTAATTTCCATACATGAGCAGAACCTCTCGACCACAAAATGTCGTGGAAGAATTTAGAGACGCGAGAGAGGTGCAGTAAGCCAGTGAGAGTAAGATATCCCGATATCTGTCCGCATGTGAGCAATAGGACCGGTATTGAATGGACGGAAACATACTTCGTATACAAGCTCGACAGGCAGCGAGAACTTGAATGTGGTCGATGCTCGACTGTCTTTTGTCTCAACCCTGGATAGTTTCACCTGTTTCTTGGGACGAGATGCTGTACCTTCAAGATCAACGAATATTTACAACGAATGAGAGGGGTGCCAACCGTGACGCGTTCGTGGTAAATTTCGCGACACAATGAAGCACTCACCGTCTGTGCTTGCTTTCCATGCATCTGGGGCCTTTTTGACGGGAAGTTTGTTTGTTTGACTTCTCGTAGTAATAGCCATCGATTCGGCGAGTTGACGAAGAGTGAAAATCGACTGTGCGTGATGGATGGATGCCAGATGGTGGTTGAGAAGACAAACCAGGGTCAACAATTTATGATAATTTATGTCGTGTCCGAAGTCACGTGTCCGCGTCAGAGCGCGTTGCCGCCGGCCTCGGCGCTCGCTGCAGCTTCGAATTTTCACTCGCAAGCATTCGGGATGCCCTTCTAAGTACTTACGAGCTCTTCTTCAGCCCAGCTTTCTGGTCTTCAGCTGGTTTTTGCTACAGTATGTCTCATATGAGCGTACCGATGTCATTTATCTCGCTACCATTAGACTCACTGGCAGGCGATCCAACCTTTGTTCACTGCGCCGGGTAGCCTCAGACTGGCACATCTTCTGAATCGAATATGCATCGATAACACACCTCGATGCTATACAGCCTGCGGTTTGCCTCTTGATCGTCTCGAGCGTCCTGGTTTCCCACTGGCGGTTGGCAAAGCCGAACACAGAACAATGCCCACGCCATGTTTGGCACAACACTTCCATTGTGCCACCCGTTATCTGTAGCCGAGCGTATTGCTTTGTTCTTTCAAGCCAGACAAGCGAGGTGATCGATAGGGCGGGAAACCATTCTCTTTCCGTGCCGACTGGAATCATATATAAAGGTAGCCCTCCTCTCACCCTTCTTCGCCATCTTCAACCCCCGACTAAACTCTGCCGTTCCCACACAACCAATCCCGAGGCCACTTCTCTTTACTCCGTGAGTTTTGCTGTTCTGGACTTACAGAGCGTGTCTTGTGTCATCTCGCCCCACAGAAAGATACTGACAAAGCGACTATATAGTCATGAGTTCATCGCACCGCACCTCCCAGGATGTTTCTGCGGTCATTTATCGCTTACCGCCCTGTCCTGACCCTGGGTACATGAACGCTACGCACCTCCACATCTGCTGCTTTGACCCCAGCCAAGGTCAAGACGAGATGCTCCAGCTTGATCGCCTTTTCGCGTTACTTCGTGTCGTTCACTCCCTCAAGAGCCTCACACTGACCCTTCACAAAGATGTCGACCTTGGTTCCTTGGCTCTTTCTGAAGACCATCTCAGGCTCGACGATCTAGAGCATCTGGTTCTCAACTTGTACGATGACAATAGAGTCGTAGCTCCCGTCATGCGACGCCTGCTTCTCCCGAACCCAGCCCTTCGCATCGACATCAATATGAAGATCTACGAGGGATATGTTTCACGCATGAAGAACCTCGGTCTCTTGGAACTATGTCCTAGCTATACTGATCCGGATAGGTCTGCAGTTTGGTGCAACATCTCGGAGTCGGCATCCCTATCTATTGTCGAGCTCGGCGTGTACCACCTCGAGAAGGACACCGAACTTCGCCACGTCCCCACTATGCGCATTAGCATGGAGGATCCCCATGGGGAGTTTTTCGCCCGAACTTTCCATCGTGGTTACCTTCCTGCTTTTCTACGCTCTCGTCACGCTATCGAGTCCCTCACCGTCGACTTCACCAGGATGCTATCACTAGACGACCTTCTCTGCGCGCTGAACGCCACGTTGGCCCTTGAGTTCTTTAGTCTGCGCTTCAGCGGGAGCGGAGCTAGTTTTAGCGTCTCTTCCTCCATCGATCAAATTGCAAAGCCTAATCTCAAACACCTCAAGAACATCTCGATTAACTGTGACGACCTTCCGCACTACGCCCTCGCTCATGAAGTCATATCACGCGTCAAGGTCCGGGACAGTAACCAATGCGACATCCATGTCATAGCCTCTCGTCGGATCGCAAACAGTCTTCGAGCCACCGGCGGATACGGTAATCGAGGCGTCCTTGGTGTGGCGCCTTTGGACTTGGATCCTAACCGCTGCGTAACCTGGTGTCACCTTCGGATCTCTTCAGCGAGCTGTTCTCTCAGAGGCGCCACTCCTTATCGAAAACATTCTATTTGTGGTCCCTCTTTTGATTTCGAGCAGGACGACCCTTCGAACTTCAGTTCTCTCGACATGTTGCGTGACCTGCCATCCTTTCTGGAAACCCGTCCTACGATCACGCAACTCTGGATCACTGCAGAGCAGAAAGTACAGTCTAGGATGCTCAGCCAGTGGTCAGATATATGGGCTCGGTATCTCACCTCTGTACCGAATCTGGAGGAGGTGGTCCTCGGTCTCGACATCTTCACGTCGTATGGAGCACATAGGTCACCCATAGGAGATGCGAGGGGACTTGGCTTTGCCCTCAGTCAATCAAGCCCTGTGCTTTGTCCCAAATTGAAGCAGCTTTTGCTCACCTTCACAAACTCGCAGTCGAACACGCAGCTCGAGGATGTCCTCGCTGCGATCCTTCAGATGGTGAAGGACAGGTGGAACTTAGGTGCCCCGCTAGGAGCAGTGGTGTTGGTTACGAATAAGGTGTCTTATTTGAATGTTCGGGAGACTGTGATTTTGAAAGAGCTAGAGAGCTACGGTATCGATCTTGAGTTTCAGGAGCCTGATCCTCGTGGATTGGTCGATTTCGATTGCCCTCGGAGGATATAGGTATTTGGTCGTTCATCTTTTGGGCTGTGACTCCCATCATCATATTGGCACATTTTTGTACTTGTCCCTCCACTGTACCAGTACCATACTATGCAATTCGACCAAAGTATTTCGACATATCATGCTCGTCGCAAGGCAGGAAATTACACCATCATGATCACAGGAGCAGAGGTATATAGATGAGAGCTGCGAATAATAGCGAGGACTCGGGCCACCAACTTCCCTATGGAGGAAAAGTGTGTGTGGCGTCTCCTAGTCTGCCGTTGAATGATGCTACCGTTTCGCCACGCATGCTCTTGGAACTCTCACACTCCTTGCCTTCGTCCGTTCTCCTTCACGGGCGGCTTCATAACTTGGTGTACACATATCCTTGTATCTAGATGTCGCATGACTACACTCTGGAATATCAGCTACGCGACACTCGGCTCGAACTTGGACGAATCACTGCTCAACTGCTTCAGACCATCGACGACCTCCGGAAGATCAAATCTGCCCACCGAGAGCATGTCTCGCAGCTGGAGAACGACTATCGGTATGAACTATCTCGTGTCAAAGCTGAAAAAGATGTGCAGGCAACGCAGTTGAAGCGAGCTTTGGAGGATGCGGAGACGCAGAGAGATGCTTGGCGTAATCGTGAAGCAGATGTAGCAGAGCAGTTGGAGCAGTCGAAGTTGGAGATGCGAGATCTTCAGGAGGAATTAGATAAAATGAGAATGGAAAATGAGATCTTGAAGGTCGAGCCGGATGAAGCAAGGACACCTGTGGATTCTCCGTCGACCCCGCATGGGAAACGAAAAGGAAAGTTTGGTTCTTTGTGCCATCCTTTTTGTTCTGTCCATGACGATACGTTATGTCTAGGTCGCACTGATTCGCTCCTGGGAATCGCCGCCAGTCCTATGAACATAGTTGAAGAAGAGTCATCTTCGATACCTTGGCCTACATCTTTTGAAAACAGCACTCCAGTCAAACAACATGTACCCTACCCGACGCCACCTTTCAAACGGCACAGACACTACGTTTCTATTTCGAAGCCCGGGTCTTCTCTCTTCGTTCCTCCCGCTCCGGGCAATCAGACAAATGATAGTGAAGATGATATCTCAACTTCGTCGGTCCGTTCATCTCTGCTTGAACCAAGCTTCGTACGAGGCTTATGGTTTTTGTGGCTCCTCAGGTTCCGGAGACCCCCACGTCTTCCTCCAGCAGAGCACTCCCAGATATCATACGCACTACAGTTCGTGATATGCCAGGCGAACAGAAGAGGGGCAAGGAGCAGCAAAGGACGGAAATTATTGTGCGAGCGCCAATTACTCCATCAACTTCGCCTCAGTTGCGCCGCGTGGGCCGTCCTAAGGTCGGTTCTCTCAGACCCAAACTCTCTGGTCCGGAAAGTATCCTCATGAATTAACCATGTTTACACCACAATATATCGACAGCACCCCGCAGCAGGAGCGAGTTCAAAACCTCGACTTACTACCAAGGAATTGATGACAGCTGCCCAGAGGGAGCCCGCGGAGTGGGCATTGGTACGTAATTTGTCGTCCTTGTTGTGCCGTCCAAAGAGGTCAATAATCATGTCCTGATACTATTCTCTTGACCGTTGTGCACCTTCAAACAACAGCGCGCGCTTACAGACTCTAATCCAGAGCCAGAGACGCAGGAGGAGTCTTCGCAGAAGGATGGGGTGGTCTCTGCCACGCCACCCACCCTGGGCACCGAATAAAGAAGACTGATGCCCAAGAGAAAAATTCATTGAATAAGTTATGGCTGAATTTATGGCTCTATTAGAGCATATATGTGGCGGTTTGAAACGCTGGAGCCTCCGCCAGAGCTCGCTTCCTGATTGGCGGAGGGGTTGAATGTACACCTCTACATATATGCCCTATTGAAGACTTAATTCTTTGTCCTAGACTCGATATCCGTTTCTTGCAAAGTTTCTAGGGTTCCTGCTGTCGGATGTGACTATCACTTTACTGGTACTTCGTTCTTATTGCTCTCATGTTGTATGCCACCTCGCTTTTCATGCCTTCGATTTTGGTTTCATGTTTATTCCGAATACCCTGGTTCTCTCCATCGATATCCATGTTATCGTACTTGACATGTATGTCCTTTCCGTATTTCTGTTCTGAATGTACTATACCGTTTCATTCAGCGCGATTTTAACGCTTGCCCATATACTTACCGTGGTGCTACTGATTCTAGAATGCCTGGCACATTTTGACTGCCTGCTCAATGTTCCGCTTGAATGATAGGGTCTGGATAGGGTGATAATTAATAGTCTGCGGTATGAGCATAAAGAAAGCAATCGATGGAGCATAGCACAAGGAACGATTCTAACGACGAGAGGAGCTCTGACGGACACCAACCAACCACTCAAACGTACTGCATCTTCACATCCCTCTTCGGTGCCACCCATCCGCTCCCAAATTGTCTCTTCAGGATTCCTTGCATCCCCAGCGCGTCACCCTCCCTACACCGCACCGAAGTCTTCCAGAAATCCTTCCAGCCCCTCGACTTCATATGTGCATCCGTCAGCCAGATTTCCGCCATCTCATCCCTCGTCTCCTTATTTGCTAGCCACCACTCGTAGTAGTACCACGTATTCCCACAGGTCCCGAGCGCAGTATCTGCGTTCCAGGGTATGCCAGCGTGGGCTGGTGAGGAAGAATCCCAGAGAGAGACGCCGAAAAAGCGAGCGGGGAAGAGAAGGAAGATGGAGTTGAATAGTGTCTGGTCCTTCCCGACGAACTTGTCTTCGGAGAGATAGTGGTTGTGGTAGGTGTAAAACACACGACGGAACCAGGTAATCGATGCGGGCATACCGCCGAAGAATGAGCCTGTGGATGACCAATGTAAGAAATAACACATGTCGTCAGGATGGGTCCAAGAGCAAGAAATCGAGATGAAATGCGAGTCGAGGGACGTACCCTCGCTGAACTCAGCATCTACCGGCCCCATATCCTCCGTCCAATACTTGAACTTCGCATCGGGCATCAACCACAAGGGGAAGAATATGAGCCTCTCCTTCAGCGTCCCGCTCTCTTTGTGCGCCATCTCGAACACCTCCTTCACCCTCCTGCCATCCGGCCACGCACTGAACTTATTGTCATCTCTGATCGCCCCCGCGTCTGTCCAAAACGCAAAATCGTAGATATTCCCATTCGCCCTCGCATTCCTCACGGCGTAGTCCAACAAGTACGGTTTCGCGTTCCAGACGGCGTACAGTTCGGGTGAGTGGCGCCACTTCTCACGGTCCCACTGGTGCATCTCCTTGTAACGTGTGGCGTGTGGTTTGAGTGGCGGGATGTGGAAGGGGGTGTTGTAGGACATGTCGATGGTGATGGGCAGGTTTCCGCGGAAAGAGCGGATCATGCTTGCGAGTTCGGGTGGACAAAAGAAGTAGAGATCGGTGGTGACGGTGCCCAAGAAACGCTTGAGCCAGTCAAGATACTCATCGACGGAGTGTTTCGATTGTGAGACAGGAAAGAAAGCAGAGACGAGGAGGACCCGTGGTGCGGGCTCCTCTGGTGGTGGAGGTTCATTGTTGATTTCCACAGATGGAACAGCGATATCTGTCGACTGTGGTATCGATGTGGCGTCTCCGTCCAGGTTGAGGGCCAGCGTGCGTAATGGACGGGCATAAAAGTCAAAAGAAATGTAGAGAACGGCAGAGAATGAACAGATGAACGCGACCAGCGGTACTGTATATCGAGAACGCCATAGTCGAGCCATGGTGTACAACGGAGAGTTTGGGAGACGCCATGATGAACGCTCGCCCGAAGGAGCAGGCATGAGTGCGCAGCCTCGACGCAGTACACGACCTCGCTGCGCAGAAGTCCGCGACCGCCCATAGCTTCAGCTCTGTTTGAAAACAAAACATTTTTGATCGGTTAGATGTCGCGCGGGCAGGTCTAATTATAGCGTGGCTGAGCAATGATCGAGCGACTCTGACCGAATAGCGGGTAAGTTCTCCGGAGAGGATGTAGAGGAAGAGCTAGTTGTGTAAGTGTGGCAAGGTTCTCATCCGGAAGGAAACCAAAGAAGTATACGGTGAAACTACTGAAGGAGTATATGATAATATGATAAGAGCACCATCTGAGAAGTAAAAACATGGAGTCGTAGACGAAAGTAGTTGTGGACCTGTAGCACAGCATGTCGACCTCCAAGATGGTTCGACATGCTGTTACTAACCTACGAAGTCTCCATCTCCTTCATCGTCACAATATTCTTCACGGTCCAGCTCGCCAAACTCACTTTCATTCTCGCCAAAACTAGTTCGCAAAACGTTGCTCTTCCGTCTAGCCCGCAGGTTGGTTGATGCCCGAGCCACGTTAGCCGTAGAGCCAATTGTGCACTAGCAGTTTGGAGTGACGGACTGGTCCCTATGTAAGTTTTGGTCAACCACGTTCACTGTACTCGAAAAGGTGAATGGCATACGCCGTGTGGACTTGGCGACGTGGACTTCACACCGATAGACCGTCGTTCCATGTCGGTCCGCTCGTCGTGTCCCAGGGGGACAAGTAGGATGATATTAAGTATCTGCGAGCTTAGACATTAGCGAGGATAGAGAGAACACAAGACAGTGGAAAGATCGTGCCTCGTCGTCTCTGTCCATCGCATAGAGCACATCCTGTTGGGACAATGCAGCCATCGAAGGATGTGCCATTTCACGCTTAATTAACACATCCGTAACCTCTTGTCCTTTCTTACGCAGCACCATCCTCGCCCGCATCGACAAGTAACAGGTCCACTTCTGTTTTGTATCAAGAATAGCCTTCGTCCACGACGTCTAAATAGACATCAAATGTATGAGAACAGACCAAGATTTGCTCGATATGATAAAACATGGTAGACACGTACTGCAGGTGAACACACTTTAAATTCTTCCGGAGTTAGTGGCTGATCTGATATGATAGTGTCGTACAAGCCAAGTCACTGCCATAAAGCCTCGTCGTTCGCTCCAACAAAGATATCCCATGGTCCTCCTCCGACCATATCGAACCGATTCGCGATGATTGTTCCAGGCTGACCAGGAACATTTGGCAAGCCTAGGGTCGCCGAACAAGGAGCACAATATTAGTAGAAGAAACGTCAAGCGTGCTGCGAAATAAGGATACCCGCTGAAATACTTAAAGAGGGCAGAAGATAGGGAAACATACCGGGATTTTGGTCCCACTTCGGAAAGATCACTGATCTTATCCTGTTTGAGCCAGCTGCCTTCAGGTCACGATTAATCGCTGTGCCAAAAAATGATTGTGGAGGTGCACTGTGGTGTTGTGCCAGAAAATCTCGCCGACAAAAGCCGGGGTACGGATTTTTGACCAAGGGCGATGGAAAAGATGGAACATCGACAGAAGAAATCTTTGCGATTAGATCATTCAGAGATGTGGAAAAGGTGTAAATCGAATGGCGTAGTAATGGAGGTACGTCATTGATAACCGATTTGTCTCGCTGTGTTATTTTCCTTTCAGTGCCAGTGCGGTCCATCTTTGTGGTCAACTCCGACGGCGACGAAGCTAGTTTGATAGCATCTGTGCTGGCAGGAGATGATGAGTAACCTGCTGAGCGAAGCGGAGCGGAAGCAGATGTCTGCGTCGCCCGAGGCTTTGTTCGCGCCCTTAGGCCATACCCAGGCTCTTTGATTACCGTCACTAACGGAAAGGTTTAGTATTAAATAGACACGACATGTACCTTCGAAGATGATGGAAGATCGGGCGTGATGTCATTGAGTATTGCTTGAAAGGCCACTGAAGAGGAGAGCGCAGCCGTTGTCCAGAGAGATGAAGGTTTCGAGCCCTCACTCTTTGAGTTAGTTAGCGTACGCAGGTCGGAACTTCCGTCGAGACGATGGGCGTGCGCCACTGGTTCATCTCGTGGGGAAATGCCGTGCAGCTGTCCGTGTGCTGTAGGAAGCCTAGAGTGTGGAGTTAAACCTATGAGCAGCTTATACATATTGGGAAAATGCACAGGCGGAAATCGTACCTATGGACGTGGAGCTCATTCGACAGTGCGGCACGATCTGCGGGTTGGTGGCTGGGCTTCTACAAGAGAACATTGATAATTGATATTTCATAACGTGGAGTAAGAGTAGAAAAGTACACAAGGCAAACCAGCATATCCTGAGAGCTGCCTTGGATAAATTCTGGAGTCTTATCAACGCGGCCATGTGGATAGGTCTTCTGCCGTTTGGCGGAGACACTTTGAGAGGTTAACCAGGCCTCTCTCGACAGACTATTCAGCCGCTTGCGCTTAGATCTCTGCACAAGAAGATACCAATAAGTGATAGTCGCCCAGTAAAAGAGACACGTATATTGACAGGAGAATCCTCGAGGTGCGTGAGGTCTATAACGTCTGCGTCTTCTGAATGTGCTCGCTGAGAGTGCTGCAAGGTTCTCAATGGAGGAGAGCTAACTCAAAACAGAGAACATCACCGACGAGACTTTAGCAGAAGAAGTGCCCACGGCCGCTGACGCAGTTAGCTCTTGGTGATCGGTAGGCTTGACGTCTTCGTTCTAAAGCTCGTGTGCGACGCCGTGGGCTTAATGAGTCTACACCAGTGGAGTTTAGAGGATGGCATACCTTGGTTGCAGCAGCTCCTGTTTCAACGAGAAGGGTGGAGGAAGTCGTGGTCGAGGGCTTAGCCAATACAGCCTGAATCTGCGCCAGACGACTCCGCAAGCTCCAATTATCGCTATTGACCCTCTTGAGCTGGCCCCTCAGTTCTTTACCCTCTTCAGTCGAGACCACTTCCCGAGACTTCTCCTTCAAATTCCTAATCTCCTTCTGCAGCGCATCTTTATCTTTCTCCCATTCCGTCCTCGCGCCATCGTGCTCCCGTCGCAAAACTTCCCTCTCCGCCCGTGTCCTCTGCACTTCGTCCTTCAGTCCCCCTTCCATCGCCTACATCGAGCTTCTATGAGATTCAGAATCCTTTCGTGCTTGGTCTCTTTGCTCTCGGGTAGCCTTCAGCATAGTTTCGAGGGCGACACGCTCGATTGCGAACTCTTGGGCGTCGAATGCGAGTTGTCGCTGGAGTGTATCCCGTAATATCTTGTGTAATATCTTGAAGGCAAGGGACATCGATGTTAACTGCATCCACGTCGCGAAAAAGCAGAACTCGGAGAGAACCAGATGACTGTGGAAGGTGTGCAGAAGAGAAACGCGTTTCTGACGTCGGGCAAAGCACTGTCTCTCGTAATTATGCCTACACGTGATCGAGATGTGGCGCAGGAAGTGGGCCACAAAGCAATCTACTGCTCGAGTCTTCTAGACTCTCCTCGATGATTTTGCGACCAAAGGCCACGAAGGATGTGCGACCCGAGCAGGACCCTACTGACTCATGCGTAGAGATAAGTGACGACGAGGAGGATAATGAGGACGAGAAAGACGACGACTATGTGGAAGATGAGTTGTAGATTGGCCGGAGGATCCTGCTAACGGAGACGCTCAAAAAATTTACATTTCTAGCTTGAGTGAATTACAGTTGAGTGTGCAGAAGCAGAACATCTCGTACCACTAGATCCACCAATGATCACATCGTCCTGCCCCGAACGGCACGGTCTTATTTGGCTGCGGCATGAGCGGTCGATGTAACGCCGAGCAACTCTTCGGAGTCTTCACCTGAGCAAACAGCACAACAACAAGAGTGTTAGTACTATCGTGGCTCTTCGGAACCTGACCGATATACCCACGAATTGTATGTCTTTTATTCTTCTTTCCAGGAGCCCCGCCGCGAAACTTGGTCCCCGGGACTACCTCAGCATATCTCTTTTCCATGTCCCTCTGCCAAGCATCGTCATACCCTACTGGCTTCAAGAGTATGACGTTCAGATGCTAGCTCGGGAGGTTAGTGAGTTCAGGGCCATTCAAATGTTCGATGCATGCGTAGTGAGAATATAATACTCGCCTCGTCACCCCTATTCATGGCCTCGTGGACGTCCTGTACACTCAATGCAGATATAGACGGGCGTGCCATCTCGTCCTTCACGGACTGCTCTGTGATACTCATACCCTTCTTTCTCAGCACCATCCGCGCACGCATAGACGTATAGCAAGTCCATTGTCCGGTATGACTATGGAAGCAAGCTACCCATGTATTCCGGACCTGAATTCCCAGAATATTAGCTGAACGTATTTCCACGAAGACATGGACATAACGTCCTAAACGAGCTTACCGTAAGCGACAATGACTTCCACTCGTCTGCCGTGAGCGGGTGTTTGCTTTTTGTACACTCGTACAGTCCGACATTGAGCCATAAAGGCTTTTCTGGAGCCCGAATCCAGATGTTCCATGGACCGTTGGACGTGATTTCCATGCGGTTTGTGATGAGGGTTCCAGGATATCCCGGTTTCAGTGGAAGGCCTGTACCAAACGCAAAGGAGAGACCGATCAGCTCAGTGCTTATCCAAGATAACTATGCATAACAGGCTGACTGGGGTTGTAGTCCAACCGCGGAAAGCAGACGCGTCGAGGACGATCATCCTTCTTCAATCCGCCGCCCTCAGCAGTACCGACGAATGCGATCCGAGGGCATCCGTAAAAGGACTCGAGGAAGTGCCGAGGGTAGAAACCTTTGTGTGGGTATGCGTCGGTGGGCTGGGGAAGTGACGAAACTGATACCGGTGAATATGACGCTACGCGAGCGTTAATTGATGCTGGAAATCCAAACTTAGGGGACGTTTTGATACAGGGCAGACGCAAGACAGTGGGCGTCTGCTTGGTTGACGGTGATCGTTGTACACCTGAAACTCCAAAAGCGCTCACTATAGAAGGCTTCGCGGATGAGACTGATCGCGCAGTAGAGGGTCCTGAATGAGTTTCCGGCTCAGATAGCGTCGGAGACTGCTGGGTGATACGCGGTTTAGTTCTGTGTCTGAAACCGTACGACGAGCCCTGCACGGGAAGTATCATGAGTGAGGTGTTTACTGAAACCGTAATAAGAACCTACAGCGTCACTCGCTGTTGTTGAGGGAGTCACGATCTGTGCTCCTGACGTTGAAGGTCTGTGAGGTGTAACTGGAGCTCCTCGGAGGGCCGAGGTAGATATAGTAACAATAGAGCCTTGTTGAGATCTAGAGGGATTGGGTGGCCCCTGTGTCGTGAAGGGCAATACATCGGTCGCTTTCTGCTTCCCTTGCGACCTCACCATCCATAAGTCAAACGACATGAAAGGATGAGCCGGAATAAGTGCAAACGACTGCGAGGATAGATGCATACTTTGCGCTTCGTTGAACAGTACCTTGATGGGTACCTGACCCGGGAGTCTTCTCGATCTCAAGCTCTGATTCAGAGTCGTCTAAGTCGAGTCGGATGACTTCAGTTGTAGGCGTTGATCTTGAACCAGACACCGAAGTAGTTTTTGCCTTTGGCCACGCTAGTTATCAATCCGGAGGACGAGTTGATGCCTGTCATAGAAATGTTCTTACCACATGATCGCGCGATGATGCCTCGCCAAATAGATCTGTCCTTTGGCGTTTCGCGGCAGGATCATGCATACGATCTGCTAGACCATCGCGCATATCTTGGATAACGCGTGCGTCTGAGGCGGGGGTCGGTGCGGAAGGCTTTGAGGCTTCGGAATGCTTTCGCTGTTCGAGGCGACAAGTGGTTGTTAGACTGAATCCGACGTTCATGATACAACGAGCACACCTTTGTACCAGCAAACTCGTCTGTACGGGGTTTTTGTGAAGGCTTATCGAGATAGAGAGAAAATCAGCATTGATGCTTCAGAACACATATTAAACTCACCCGGGACTCTTGGGATTCGGCGAGATCAGCAGTACGAGGCTTTACATCCTGTGCGCCATCCAGATCCTGGGAAGCATAGTTTAGTAGAAGAAAAAAGATCCCACCAAGATAAACTATAACATTACCATTGAACTCTGTAGCTCCCGTTTTGCCTCACGGGACGATGGGCCAGAATGTGAGGTCGATGATGCACCTTGCGGCGTGGCCGCAGCACGTATAGTGTCTATACGACCTTGTAGATTATGATTCTCCGCGTTCGCTCTGTTCAGCTCTCTAAGTAACGCTTCGACCTCAGCTGCAGGTATCCCAGACTCAGAAGCCTTCAGCTGCTCTATCTCGCTCTCCATGTCTGCCTTCACCTCCTTCCACGCCGCTCGCTCCAGAGAAAATTCCTTCTTCAGAGCTTCAACCTCAACTTTATTCTGCCGCTGCAGTTCATCGCGCGACACAGCTATGTGTTGTTTAGAGACTTCTATCTCAGTTTCCTTCTCAACGATCTGCTTTCTAGCATCGTCGCGCTGCGCCCTGGTATCCATCAAGTCCTCTTCATACCTGGTTCTGAGAGATGCATTCTCTTCTTGGTTGAACGCAAGCTGACGTTTGAGCCCATCTCGTTCGCGGGTCAGATCGCGGATCTTGTCCTGGAGAACTGCCAAAGATGTGTGTTGCTCCTTGTCCATGTAGTGGTGACTCGGAGACTGAAGGCGTGTATCAAGATGATGGTCGTGGCGAAGACCGAACACCTGTAGCGTAATAGAGTGACCGTATCGAAGCGGAGTTTCAAATGAACGTACTCGCCACGTGCAAAGCCAGAACTAGTGTGGCCCGAAGCACAACGGATTGACACGCATATTGTACACGAATTAGATACAGGGTTTCGGGATGTATACATGCGAGAACGGAGCAAGAAAATTATGGGGCCTCCAGACTGATTGATCTTCATCATACATTTGTCCACCATCGTAAACCTTTCATCGTGTAGTTACCCATCGCTGTCCTCGACTTCGATAGCCTGACTCTCTGTCGTAGCACCACAGGAAAGATACTGCCGCTTGAAGAACCTCTCATACGCGCCTGGCGCGACAGCCTTCGTCGATCGTCTTGAGCTCCGTCTACGCGGTCCAGGCGCATCTTCATCTTCACCGTCATCTCCACCTAATGTCTTGTCCGCCTGCATACTATCGTCCTGTTGCATATGTATATCAGACGATCATTATCAAGGCTATCAAGTTCTAGAATATTTCTAAAAAATGACCTTGTGTCTGTATTGCGCCGGTGATGGTTCGGGCCCGGGGGTCGGTGGAGGTATAAACGGTATAATTTGGAATGGTCTTCTACGCGCTGAGAGGTTCGTAGGGCCCAAAGTCGACGCCGACGGATCTCGTATGGGAATATATGGAATGATATCGAGAGACTGTAAAGGCTGTTGCATATCGTTGAGAGCAGCTGGTGCTGGTGCACCGTTTGCCGATGGTGGTGCTACCGAAGGAGGTCGTCTGGCTATATCTCGGCCAGGAACTACGATCATACCAGTCTCGCGCAACTCGTCGATAATCCCGTAATCATACCCAGTACACTCCAGTGTCAAAACGTCCAAACTCTGAATCCACCAAAATATTCAATTTATGAGTAAACACCATCAAAATGAGGAACATCACTGCGAACACGTACCACATCACCGTCCCTCAACACCCTCAGCACATCTGCCTCACTCTGACAACCTTCTTCCTCCTCGTCCTCCTGCCTCTCCTTCCCCTTCCCCTTGTCCTTCGACGACCAACTGCTGGATATCCTCTCGACCTCCGCCATCAACCCCTCCATCGTGATCTCCACGTTTCTCTGCTTCATATCCTCGAACGCACGCAACATAATATATCCAACTTCGTTCCTACATTCTCGGATGCATCGTACGTTCTCGGTTTGACACTGTTTATGGGGGCCAGATGACCATATCAGTATCATCCACTATGTCTAGATAGTGAGGCAGCGGAGGAAGACGTACTTCCTCGCTCAATGCACAGAACTCTTCCGCACTCAACCATCGTACGTCTTTCCTGACCCTATACTCCCCGAAATATACTCCTCTCGTTTTCTCCCTCCCCTCTGTCGCATCCTCCCCATCGTCCGCTTCTTCTCGTTGTTTATCGATACGCCTCGGCTTCATAACCCACAGCGCCACACCCTCCTCCTTGTCTTCTTCCATCTCCGCCAACTCTATCATATTCGAGATCAAAACACCCGGGGCACCCGGTTGCTTCGGTAGCCACGGCTGATACAGAGGATTCGCCATGACGAGTTTTCTCTTCTTCCTGCTCGGGCTTTCACTTCCAGCTGAAGACGTCCTGGAGGGTGACCGTGCGCCAGATTTGAGTGGCGGCGTACTATGCAATATTGCGCATCCAGAGCCGATAGGGCAGCACTGTTTCGGATTAGAGCGAGAGTTTCGAGAACCACCAGTAGCAGTGGGTAGGTTGAGCACGACCGGGTGACAAGTCGATGACAGGATATCGACAACGAAAGTTCGAAGATCCGATATTCGTGAATTAGCGGTGGATGTAAAGTTCTGCGAGTGCGAGATGAGAGGCTTGGTGTCTTCGTTCGAATCATCTGCCGGCACCAATGCCTCATCCTGTTGGCGATGCGGCAAATCCAGGTTGATGTTGAGGAAGATGATGTATTTGAAGCAAAGTTAGCAAAATTTCCTGAGACGAAGGAGGATGAGGGCGTGGATCGTCCTTAAAACTTTACCTTTGTGGGCGCCGAACACTCTCGTCTGTTTCGTTCACGTGTCGCCATCGCCGACTCAGTTCCATTCGCACTTCCCTCGACGACGTCAGGCGATCGCGGCTTTGACGGTCCCGAAGGTGAAGTGCGTCTAGGGATTGAAGCCAGAATCAAGCTCAGCTTGCTCGGAGAAGGCTGAAGCTGCTTCGGGTTCATATCAGTGAGCCGTTCTACTTCAAGATGAGAATGCCCTCATGATGCGAACAGGTAATTACTTCACGACTTCCACAACCACTTCGTGCCGGCGAAGTATAAGTGTTCGTACCCACCCCTGTACTCGTTTCAGACGTCTGAAGTTCGAGATTTGCATCATTCGTCGAAGTCGATGAGGACGATGCGGGTTCAACTTGTCTTTTGATAACCTAAGACAAGGAGAGTGTGGGCGGTAAGGACGTGTAGGCAATGCACCAGAGTTTAATGCACTCACCGATCGAGAGTCCTCTTCGTTGCTCATCGAGGGACCAGGATTCAAACGGTTGGGAGTGGTGATTTTGCTGAGTCGAGGTCTTTTACTGGGCGATTCCATGTGACTACTGAGTGGTGTGGCCGTTGACGACGATGAAGGTAGGGCAGGAGCCGCGGTCTTTGGCAGTGATATAGGAATGGGTAGAGTGGACAGAGAGTTGATCTAGAGAGAACACATCGGTCAAAGTCACACGGATAAAAACGATGGAGAGACTTGCCTGGTTCGAGGTGGTGGCTGAAACTTGAAGGGTTGGTTCGTATGGATCTGCTAGGCGCGTGTCGTTGGTGTCGTTGGTGTCGTCATGTGGAGCTAGAAAGAGGGTATGGACGGTCAGTAATCAGACCGGTGATTCAGAAAGAACAGCTCTGGGAAAGGACTACCTTTTCTCTTCATGTTCGTCCTCGAACTATGCGCTGGAGTAGAAGTCTGGTCTACTCTTGCCTTCGAGCCTTCCACCTCACCGAACAACTCGTTCGTTTCCTTCTTCCTCACGACTCCTCCTTCTCCATCGCGCATGGAATGATCTGGTGACTGTTGAGGAAACCCGGCATTATGACGCTGCTGCTCGATGATGTGGAGAGCGAGCAAGCCGGTGTTCGTCTGAAGCAATTGATATTCCGCCGATAGCTTCTCCTGCTTCTCCTTCGCTATACGACCACTCTCCTCCGCTTCTCTTTGAACCTCTCCCAATGTGACCTCTATATCCCTCCTCTTCGAGCGCTCGACCTCCAGCATGTCCGTTAACGCCGTTTTGTGATCTTCGAGGGATTTGACCTGTTTAGTCCGTTCGGCAAGAATTCTCGAGGTGTGATCGAAAGAGTCTTGAAGCGTCTGGCGAGATGATACGAGCTGTTTGGTTTGGGCTCGAAGGGCGCCACACTCGTCCTTCGAAGTATCCAGCTCTTTTCTCAATGCGTGCTTCTCGTCCTCGGACCTCACGATCTTCCGCAAGCAACCCTTCAACTCTCTCTCCGTTGCCTCTACCCTTTCCAACAGCTCTACGTCCTTCGTCTGGAGCGTCGACGACGACGACGACGAAGAAGCATCAGGAGCCACAGATGTGCGCGTGTTCGATGCCTTTAGGTCAGAGGGAACGGACTCCGAAGACTCAGCTACATTCCGCCAATGGTCCCTCGCCTGCCTTGCATCTACCAAATCCTCCTTCAGTCGGGACACCTGCAAGTCCAAGTCCGCTTGAAGTCGAGCCATTTGACGTTGTGATTCCGTTTGAATGCATTGGACATGATCCTGGTGTGCTGTTTCGGCGCATCTGAGATCCTCAAGGGTGTGTACGAGTTGACTACTGAGAAGTTCAAGCTCGCGACGAGTATCCCGTAGTTGGTCGTCGACAGCCAGAGGATGCGACATTGTGATCAAGAACTTTAACCAAGAAATAAGATACGGCTATGGATACATGTGTACGAGCAAAGATGGGGCAAGAGAACATTGGACTCTAACGTCGAAGCCACGCGCTAATAACGCCACAGTGACTGTGGGAATATATTTCCCGATTTCCACGTCCCTCCGGCGCTTGAGGGGCCTTTGTTCTGAAGTCGTCCCTTCATCTATAGCTTCGACGCGGATGCAGCCCTTCATCGGTGCTCCTATTGCTCCTCTGGAGGCTTAGAGTGATCGCGGCTCGATTGTGTCCTTTGGCACCAAAACTCGTTGTGCCACCGAGAATTTATCTCTACGATATCACGCCGCAGTCTCAACGTCATGAGTCGGCCCATTCCGTCGACTCCTTTGTCTAAGGTCTTGACCCTGCCGCACTCTCGAGATCGCCCCATTATATTGATATGCAATCGCTAGCGAAGCCACTCGGATCATTGATCTTGTTGTATCCCACAGCCACTGCTTGCTTTGAAGGGTCATTCCACCACCTGGATTGCCGCACACAGGCATCACCATTGACATTACTTATCGCTTCTCGCGCTTTGACCAGCGACCACTTTGGATTGTTGCTAAGAACGACCTTGTCCAAGTAAATCGTATGCTACTGAGACACAGGATGTGAATTTTCTTTGCCTGCCGCGTAGGGAACAAGGCTGGCTAAATGATTGACCCGAGGCGTTGTGACTCAGTCCAGCAACGTTCAAGGGCCCTGACACGCTCCCACGGGCCGCGTGTTCCTTTTGTTCTCTATATTATATAAGGGTTCAACCTCAATCGTCATCTCTCATCGTCCACCACCATCTTCTCATTCCTTCCGCCTCCAGAACTTCATCGAAATCACTTATCACCGCCATGCCATCTGGTCGCCGACATCGTAAAACGAAGAAGGTAGCAGTTACGGACCCGAAGTGGGAGCGGAAACCGAACAAACGCCTTATACGGATTCGAGAACCGTCAGAAGGTGAGTTTCAGTGTCGCAACTAAGGGACGCCCCGTCTGTACTGAAACTGTGCCCTTCTCCGTTCCTCCTAGAACCCGAGGATACACGGCCTTCGAAGAAAGTCAAGCGTGAGAGCAGGCCCGAGCCAATCGCAAACAGCGACAACGAAAAAGCAAGCGAAGTATCCCGTCCGAATTCCTTGTCGACTATCCCTATGGAACTTTTTCGACAGGTTCGTTTCTTGCTGAAATTGCTTCGCATAGCTCTCATCAAGTTCTACCATCTCCGTGTTTCGACAGATTGCATCATACGTCAGGCCCCGGGACCTTCTATCGCTCTCAAAGACGAACAAAGCACTTCATCTATTACTGTGGTCTCGGAGCTCGCAATCCATCTGGAAGGATATCTGGAGCAACCACCCGGTGGAATTGAGAGACTGCCCCGAGGACTATCCTGAACCGGCGTGGATAAATCTCCTCATGGGGAATACGTGCTGGGTGAGTGGCTTACATTGCTGTGGTTCCTTCTTATGAATGGGTTACGAATGCATATATCCGTGGACATCTAGGTCTGTGGCGCGAAAGACGCGAAGCGGGTTGACTTCAATGTGAGGCGTCAAACGTGTTTATATCCGAGTAAATGTGTCACAGCTGGGTAAGCAACTTCACCTTCACCACCGCCACCGTCACCACCGTCATCGTTCAGATTCCTCTGATTATACGCCATTGACACTGAACTTGATTCGACCGGATGGAATCGTCTGGCTTGTGCGTTCGTTTCCATAATCGCAGGCTTGTTCAAAAAAAAGAAGCATTGAAAATGGGTATTGAGGAAGACTGGCTTTGTTCAGCGATCGTCCACACTGCCTGTAGGTTTTCTTCGTCTCTAAAACCCCAGGGATTTCTTTCCACTTTAAATTTGATGCGATGTCTTCGCCTCCGACCTGTGCCCACTTTGCTGACGTGCATATTTTAAACAGGGCGTGATCCGGCTACGGCCACTAGTCACTGGGGTTTCACTCCCTACTGGAATCCAAAGGACATCCGTTCCCTTCAAGCCGAACTCAAAACATTTGAGGAGAACATGGAAAAGGAGGGTCTTACAGAGGAAATGAAGGCGAAAGCTAGGGAGCAGCTTCGAGAGGAGAAACATTGGTATCGATACGAGCGAGACAGGGTGAGTCTGTTCATCATGCATTATCAATTCTCTACGGATGTTATTTAAAGATCTTATCGATGACTGATGATGGTTGATCTTGATTGCAGCTGGCGGGATACGAAACCTCCTGGTACAATGGCGAGTATGGAGGGCAGCCTGGAGATGGGTTACTCTACGACCTCAGTCCTCGGCCATCCCACTTGTTCCGCGCGCAGGGTTAAGTAGTTCGACCCCAACTAGTAGTAGTTGCTCGCCATCAGTAGTAGCAACTTCCTCAAAATATCCCTAGACCTGGAGCCGTCACAATCGTATGTAGTGTGATGCCGTTTTTAATATGTGTATACATTGTCTCGCTGCTGCCTAGCATGCTGAGTTCTGACTGACAGGAGGTACTGGTAATGACAGAGTGCCTTCTGTACGTCCCTAATAATAAATCCACCATCTACTTAGTATGGGGATCAAGGGCTTGTCCACCAACGAAGGAAGCAAACGCTCCGTTGTGGCACCTTGTGCAACGCCACAGACGCGAATGCCCGAAAGGTAAGCGGCCCCTATTTAGCTAGATTTAGCTCCGTCGTGTTTAGCGATGGCACATCCGATTTACGACATCATCCTGGCCCTACTTCCTCCATCATCGCTCTTCTCCTAGTATACCACAAACAAGCCTTTAGTGTCGAAAATATACCATTCAATATCTTCTCCCAAATATCTTCGTCCAATCTACAAACACATTGAAGTAGTTGGCTGGTCGGTGGGTCACCTTTCCCGGCGTGAACTTGGAGGCGTGTCATGGTACGACGACGAACTTGCTGATTTTGATAACTCGAGTTCTCTTTACTCTATTAGTGTTCTACTCTGGAATGGCGAACAATCTCGCCGACGTCCTCCGTATATCTGAGCTTGAGGACCAGCTTCGTGACTCCCACCGCAAGATCGAATCCCTCCAGTCCGAGCTCACCTACCTGCGATCCCATACTGAGCGTCAGATTGCGGATTTGGAAGCAGACCTTCGCCAAACTCGAATGGCCAGGGACTCACACCGGAAAGACCTGGTACAGACCAGGTATCAACTCGGTAGGGCCTTGAAGGACCTAGGAGAGATGAAGGAGGCGAAGAAGAGGACAGAAGCCAGGGTGGATGTACCTGGAGGAGTGCTTGGAGCAGTGATACTAGACCGGGTAGCAGATGGGGCTGGAGGCGGAGTGAGGGCGGAAGACGGACTTGAGGCTTCACAGGTGAGATGGCACGACGAGTTGTGAGAGTGACTTTTCACTGATCAACACGCAGCCACCAGACGCTGTGGCTTCCGTTTCACAAGAGCAGCACGAATGCCAAGATATGTCCCCCATTGTGGAAGAGGAAAAAATCGCGTCAGATGGTAAAATGGTATTTGTGCTTCACCAGCTCTGATTTTCGGTATACTGATTTATAGCCCGACAAAAGGAACGTGAGTCCTAGATACGATTGGTATTGAAAGTGTCACCCTTGATGATTCGCGACTCACGATCATCCCAGTCGAGTCTTTCCCCTCCTTGGAACATGGAGCTACGCTGGTAGGTCAATCTTCCCTGCCTGCTTTTGTGACATTGACGCTGCTATATACAGCCAACCTCGGGAAAGAACGTGAAGGTCAAGGTTAGTTTCGATCATTGAAGCAAAAGTAAGTACTAACAGGTACTCACTGGCACTTTCACACACAGAAAGCCTCTGTATCACCGAGTGTCAAACCGCTGGCCTTCTTGGGCAGTACGAAGGCCGATGAGATAAAGCAGACGGCACCTGCGGATCCCGCAACCCAACAGGCTCGCGAACCGGTGAGATCTTTTTTTGAACTCTTGAGTTTGTGGCATTCAAGCTGAAGCTGAAGCGTACATCGATTTGTCTTTTGTGTGACGTACCCAGACCGAGCCAGTATCTGACCCTCCGCACATCAACGATGTTATCGACATCTCCGGAGAGTCTCAGACAGAATCGGCCACTGGTAGCGCATCGAAATCGCACAGTTTAGGCAAGGTGGGAGCTTTTGGCACCTTTTACTCTTTGCATTATGCTGGGCCGTAACGATATCCCCTCCGTAGCGCAAACGCAAAGCCCCAGTCCGATATGGGGCAGAAGCAGACGATGATAACTTCATGTATGTGGAGAACGATCCGTCCTCAGATTTATCCGAGTTATCGGATGATTTCAGCGAAAGGGATGAAGATAGTGATGAAGAGTACGGCGCGGTATGTGAACATCTTGCCGCCAGCTTGAGAATTGATCTAGCGTACTCATGCCGCCTTGCATATCTTCAAGGCTGCCAGCGTGCGCGCGTCGAAAGGTAAGGCAAGGGCACGGTCTAGCAATCCATCGTCTCGCAAGGCTCCAAACCTCCCACGGTCAACGACCACTTCATCTATTGCCGCTGGCGCCTCTGCCACAGCGACCTCTCGAGAGTTTCCTCTGGATAACGATAACATCAACCTCCCTGTCTTCTCCGTCCCTTACTTCACGAACCGTACTCCAACCCCGATCAGTCGTCAATTCCTGGCTTCGCACTATCGCTGCAGTAACGTCGGGCTTGTTGTCCCCTTAAACCCTGTCCACAACCCTTCCCCATCGTTCACCACAACCAAACCGCTCCAAATGCTCCACCCGTCGCACGAACAGAACCCTCATCTCCCTACGGAGTTTGGGAAGTCCGGCTCAATTCTGTCAAATAGACCCGAACTGGAGCCAGAGAACTATAAAGGAGATATAAACAAAGGAGGTGTGCCGGTGTATAGGCTCTGGGTGAAATCTAGAGGGGGAGGGGAGGGGAAGAAGGTGGAGAGGATATGTTATTTTGGAGAGTACGAGTTGAGGAAGGAAGGGCCGATGAGTGGAGCAGAGTTTCAGGCTCTCGATAGGAGTGTGCGTATGAGTTCGTATGCTGATTTATCAGATATCGATGTTGACGACGCCGCCGCTGCCAGGTTCGCAAGGCGTGGACCAGTTTCCTGCACGGCGCCAAGCCATTCTGCTACGCCTCAATGGTCGCGCGGATAGCGTTTCGGAGCGTCGGAAGAACTATAACGACCCAATCTGTGGAGAAAGAGGCCGCTAGGAGGAAGGGAAAGAACGCGAGCGTAGACGTGTCGAAAGAAGAGATCGAGAGGGCGATGTCCGCTGGGGAGGAAACGTTAAACGTGTGGTCATTGAAGTGTGTAGGGTACGATGAGGCTTTCGAGGAGGACATGAAGACTTGGTGGCCGGTTTGGGAGGAAGAGCAGAGAAGGAAGAAAGAGGGAGGGTCGTCAGCGAAGAGGAAGAAATAGGTGATGGTATCTTGCTGATATCTGGACGATGTACGACGAATCTTGGTTTGAGGTGAGATTTGAAACGTAACGAAATGCGACGACACGATAGTTTCGGACCTGCACTTGAATTTTGTTGAACATTGTACCGCTGGACATGTTTTCGTATCGAGGCCCTTCACCGTCTACCCAACAACTCGGTGTCGTCCGCTCCCAATATCAACCTGACGAAAAACGTTGACATCTCGAGGAAGCTTTCCGCGCGTATAGCTATGCTAATGCATCAGCTTCGATAAAACACAACCGAAGGGAGCAGGAAATGAGGCGGGAAGTAAAAAGTCACCTTCATTGACGTCATCATGAAGACCTTCAGGAGTGCCATTATAGGTGTCATTGTCTGAGCGATGAGCATACCGGAAGATGAAGGGACTAAGGTCGGTATACCAATGTGTCTCTACGATCAGAAATTGGGATCAGATACAGAGCCAGAGGAGAGAATGAGGCAGCCAGGTGTATGCATACCAGTAGTCCCTGCGATCGTAGACGCGTCCAAGTCAGAAACGATGTAATAGGGAAGGCATGCATGAAATGACCTCACGAAGGTTCAATCCCGGCTGTACCACAATGTTTTGCCCATCTGTACCACTTACATTACTTCCCACCAAAGCGCCCTGAATAGCCCCAGATAAGAACTGCCAAGCACCGCTCTGGCCTCCTGTCGTTGGACTGGTAGGCGTTGGATTGGTAGCAGACCACTTGAAGTCACTGATAGCGAGATGCCCAGCGAAGGCAATATTTTGGGCGCCCACGTCTAGTTGGTAAGGAGAGACGGTGGTATGATCAAATGCAGAGAACGAGAGGTTGAGGTACGCTGCGAGTGGAGACAGGAGGGCAATATATGTTGTCTGAACGTCATACACCGAGCTATACCCCGAACATCCAGGTCAGCGAACAATCTCAATCAATCAAGCTTGATGAAGGGAACCACACGCACCTCCAATCCACAACTTCCGTCTCGACGACCGCCCGAGCTCTTCTCGCCGCAACACCAACTTTCGCACCACCACTGACGAGATTAACGTTTTTCGTACTTCCAAGCCACTCTCCCCACTTCGATTCGTCAGACCGTAACAGCGCTTTGTCGAGCGCGCTTAGCGTGTCGTCCTGATGCCCAGCATTCTCCGACGAAGTGGCACGCATGACGAGTTCCTTCAGATGTTCAGGAAAGTCGGGGTCATGGGCCGTCAGACATTGCAGGTTGGCGAATGTAGGGCTTGGTGCACGGAGGTGCGTCGGGAAGGTGGTGGATTCGAGTGAGGAAATGACGAGGGAGAGGAGGGAGATAGCCTGTCAAACATTAAACTGCTATGAGACGGATTAGTCGGAAGTATACAGGGTGAAGTTGCGTACATTGCGTCTTCTACTCGGAGACGAGTTCATCTTGATCTCCATGTTGAGATTGAGCTTCCCCTTCTCCGCTACTCCTGGTGTGGCGAATTTGATACCGCTGCGTTCCGAGAATCCGTCTGGGGTGAGACAACGTTAGACATTAGGCATGCGGCGATGATATTGAGCTGTGAGACACTCACCGCCCTCGCCGAGGACGAAAGAAAATCCGTTTGGACGATACCTGCTGAGCAAGAAGTTTCGGATGGCGGGTCCACCCTGTAGATAGGTCAGTCGAGGGGGAACAGGTTAACCCGTCGAAAACAAGAGCGTAGAGTGAAGGACAGCGAACTTACGTAGATCCCTCCTTGCTCGGCATCCATTCCGAAAGCGAGGACTATAGTCCGTTCGGGTTTGAATCCCTTGCTCAGCAACGATTCTATTGCGATGCTGAAGGTGCGATGTGGCTCCAATGAGTATCCAAGCATAAGGACACAACACATGCACGAGGGGGCACGTACAAAATCGCGCCCAGCGTAGCCTTGCCGTCCACGGCTCCTCGACCCCATATCCATTCACCTGATTTGGAGTGCAAAAGTGTGAGTTGTTCTTTACGTGGTCAGCCTAAAGCATAGAGGCTTACCATCGACGTATCCAGAGAACGGTTGATGAATCCATTCTTCTTCGCTCTCTGGATCCACGGGGATTGTATCTTGGACATATATGTGCACATAAATACTCGAAGCGTGGGTAGACATTGAGAATCCAGAGCTGACCTTGGTGGGCAGTGAGGAGAATGGGCTTCAGACTCCTGTCTGCTCCTCGCCACTCGTACACAAGTGCGAACTGATTGAGGACTGTCCTCTTCAGGCTCGAATGCCTAGCCTCGGGAGCTTGAGTACAACCACGCTTGCGTGATTCTAGATAATTTGGAATCGGGCGACGTACATCAAGGGATATCGTTCTTCTAGATATCGATGCAGTTCGAGACGACTTTCCCAGCGACGATCTTGACCTGGTGGACCGATACCGTCTTCTGTCACGGTGCTATTCAACTTTTACTGGTTAGACCACACGCACACGTATAACGGATGTTCGACGTACGGGATGCGAATAGCTTGAGACAGGCTCTCATATGCCCACGCCTTGTACATGGTGTCTTCGTATAATCCCACCACCTCTCCATACAGAGCAGTGTGTCGTCCAAGATCCAGCGGCTGCACCTGAGGACAGAGTTTCAAAGCAGTCAAGTCCGCCGTAGTATGCGATTTATCCCAGCTGGATGATGCGCCAAGCATGAGAGCAGCGAAAGGTCCATCGGAGTTGAGAGTCGGCGGGAGAGATAAGGTCAAGAGCGCCGCCACAGTGAGGAGAAAGCTTGCGAGCAGCTTATTGCTCTGAAATTTTGACCTTTTCCAGAAGGTGGAAACTGTGAACGTATGGCCTTCACTACTGGAATTATTAGAACCAGTGCTGATCAGAGGGTTTGCTATTGAAATCATGAAACGTAGCCGGGCTGTAGCGGTCAGAGCGGATGCAGCCAGGAAAGCCAGATGAGAGATGGTACACAGATCGCCAAAGCAAGCCAAGCTTCAAGAGGGGGAAATCAAGAAAATTAAGGCGTGGATTCTCGCACCACGATACCCTCATGGCTAGTGGTGGGTATGTTTAGCTGCGTGGTGCTCTGGAGTTCAGTGGTGAGACACCTGTGGCGACCAATGCAGCCTCTCGCATTGTAGAGTGTGCGGTCAGGAAAGTGCACATACTCCACGTATCGAGGCTCATACGAGCGCAGAGGTAATGGTAAAGGCTGTCAGGACAAACACACGGTGAACGTGAACATGACGGTCAAGAGCAGAAAAGTCAACGAAAAATCAACTTTGCGGCGCGGAGATCAGCAGCAGATAAGATAACGCCACAGAAGATAAGATCAGATTCTCCCCATCCTAAATTTCGCGTCCAAGCAACTTTTTGAAAAACCTCCACAAAACCATCATAAAATGCCACACCCACATGCCTCCACCAGCTCATCCGTCCTTCCTTCACAATACGACGCCAGACAACACGTCGGAATCACCGCAGAACGGGTTACGAATGTCTCGAGTACGGATTATCCGGGACATTATCCCGACGAGGACCATTCGTGGGATTTGCAGAAGTTCAAGGAGGTGCGTGGTGTTTGTGGATTGGGTGGTGAACAGTACGCTAAACTTGGGTTTTTGGGTGGTATTTTGAATGGATGTGTGCATTGCGGACGATGTTGGCATTTTTGGATCGTGGCGGAGTAGACGTTGAAGGTGAAGGTACAGAGTCTGTCGAACAGGTCGATAGAGTTCGACCTGGTGGGTGTGGACGCGTCAATCGCGAACTCGCTGAGGCGAATACTGCTTGCAGAGGTGCGTTCATTCACTCTTGGTCCTATGCTTGTGGAAATACGTCTGTGTATGAAGAATTCAGGGCAGGCGGGCCACCGACACTCGGCGGGCAAGTTAGGATGCCGCCACCGCACAGTTCTCTACATCGACAGGCAGCTTTTTACACCTTGGTGAAAAAGCTGTACCAACACTGTTGTCGTTTGGCGTCATGAGTTCTGTGTCGACGCGGTCCCTGATGCAGGGCTGGTGATCATACTCCATGGGCCACACGAATAACTGCACAATCCATCGTCTCTTTCTCGTGTAGAAGCTAACGTCCGCTGCTTTTCAACGCTTCTCCATTAACGATCCCAACGGTTCACCGAATCCTAAAACTATCTTAACAGGTCCCCACAATAGCCATTGAATTGGTCTACGTATGGAACAATACCTCCGTCATGGTCGACGAAGTCTTTGCACACCGTCTAGGCATGATCCCCCTCAATATTCCACCACAACTCATGGACATGCGGACAGGTAAATACTTTCCTTAGCTTTTAATATCCCCCTGAGCTCACCTCACCCATCACTCGTCCACTTGCCATTCTCGCAGTCAACGACCAACCGACCGACCGCAACACCGTCGTCTTCAAACTCAACGTCGTCTGCGAGCGCAACCCTTCCGCCCCAAAAGACTCCACCGACCCCTTCGAACTCTACACAAACCACGAAGTCCTCTCTTCGCACCTCAAATGGGAACCCGCAGGCGAGCAGGCAACCGTCTTCGAGGCGGCGAGTCTGGTTCCGGCCCCGACCAATGGGAACATCGTGCTGAATAAGTTGAGGCCGGGGCAGGAAATTGATGTGGAGATGCATGCGGTGAAGGGTGTAGCGAAGGATCATGCGAAGTTTCAGGCTGTTGGTGCGTTTGCTCGTTCTTTGACTTTTTCTTGAGATGAGCAGATGTATTGAGATTACGATGTCGGATGTAGCAACTGCGTCGTACCGCCTCCTTCCTCTCATCATATTAAACCCGTCAAAACCGGTCCCACCACACCTCGCCACAAAATTCCAACAATGTTTCTCGCCTGGTGTGATCCGCGTGGACCCGAAAACGAAAGAAGTGAGCGTGGACGAGGAGGGGATGAGGAAGGAGAGTATGAGCAGGGAGGTGTTGCGGCATCCGGAGTTCGAGGGATGTGTGACGTTGGCGAGGAAGAGGGATCATTTTATCTGTACGTCTTACTCCCTCATTGTCCATTTTCAGGTTTCATTATCGCATGGTTGAACTGACATACCCGTCTCCCTCCTCTCATAGTCAACATCGAATCCGAAGGCGCGTACGCTCCGGAAGCCCTCTTCCTCGAATCCATCAAGGTCATGCGCGAGAAGATTTCCGTCCTAAAACGCGCCGTTGAGGCGTTCTCGAATTCGTCGGGGGACGGAGATATCCAGATGGAGGATGCATGATGTAGCCTGTACTTAGCTGGTGTACCGAGTCCTTCTTCATGAATATGTACAATTCATTGTACGTTCGAGCAAGGAGGGAAGTTATGAACCACTGGTTTGTGCGAGTGAAACACACACAGTTTCGGAACCTCTGTGTGCTGTACGTATACGCCCGAATCATTATTCCCCTGTGCGAACCGGGTACTCGATTCACTGTGAGTGAAATGGCATGAGTAGGAAAAAAATCGTATATGTGGATCGACTATGGACACATCCGGAATTGAACCGGACACCTCTCGCATGCTAAGCGAGCGTGATAACCAACTACACCATGTGCCCTTATTCTGGCTTTTAGGCGGCACATTATTATGAGTGGAACAACATCCAAAGGGATCCTCTGCTTTATTACCTCTTTATTACACTAAGGACCCGAACCTACTCTCAAAGTCTCAACTACATCGAGCGCCTGGAGGCCTCAAACCCTGCTACTTATAACTTACCTGAATCAGTAACACCTCTCAGCTCAATCCTTCTATGAATCCTATCCCTTCGTCTTCGTCACAACACGGTTCTTCCGGACCCCCCTTGAACTTTCAAGCATTGACCTCCCGCATAACACAACTCGAAGACTCCCTTTCCGATGCTCTCCGCTCCTCTAGGTCAAACGACGCGTTAATATCCTCTCTCGACGATGATTTACGAACTGCGAGAACGACTAGAGACAGGTATAGGGAGGAGACCGAGAAGGCGACTACGAGAAGTCAGGTGTTGTTGAATGAGATCGAGAGATTGAGAGAGGATAATGAGAAGCTAAAGAGTAACATGGAGAAGTTGGACACACTCCAAGTGGAGTTGAAGGAGGAGAGGGGTAGATTGCAAGCGGCGAGGGATGAGGAGTTTCGAAGACAGGTGTCGTTGAGGGCCGAGAATGTCCGGTTAAAGGAGGAGCTGGAGAGGATCAGAGCGAACACAGCAGAGCATAGACGAGTTGGTAGCCTCAGCGACACGGCCACGGAATCTACGGATGTCGTGAAGGGCGAGGAGGCAGAGCAACACAGAAATGTGGCGTCTGTTACAGGTCGGGTGGCGAGCTCAAGCTCGAGTCCGGTGCGAATCGGAACAATCAAGGTAACTCATGAAAAGAGATTCTTATGCAAGTTCTGAGAACTTTTCTTGACTTATGGCAATTTCACTCCAGCCCGAATCGACCAGAACTCCCATTGGCAAGAAGGCAAAAAAGGCCCTCATACCTGCAGATAGCGCAGTCATCGAGCTTAGCAGCGACGATGACGGTGAAGAGCAAAAGGGTGCGTGGGTTCAATTGACACGGTAAACTCTATTATCGTCGATCCGATAGAGTTCCGTATATACTCTATTTCGCGCGAGCTGAGCTTTCTCACAGGTTCAATACCGACTTCGGTAAGTTCTTTACAGGGTCACCAGTCAAGTTCCCAAATGCATAGGCAGCGACTTATTCTCATGATAGAACACTATCAGGATTACTTCTCAACAGCGACTCCCGAGTCCCTCAAGATCACCGGTGAAGAAGGAGGTCAGCCACACAAATCTTTGCAATCGAAGGTGTGTTCCAAAAACTAACACTGTCCGATATGTATAGGAGCCTTCGACGCCACATAGAGCGGCACGACAACCGACATCTATTCCCAATATACCGAAGAAAGAGGTATGCAAACAATGTTCATTTCGGCCTACTTCGTCCTCACCATACCCCGCACACATCTTTGGTAGAACCCAACATCACCAACCGTACCCGTGAAGCGGTCTCCCAGTGCTGTGCGCGCAGATACAACAAGACCACCAACCAGTCCGGATGAATCTACGCGTAAACGTAGAAGGCTTTCGGCCTCAAGGGTAGAGCAGGAATCTCAAGCATCGGCACCGGACGAGGGCCAAGTTCCCGATGTATACCCTACATCGGTATGTATATCGGACTAAGAGGCACATATCCCGACTGACAACATGAAACGCACGGTCACTTGTTAGGCATCTTTGAACCAGACCCTAGCCGCGCAAACATCTGAAGCGCGTCTACCTAAGGTGCGCAAACGAATACATCCTCCTCACCCTTCTCTATAGAGGTCTCAGCTCAAGGTATCACTTCGTTCAAGCCAGGTTCCTCGAAACATAACGCCTTTCGAGAATGATTCGGAAGAAGCGCCCAGGGCTATGACTTCGGCGACTGAACCCATACCGTCGACGGTCACTCCTCCTGCGTCGACATACCCGCTTCCCGCTATTGGTTCGCCCGAAGCTGCTCCACAACAACCTACAGCAGCTTCTCTGAGCACTTTCGTGAGTCGCACGCGTTGGATTGGACAGGCGTTCGTTCTCCCTTGGTTCTCATTGGTCAAGTTGACGCGCTGTTTTAGGGAGATATGGACGTCGATTTTGAAGGTGATTTGTCGGAGCTCTCATCGAGTGATGAGGAGGAAGAGGAGGAAGAGGAAGATCAAGAGATAGAGCAACCACCCAACCACGTGCGTGCGTTTCTGTGAACCTATTGAACTTATGCCTCAACACCGCATCACGAATACCAGAATGCTACTCTAGTCCCTCGTACATCTACTAGGCTTAGGCGCCGCCCTACGAAGAATATCACGATTGATGATGATGTAGATGTAAGTTTCTATCCTCTGTGTTCGCCTCGCATATAAGTAGCTTGACTGACTGGTCGTACCTCTCGTAGATGGTCGATGGTCGCGCCTCTGATGGAGATTACGAGGATGTACGACCCATATGTTGTCCATGGTATCACTGAGTCCTGACGCTATCTTGAAACTTGTTTTAGGCGGATTACGACTCTCCAGCAGAAAACGCGAAGGTTTGTCATATTTTCTACACGTCGCTCCTGTCGAGCCATTATACTGAGGAAATAGTCGCACAACCAGGGCTCGCGCACTCGCGGAGCGAAACCGAAGGCTTCTGGAACCGGAGTCAGGGAGTCAAGATCAACGACCACCACTTCAAGAAAGAAGGGCAAGAAAGCCAAGGTTACACCCACCCTCATAACTAACCTCTCCACCCCTACCGCACAAGCAACACTGAAAGCATTCTACGCCACACTAACATCTCCACCACCTCCATCCTCCAACGACGGTCTCATCCCCCTTCTCCACGACCGCGTCAAGGACATTCCCGCATTCCCTATCCCTTCACTTTCCTCACCCAATCCTCCTCATCGCGTCGGCCGAATTCGCAATCCAGCAGCCGTCTCACGGTCCTTCGTATCGAAGCACTATGGTAGTCAAAACTGTACCTTTCACGCCTCCATCGCTCCGGAGTCGAATATACCCGTCGGTACGCGGAGATCCATGCTCTTCCCTGAGCATAACCAGAATCCGGATCTGCCGAGGTATCCCGGAGCACCCGGAACGATCGTGTCTGTGCGGAAAGAGTTGACGGAGAAGGGACCTATTATTACGATTTGGGTCAAGGTGAGGGCCGCAGAGAAGGAGGGAGACAAGGACGGACAAGCGAAGGGGAAAGGAAGGACAAAGGCGGCAGAGAAGATAAAGCCTAGGTGGATGTATTTTGGGAACTTCGAGGTTAGGAAGTCGGAGAGACCGTTGAGTGGGGAAGAATTCTGTGCGATGACGCTTGATGTGCGTACTCTCGACTTGACACCTCCGTTGAATAAATGTGCTGATATTGTTGTTCATGCGTAGTCGCAAAAGACGTGGATAGTGGGGCTGTGTAAGTCGAAACAGAAAACAGACGCGAATTTGGCTACGAGGCTTTTGCTACGCCATCATGGTCGAGAACCGGATGTGATGGATGAAGACGAGATCGAAGAAGAGAATAGGTCGAGATTGAACCGTGGCTCGGTCGAAGATTTCGTGAACATCTGGCAGGCGATGCGGGATGGGAAGGAGGTATGATCAACGCTCCAGATGCGATCCCGGACTTCGAGGAACTGATGTCTTGCTCCGGATATAATGTGGCCACAGCACCTCCATGTTTGGACTCTTCGTTGTGTTGGTTATGACGAAGACTTTGCGAGGGATTTAGAGGCGCAGGGTGCTAAATGGGATAGACGAAAGTAGTCGCATATTATTGTAAGTACGCCGTTTGATCTAAAGATCAGCGCGGCTGCAGTCAGTCTCTACGGCTCCGTGGATCGCATTCGAGTCCTCTCCAGGCTCATACTTACACCTCCAGGTTCGGTATTTTTGGCGCAGATACAGTTGCACGCTCGTTCGCTCTATAGCGGCGACGTTGAACGATGCTATTTTTAGCCATCTCTAACCAAGCCTTTTCCACGGTCATCGAGCGATTCACGGTCGCCAGAATCTGGAAGTTGGTATGATACAGCCAGGGCGCGGCCAGTCCGGTCAATAAGGTCGCTTCGATTGTGTCTTGCGATGACGACGGTCGGCGAAGGCCGCGAGAATGTCGACGAGCCAGGTACAGATATGTTGCCTTCGACAGCATTGTCGAAGGTTGATACACGCACGAGTGTCGTGCCTGGCCATGTTCACCTCCGTCAAGTAGTGTCAGGGCTACACGAGAAAAAGAATGAAGGATGCCACATATTCGATCGGTGCTTCAAGACTACCAACTGTATCTTGGACTTTCAAAGCGCGATTGATTGTAACATTTCCCCACCTCATCTTATCACCGCTAGCGCTTGTTCACCATGATATGAACCAGTTTGGGCATACAGCATGCTCCTGGACCTCATTGCTTCTCAGGATGCTGGCAACCTATCTGTTCTTGGCGACGGTAGTAGTGGTACGGCAAGCACGAGTGATCCTTTGATTCGGTGTGCTATGCAGTATACACTGCTCGCATCAACAAAAGTCCACACATGCACAGGTGAACGGCCCCCCATCCTTCAAGTGCGCTTTGCCTGCTAGCTGGAACTTGAGCTGGTCTCACCACCCTTCTGTTCCCTCATTCTCTCGCCTTTTTTCGCTCGTTCTTGTATCATTATCCCACACCATACGCGGTGACGACTCTCATTCATACTGCGCACGGTCTTCGAGCAGGCTCGTAGGCTTTTGTTCGTTCCTGGAGAAATTTCCACAGAACTCTGTTTGTCTTTTGTTCGACCGAACGTGTATACCTCTATCCGCAGCAGATGATTTGTATGTTCGAACTTTGGCTTGGCTCAATCGCCATACTTACTACTCACTCTCTTGTAGCGTCTCTTCTACCCGTCAAGAATTTATTCTTGAACGTCCTCATTCTCCTCTCATTCACGCTCTCATTCTTCCCGGGAGCACGAGCGGGAGATTGCTCCAATGATGGGTGCGCACCTACTATCTTATGTCCCTCTGAACTTTCGCTCATCGTCTACATCTCGTCATGAAGGCACGGCCACTTCATATGTGACGACAATAGTAGCAACGTTCGTATCGGACTCAGTATAGGACTCTGTACGTCTTCTCTCTTCGTTCCTTCCTCACTGCAATCCATTCACCGTTCCACAACACGGAAATATCCCTGGCCTTATTCTATTGGATTCCTAGTGGCCCTGATCGTAATCCTGTCCTTCGCCGCCGCATTTTGGCGCTATCGTCGCAACAAACTCGCACAAACTCGCAAACGCATAGCTCCCCCATCCGCAGCTCCAAGCATGTCACAAACATACCCCTACGCCGGTGGCTTTGGTAGGAGTGGAAGAGGGTCACCGTTTGGGAATGCTGGAGGGCTTAGCTATCCTGCTCCTACGTATGGAACTAGTCAGAGTAATTCGGCGCCCGAATGGGACCCGACAGCTGGATTTGCACCGGTACGTTGAATCACGACTGATTCCAGGTGCTTGCGGTGCTGATGTCCAGTTTTTTTCGTGAATAGCCCTCGATGCCTCCGCTAAACAGACGTGGGATGACGAATACGATGTCAGTGCCGCCGCCCAAATATAGCCCTCCACCGGCTGGCACCTTTGAGGCTCCTCGGGAGAAGGAGGAAGTGTAAAAACTTAGCGTGGTGAATTACGAGATATGTGATGTTGAAGTTGTTGTTGGGTCGTTGTTGTTTATCTTATTAATGTTGTATAATTGGGAACAATTGTTCTCTTGTCATCACGTGCCCTGCGTATAGTACGGTCTGTCCTGACTCTGCCAACTTGTTCGAGCTCGCTTTTGCTCCGAGCAAGTTCGATTGAGCTGCTGAGCAGACAACCGTACAACGACTGCAGAACAAACGGCAAATCATTCCACACGTCCGTTAGCAATCCTTCGGCCGTAAACAATGTACAGCATCTATCCGTAGCAGAGGTCATCTGCACCTTGAACCTCAAGAACAACTTCCGGACGAAACAACGCGAAACAACGTAAAACAACGCTGCCCTTGAGTGAACAACGGTTTCGGTCCTGCTTCGGTCGTTGCGCTCGTCGGTGAAACTCGGCCGAACACGTCCTTAGGGTGATCGTGCAGCTCTGCGTCGCGCATCCTCCGAGACTCCGTTCATCATCATGCCGCCGTTACCCCGCAAGTCATTCTTCTACCCCGCATCATAGCGCTGGCGCCAACTGCCTTCAGGACTCGTATAAAGGTTTCGCATTGAATCGTCCGAAGACGAGAGTCGTATATCAACTCCCCGTTCTCATAGCTTATCAGCTCAATTCGCAGGAGACTTCTTCTTTCCATCATGCTTGCACGATCTGTTCATCGAACGTCTCGCTCATCGAGCTCAACGAAGAGGATTGTTTTGCGTGGACTGTATGCATTTGATTCCACCAGATGGGTGAGGGGGTTACTGATTCTTTGTTTAGGGCCACAGAGGCGAAGAATATACGGCCTGACACGCCTGACAATCTACCACTCACTGGTATCAGAGTTCTCGAGCTCGGTCAACTTATTGCAGGACCCTTCGCTGGGCAACTGCTCGGGTAAGTCTCATCGTTTTCGAGGATGTCTCTCTTTTGGTCCACTCACTGACGAACTTGTGATACGCGTCCAGTCACTTTGGTGCAGAAGTGATCAAGGTAGAACCACCACTAACGGGTGATCCTCTTCGCGTATGGCGCGAACTAGACGTGGACGGTACCAGCCCATGGTTCCGTAGTCTCGGACGCAACAAGAAGAGCGTCACAATCGACCTGCGAAAAGACGAAGGAAGGGCGTAAGTACCGTTCGTTCCCGTCTTCACCTCTTACTTTCTTTCTTACCACATATGTCACGGCGATCTCTACGATCTCAGATTGGTGAAGAAGCTCGCATTAAAAAGCGATGTCATCCTCGAGAATTTCAAACCAGGCAGTATGTTCTGACCCCGCGGTCCAATTCAATTCAACTCCCTTTCCACATCCTCTCCCTCTCTTCCCATGGTCTAACTTTCCCATCACATGTCTACTTTTCCCACCACACACACACCTAACCTGACCTCGATTTCCTATCCTCCCTTCCAGCTCTGGAAAAATGGGGCCTCGGACCAGACGACCTTCGCCCCTTGAACCCTTCGCTCATCTTCACTCGCGTCTCCGGCTACGGTCAAACCGGCCCCTGGGCCAAACGACCAGGATACGCCTCCGTGTGCGAAGCAGAGTCCGGGTTTCGTTATATCAATGGTTTTCCGGATCTTCAGACGGGTGGCCTTGCCGGGCCACCTGTCAGGCCGAATATTAGTTTGGGGGATTCGGTGGCGGGGTTGCACGCTGCTTTTGGCACGGTATGTCGAATGTTTCACTGCTGCGGTCGTGCTTTCGAGACATACGCTGATGCTTCGAGTTTAATTCAGGTATTGGCATTGCTTGCAAGGCGTGTCAAGCAGGATAACGGCCTATCCGGAGGGTCGACAGTGGACGTCAGTATACTGGAGAGGTATGCTCTAGACATGGCTCTGACTTCGATCCGGTAAATACTCACGTCCTCATCATAGTATGTTAAATCTTATGGAAGGCATCATCCCTGAATACGATCGTAAAGGCAAAGTACGCCACACGCCACCCACGCCCCTCATCACCCCATTCACCCTCCGCCTCTTGCTGATCCCTTCCACCCTATCAGGTCCGCGGTCCCTCAGGCTCCTCCGTCACCGGCATCGTCCCCACAAACGCCTATCCCTGTCGTCCCTCGCCCTCCGCCCCCTCTGCGCCCTCCTACATCGTCATCGGCGCCAACGGCGACAGCATCTACGAACGTCTCATGAAAGTGATCGACCGGCCGGACCTCATTGGCCCTTCATATAAACACAACAATCACCGCGTCGAACGGCAAGCCGAGATCGAGAACGCGATTTCAGGTTGGACAAGCGCAAGGAGTGCGGAGGAGGTAGAGACGATTTTGAACGAGGTGGGTGTGCCGGTGGGGAGGGTGTGTACTGTGAAGGAGGTTGTGGAGGGAGAGCAGATTAAGGCTCGTGGTGGAGTTGAGGATGTTTGGGTACCGAATTCGAAGGGGAGGAGTGCGGGTGCGGGTGCGGGTGGGAAGGTAGAGGGAGAGGATGGATGGACGATGAAGATGCCGATGGTCGCTCCTATATTGGAGGGTTGTGATCCTAAAACGAGGTGGGCAGGTCCGGATCTGGGGATGCATAATGAGGATGTATTGGTGGATCATCTCGGACTTTCAGAGAACGAGGTTAGGGGACTGGTGGATAGGGGTATTGTTGGAGCCTTCACGTCGAAGGTGGCTCAAGAGCAGGATGGGTTGGGGCCGGATCTGGGTGCCTATAAGCAGAAGGTGGATACACAAGCTTTGGGAAAGTGAGTGTAGTTACTGGACGCTTCTTGTGAGCACTTGCGTTCGTTGTAATTGTATCGTTGTGTTGTTTGCTCTCCAGCTTGTGAGATGGGGGCAGACGTTTGCTATTGATACTTGATAGTCTGAGGTACAGCCGTAGAGTTTCGTCTGCGCCAGTGACAGTCCTATTCTATACGCCCATAACGATCTCAGTGAACTGCCCAGGTAAAAAGTACATAGGGTCACAAGTCATTCGCGACTATACTTCTTCTATTCATACTCAGACGCGCCTCAAAGCCAATGGAACCCAGTCGGCTTCTCAACCTCACACTTCGCCACCTCCCTCACTCCCTTCCCTCCCTCCACCCTCTCAAACACCTTCACACCCCCCTCAGTAACGCCCCCCGCAACAATCCACTTCCCCTCTTCTCCCTCTCCCATGCCGCCCAGAACCATCCCTCTCAGGTGCGTCAAGCCCGTCCGCGGCTCGCTCACCAGTTTCGGCTCTCTCGGGTTTTCGAGGCTGTAGATGGCGATGGTATCGCCTAGAGGAGACGAATCGTTGCGGTTGGAGACGTAGAGGTAGGGCGTGGGGAAGGACGGAGTCGGGACTGAGAGGAAGATTTCGGCGGCGAGCATGAGGCCGAGGTTGGGAGGAGGGTTGAACATCGTTGATGTTGAAGAGAGAAGTGTGGGGGAGGCGGGAAGGGGAGGAAGAAGATGGGTTGCGACGTGGCTTGTTAGCTCCAGGAGGGTGTATAGGATGCCGTCTGAGAGATCGAGTCAATATATTTTGTAAAAGATGAATCAGGACGCTTGGACGCACCAGAGTAAACCAGATGTCTGGGGCCACTGCCAGGCTCGTAGTCGACATGACCAACGACTGTCCAAATTCCCTCTTCGTTTCTCTTCAACCGCCACGTTTTATCAGCTCCGAGGTCTGGGATCAACACTTCGTTCAATTCTGGTACGAAAACAACCTGATGCGGATGCGAAGACTCTTGACGATCTTTATCAGGACCGGTCCCCGTGAACGAAACGGCTTTACAGGCGGTCGAAGCCGGAAGGTATGGTGGTTTGGAAGATAGGGGCACTTGAAGTACGTTTCCTGACATGTACTATTTGTGTCAAATAGTCAGTCTAGAGATTTTACCAAGTGTGACACGAACAGAACATACGTTTCCGACGAGCAAGGTTCCATCCACCGCTAGCAGCGAAGCAGGCGAATCTCCGCCAGATTCTATTTCACCCAGAACCGTGCCCTTTCCGTCCTCATCGTACTTCAAAGTGATTATCTTCCCAACCGTGTCCTCCAAGCCCGTGAATACAATGGATGTATCGCCTGGATGAGGAGTGATCCAGGATGGGTGGAAGCCGACTTCTATGGAGGATGTGACGCTGAGGGATGGCTTTGATGGGTCGAAGAGGAGTGTGGTTATCGAGTTTGTGTACGATGCGACGAGTATCCGATAAACCATCTTGTTGTAATCTGGCTACACAGCAGACTACGTCAGTCAGCTTCGAGATAATTTCCCGAATAAAACAGTGGTTGTGCTCACCTTGTGGTGGGACGACGAGCAGCTGCAACGTGGACGTTAAACTCAAGCACGACATGTATCAAAGCTCTTATCCGTATCGTCGATCTTCCGAGTCATCGTTTCGCCAATTGGTGCCAGCCCTTCAGCGTGCCTCCGAGCATAGTCCGTCGTCCGATATCGTCGCTCACAACGTTAACGAAATGGCCACAGACACTGGACAAATTTACGGTCGGTTGGTCAAGGAGTGCGAAGGCAAGCGCTGGAGTTGGTAGACAAGAAAGCCGTTCGAATTCCTTGAGGCGAGATTTCTCCTTCCGAATGTTGCCGAGACCGGGTGCGCTCTTGGGCCACTGTTTGTGGTCAGAATTATAGGTGCTTTGAATAAAACGCTGAAGAGGTCGAATAGCAGGCGGCCAAGTAGCGTTCCTTACGGCGAAAGGTCGGGACGGGTACGTTATGGTAATGGACGGAGGAATGCAAGGTAAATGGCCGCCCGATCCAACTTGAACTACGCTACGCCACACTTTCCTCACTGGCACACGCTCTTCAAATGGTAATGTCACGAGATATTTAAAGGTACTAACTCTTCGAGAGGTGGGGTACATACAGTCTAAGCGTGAATGCGTGAAAGACACTAAGCAGAAAGCGAACGATGGCAACTCTATGTAAAGGGAGCGGCGCTTCAACTCGATCTGAATAGTGGGTATGAACGCACGCTTATACTGGTACCATCTACTCCTCTATGCTCGGCTTTGGGAAGCTTATCACCTGCATGTCAAACTCGACAACAAACTCGACCCCATACTCAACTTCGATCTCGCTCCTAAGTCGATTAATATCTCCATCCCTAGTAGCCTCCCATTCCCAACGATCCCTATCCACGGCCAAACGAACCTCACGGATCGGAACAGCCATGCTATCCCTAACCCTTACAAGATCCCGGATATAGCGCACACAACTCGCCAAAGAATCAGTAGTACGAGCGATGAACCAAAGACGCTTGAGCTCGGAACAAATGACCTTCGGATGCTGACGCTGAAGAACATCAAACAGCGCTCTCGCACTCTCGACCAGAGCACAGGATGCACCAGCACGAGTGCATTCCCAAATATCGACGCGCAACCCTAGCTCCTCCAAGAACGGGACGGACGACAAGAGATCGTCCCACGAGGCAGGCTCGACCTTTGGCATCTCTCCCCGGGTGAGTTTCTCGATATCGATCCAGAGCCTTGTGATGGGTTGACGAGACAGGAAGGTATGTAAGCACTGGGTTGTGTCGACACAATATCGCGATGCGGGATCTTCCGTCCAGACTTCGAAGAACGGGATCCTAGACTCAGAACCATCGTGATTACTGGCGGGTCCTTCAGTAATACCCTTGAGTACGCAGAAATCGTCAGATAACTCGAGATGACACCAGGAAACCTGTTGTTGTGCGTCGTTCAGGAAAGGGATGTCTAATAGGCCAAAACCAGAGCGGTAATTTCCCGGATATTCAACGCATAGAGTGAGTTTGGTTCTTGCTGATATGTTGATCGAGGAAAGGAGACAGTCGACGACGGGGAAATCGCATTTGGCTTTCACTGCCACTTGGAAGTCGAGGAGATGCATGAGATGGGCTCTGGAGGAATGGTTCCTGGGCTGCTGAAAGGGAAGGTTGGCGCTGGAAAGGGAGACAAAATCAAGGGCGCGGAGTTGAGGCATGTTTGCAACGACATTGAGAAGAACATCAAGTGGCGACACCAAGTTGGAATCCTCGGGAAGGTCAAGCACCCGAAGGCTGGGACAAGAAATACAAAACTTGGGGAGGGCTTTCAGGGTCTGGATAGATATACTGCGAAAGGCTCCGTTCAAGGCGATGGATAGAAGACGTTCGTCTCCGAGGCTAGGGCCATCAACAGTGAATAAACCTGTCATTTCACTGAGCAAGACTGAGCATGAGGGGGTGGATGAGTAGCGCTTGGTGACGGTTGCCGCAAAGTCTGTGAGCGTCGTCACGATGTCGTCGTCATCTATTCCAGATTCGCCTGAGATCTCCGAGTCCGTCTCGACAGTTACGGTGTCGTCGACATCTATAACAGACTCGTCTGAGACCTCCGGTTCAGACTCCATCTCGACAGTGACCCGGGCTGTCGGAGGGATGCGGAGAGAATGGAAGATACTGTCGATGCCAGCCGTGCCACGGTCGTCCCAGCAGACGAAGACTAGTTCGCAGAGATGGTTCAGTGCGACGGTTCGGGGCGAAAATCCAAGAGGAAGTGGATCGACGTCCTGGTGGAGGGAGAACTCCAGGTATCTGAGATTTGGAAGATGGGCAAGCGTGGACAGAAGGCCCCCGAGCGGGAGTCCTTTGTCGAATATCCGATCCTCGTTATGATCACGGAACCATACACTGATCAGCTCATGATCCAGTTTGGCTGGTAGTTGGCGTAGCCATAAGTCCAGTGGCTCCCCGTATTTGAAGTCTGGAAGAGTGGCACTATCAGGGGAAGAGTCGGTCTGAACGGTCGGCGGCCACAAAGATAAAATATCGTCAGCACAACAATTGCTTCTGGGCAAGACAGCGCGGATAGACATGGCATTCGCTCACCATACTGATATCAGACATGATGAATAAGAGCAGTGACTCGGAGGCGCGTCTGGTGAGTGGACTAACGAAGGGGGTGGGATGAGGATGATAGCGCGGAGAAGAGCCTCGACCTTCTTATACCTTTTCGAACAGGCACAAAGCGCCGGGCTCGATCGTGGCATGGGCAGTCACAGTGAATCACATGGCAACGGTCTTGGCGGTTGCTTGGCAGCCTGTGTCCGCAGTTCCGGATGGAGGAACAAGGAAACAAAGCGATAAGGCTGTACTTTTAAGGCCTGTTGTTCGATTTCCAAAACACCGAAGATGGCCTTTGTTCTTCTTTCGCCGGGAACAGCAGAGGGGAGTACAGTCGGTCTAAAAGTGCTCTGTTCAACAAAAAAAAATACACAAGACTCTTCCAAAAACGAGATAATTACGTCTAAACAACATTATAGGACTGTTAAGTACTCGGCTCCGGCCAACGTATCTTGCTCAAGTCAAACTCCTCCCGAAAATCTACCCCACACGACACAATCTCCTGTCTAAGTACCATAACACGTTCATCCGCACAAGCCTCGCGTCCCCAGCGCTCCCCATCCACCGCCAAATGAAGCTGAAGGATCTCAGCTCCCACACTACGTCTGAACCTCACAAGGTCGCGGATCCCGGTCAGACAGTTCACCAAAGAGACCGTACGAGTGACGAAGACGAGCCACAGACGGTGAAGATTGGGACACACGACGCTTCCGTCCTGATACTGATATCGAAGAAGGCCAAACCACGCATCCGCACTCCCAACTAGCGCAGAGCACGCAGGATACCGGGCCCATATATCGACGCGCAGGGCGAATTCCTCCACGTCCGGGACGGAAGACAAGAGTTCGCTCCATTCGAACGGTATGGCCCATGGGGTCTCGATTTGTGTGAGCCCGTCGATACTGATCCAGAGCCTCGTGATGGGCCGAGCGGAAAGGAAGGACGGCAGGTTTCTCATCGTCTCCATACAAAACGCAGGCGAGGCTTGGTCACTGTCCGCCCGAACTGTGAAGAGCGGTATCCGAGCGCTGTCGTCATTCCCAGCGGCGAGTCTCTGAGTGGCTCCTATGAGGGCGCAGGATTTCGAGGATAAAACCAGATGACACCAGAATGCCTGGAGTGCTGGGTCCATGCCTTGAGATTGAAGCTCGAATAGGCCACGACCAGACCCGGCGATGTCGAGATTGTCCTGTCTTGCCCTGAGGATAAACTCGGTCTTGGCTGATATGTCGACACAAGAGAGTAGTCGATCGACGAGGGGATAATGCTGCCTGCGGGAGCACTCGACGGAGAAGGTGCGTAGGTGCGTGAGGTTGACTCTAGGGTGCTGAGCCCCGCGAGTGGGAGAGACGGTGACGTCGGCGTCCGGGGTGAAGGTGAGCCTGAGATGTTTTAGCTGTGGTGTTATAGTGACGACGTTGAGGACGTCGTCAAATGATAATTCCAGGCCAAACTTGAGACTTAGACGGTCCATAGTGCTGCACGGTTGTGGGAGTGAAGCGACGATGGGGGTGTAATGAGAAAAGCACTGTAGACGACTGGCCTTCTTATACTTTCTTGACAACCGCATGGACAAAAGGGCCCATTTTTGAGATTAGGAGTCATAAGATCGTATTGGCACAGTCTCAGCAGCCTCACGGCCGTGCCATGGCCCTAGTAACCGCACAGACACACCGGATATACAGAAACGAAGTCGATCGCCCAAGAAAAAGAACGGTAGTAGGTTTCACGTTGAAGATGCCCGATGAATCGATGACGGTAGGTGTCAACAGGTGCCAACGCCGGAGAACTACGGTCAATTGCAAGGCGTGGGAATCAGCTCTTCGACGCCACGCGTGTGGCCCTTCTTCGAGTTGGCCGCTTCTTTCAAGATTTGAGCACCAGCCCTCTACCGAAGGACTCGAGGACGAGCATGGCAAAAGCACAAACGGATCTACACTGATATACGATATCGAAGACACATCCTACAGCAAAGCAAAGCAATACAAAAGTATCATATAGATATGAGCACATCATAGATAATACAAACAAGCAAGAAAAACAGACGCCGAATGTCCAGACACATTCGGTCGGTATAATCGTGTGTGGACGAAGTCCGAGATGCAAAACGGGGCGAAGTCCAAGGTGCGAAGACGAAACGGAACGAAAACGAAGGCTACCAAGCGAGCGAGGAACCCTTCAACAAATGACACACTCCGTGTCATTCACACTAGTCTTGACGAGTCTCGCCTCGAACGTCGCTCTCAACGTCCCGCGCGCGTCGACATACGGCGAATGAGTCCTATTTCGACCGAGCAAAAAACCACATCGAACGATCAGTAAAACGCTCCCTCTCATCGTATTCCATCCCCCAAGGCCGAAAGTAAAAAAAAATAGGCAACTCACTCATACTGCAACGAAGCACCACTCCCACCCCCACCAATACCCTTCTCCAACACCTCCGAAATCTCATATGTTCCCCCGCTGCCTCCCCCTCCCCCTCCAGACGATCCTGACCCGCTCTTCCCATTCTTACCACTATCGGGTCTAGCCTGTAACTGTTTATTCCCCGATCGAAGCCGTACGATGATATTCGGCTGCATCTTTCCCTTTCCCTTCCCTTTCGTGTTTCTGGTGCTATTGCTGGGATCGGTGATGAAGATCGAGTTGCGGGCGGGATGTTGTGGAGGAGGTGATGTGGCGGATGAAGTTTGGGGGAGGCCGAAAGATGAGTGGCGGGAGAATTTGGATGGGGTGGGAGGGGCGGAGAGATGTTGTGGTAGGGATGAGGATGAGGAAGATGAGATGGGTATGACTGGGTTTGGGTATGAACGCGCGTCGCAGATGACGAGACGCGAATCGACGTAGGTTTGAGGACTATGGTCTGAGAGACCGAGCGTGACGGTCCAGGGCCCTTTATTCGGCGTTGAAAACAAGATGTACCACATCCGACCTATGTATGGTCCATTTAGCTCGGCACAACGGAGTGGATAATAATGATAATACACACAGAGAAAGGGACGTACCACGCGCAATAAACTCCACCCTCACACTCCCCGTCACCCGCATCCTCAACTGAAACATCAACACCTCCATCCTGACCTCAAACGTCGTCGGATCCATCCTCTCCTCCATCACCACCACCTTATCACACCTCGCCCCCTCCCCCTCCTCCAAGCCCATACCCCCATTCCCATTCCCCAGCAATATCGCATCCGACCCGACTAAAGGCGCGAAAGCTCCGAACCGCTCTCTGATGCTCGTAAACAGCCTATGGTCCGAATTGAGCGTACAGGCGTGTCGGACCTCGGAGATCGTGAGGGGGGTGACGGGGTTCATGTACGAGAGCAGCGCCATCACGAGCCCCGCGCTCTGCTCTTCTCCGTCTCTCATCGCCCCCTTCGACGAATGCGACGCCACGGGCCGCTTAACGATCGCCCAATACACCGGCGTATGGCCCTCAATAAACCCATCCTGCAATATCGCCGAAAAATCCAACCCGTGCGCCTCACAGGCTTCCCTACAATTGACCAACACGTCGGAAAATTGAAACTCGGTCGAGGGGTGTGGGTGTTGGTGGATGAGGTTGCGGAGGAGGTCTTGGACGGTCGTGCGCATTTGTTTGGCGGATTTGGAGAGGCCGAAGGAGAACCAGGGGGAGGATTTGGCGCGTTGTTTCAGTTTGCGGGGCGGTTGGGAGTTGGATGAGGAGCCGAAGGATGTGGAGGGTAGGGTGAATAAGGATGGGGATTTTGGGTGATCATGGGAGGAGGGAGGGAGAGGTGGGAGGGGGGCGTTGATGTTGGAGGGTCCGGGCATGTTTAGGACAGAGGCGTAGGGCGGGGGTGCGTCGGTCGGTGGGGCATCATCGGAAGTAGACTTCTGTTTGTTTTTGTCGAAGATCATGTCGTGTGTAAGGACGAGAGGGAGTGAAACGGAGTAATAGGCTCTCAAGATACAAGTAGTCCTGATGAAGTGCAAAGGATGGTGAGCGTCCTTCGAGTGAAGAACTTATCAAGATGTCTTCAAAAGACTATGCACGACTGCTGCGCACGGTCAATAAGGGCCGTAAGTGTGTTATTTGCTTTGAGCTCTGGGGGTACTGTAGGAGCAAAAGCTGTCCTGATATCCTTGGCTGTGTACCGACGAGAGGTGCTCGGAAGAGGATGGCCGCCGGCTTGACTGAAGAGTCATTCAGGACGGCAATTCCCGAGAGAGAGCGCCACCGCCACAACGCCTTTTCTCAACCTTTCCGTCCAATTTCCAGCCGGTGCCCCAACCCATCCATCGGCACCCCCAAAAAACGAAAGACACCAGTATCTAGTCTCGACTCGCTCGAACTATCTCTGCTGTACGAAAATATTAAGATTCCAAGACAGAGTGCCCGATCCGAACGTCTTCGACATCCTCAAGGCTCAAGATGCGAGAAAAGTGGAATGCGTCGAACGTATATAATTAGTCTTTTTCACCGTATAGTGATGCGCCGACCGTCTTGATTCTCCTATTATGCACAGTTCCTTAGATCCCAACGTTCGACAATGTCTTACCCCAGCTCCTCCTCCACCATTCAACCCTTCATAGCCCAACCCATCGTCGCCATAGCCATCGCCAACCACTTCACTCCACTCCACCCCACTCCACCCCACCTGACCTCCCCCACACGGTCCGCTCCTTTCTTCCGCGCTGCATACACCTCACCTCACCAAAGCCCGATTCATCAATTTGTGAACCCGTCCATTCAGGACCTCGACCGTCCTCAACACCGTCCTCGCCACAGGCCAATCTAGCGGCTCTCTATCCCTGATAAGAATCAGAGGGACGTTCGTTCGTTCGTTCGCCGCACTCCAAGATTAATAAAGGCAGCCTAAGGGTGCGGAGCGATTGATCAGTCCTTATTATTACAGTATTTGGGTGCCAATACTGAATCCGAATCGTCTATCCAAAAAATGGCGAGGCCTGAGGGTCCCGGACTAGAACGAGGGCGAGAGGTAGTACTGTATTTCAAAGTCGAACGATGAGTCTCCGAGGTGTCGGTTGCAATGTCGATGTGATACTAATAGATGGTGGTCGTCGGTCGTGGAGCCACTGGCACGGACGCGATTATTCTGTGTGATGTCCGACCTGGATAAGTATTCTGGTGGAGGTCAACGAAATGCAGATCCGGAACCAGAGGAAACTCGGTTGTGAATAGGACGAGAGCAGATCGATCGTCGATGGTACTGGTTCCCGCCAGGACAGCGACCGAGAGTATCTGGGCATCCAACCGCGTCGATCTGCTTAGAATCAGGCTCAGACTCGGAGGTTATTCTAGCACCTAGCCAGTCCTAGTCGTCTGCGACAGACCATAGACCGTATGTAGCCGAGATGAGTATATGAGCAACTCGGCAGGGTCCTTGTCCATACAGGAGATGTGAGGCCAGCAGCAAACTTGGTGCGAACCAGACGGGTAACGAAGTTTCTGTATAGAGCAACGTGAAGGTTGTAGCGGGTGCTTTCGGAACCATGGAGAGACCACTTGGAGAGCACGGATCAATCATCGACGGTGCTAGCGAGTGAACAAGCGAACGGAAAAGAATGATTAAATATCAATCCGCAGTGTTGATTTCAGAATCAATAATCAGAGCCTGAGGCCGTTCCAGTCATCCATTTCATCAGGCATCAAGGGGAAATATCACTGAGATCCTAGCCTACCACTTAGTAGCACTAAAAAGCATGTTAACAAACTGAGAGCAGAACAGAGATGAGCTACAGACGAACGGAGGCTGAGGATGGATAGGTGATGTCCATGTAAGACCGGCAAGCTTCATGATGCGAACAGCTGTCCGCTTGCCACCGCCCATCCTTGTGATAAGTATACGCCAGCTGTACAACCTTCGTCCACAAACGTGCAGGGATTATGCAACGACGCCCACGGTATCCACAGGATCGACACGCCAGCAGCGAAAGAGAGCTCAAACCGTGGCAAGAGTCTGAGAAAGAAAAGAGTGCTGGGAGCCGTGACACGCACGGCAGATCTACCCGGGCCCGGCCGCCCAACAAGCGGCGCACAGCACTCTCGAAAGCCAGATTTGATATCACGGCTAAGTCAGTGCTCGCTCTATCCCCTCCGTCCACATCCACGTCGTCTGTTTCCTTCGCCCAGCATCCTTCCAGTCCTGGAGTGCTTGACAGTAGGAGCAGGCCAGGATGAGCGCGTCTTTAGCGGTGGGAATGGAAGGAGATTCAGTGACAGATATGGTCAGTGCCAGACCTCATTTCTATCCGAACACTCTCCGCCTCGTTCCTCCCTCGTGCGTCCGCGCTGACCTGTCCGTCTCTCCCTTTCACCCACCACTCACCCACACCTACCCACAACACAACATTACACAACGCAGACATCATCAAATTCAGCGCCCACAATCCCCGCCCGTTCTCCCCTCCGTCCCCCCCGCTCCTCCTCCAGACCAGGCGCAGATCCAGGCGCAGGGTCAGACTCGGACATGCCCCAAGTCCAATCCCGCTCCTTCGGCTCCTTCTCCAACCTCCTCGACGCCCTCCACCGCGACTCACACCACTCCGACGATTCCGCCACCCTCGTCCTCACCCCGCACACGCCTCCTCCCGAAGGATCATACGCCGACGATGATGAAGGGGAGGACGAGACGCCTACGATGAAGACGAAGGCCGTTGAGGTGGAGGTGCAGGAGGTGGGGCAAGAGGAGGTAAAGGAAGTGAAGACGAAACAGGTGTCGAAGAGGACGCATGCGTTGTTGGAGCTGTTGAATTCGGAGAGGGCGTATGCGAGCGATTTGGCGTTGATTAGGGATGTCCATATTCCGCTTGCGCTTGGTGAGTCTTCTTCCTTTTCTTTCTTCTGTTCTCCTGCATCTTTTCTCTCGGTTTTAGTTTCCGATTTGTTTGAGATTTGAGGTTTGGGTATGCCACGTTCAGGGGCGTGGGAGGTCGTGCGTCGTCTCTCGCAATGGTCATGCACCGTCCAGCGTCCGGCGAATGATCGGTCAAGCCGAGGTTAACTCGGGTCCGACCCCATGCTCTATGCTCGACTGTCCACTTGTATACTTATACATGTGCTTCCTATCCTTGGCCATCCCTGGACAGTGTAGAGTCTGTTGACTTCATCCCATTTCACCCTTTCCGGAGAATGCGGCCACAACCATGCTCGACTGGTTCACTGTCCACTTATGCTCTCCACTCTCCACTCTCCGCTATCTTTCATGTGTATGGTGCTCTGCTATCGTCCCGCTCGTATTTGCGGTGCGGATCAGTTTCCATATTCTTAGAAATGCTCGAGTCCGGGTCTGTTGACTTCATTTTCGTCCGGTCGGGGAACGCGGGTTAGCGCTAACAGTCGTACTTACGGTCGTCCATGGGCAATGTCAGTACAATCCCGCTTTGGATTTGTTTCCGTGGAGCATTGGCCTTTAATTTTCTTGCCATTAGACGACTAGATGCTAGGGTTTGGCTGTCTACCGCAAAAGAGGGGAGACTTGCTCATGCTCATGCATCATGTCATGGATAGACATGGACAAGGACGTGGCGTGAACACATCCGCGACTTATCCACTGTCCACTGTCCACTTGTACATCTGTGTATTTGCTTCCCCTCCTATCCCTGAACGCACTCGAGTCTGTTGCCTTCATTTCGTTTCGCCTTTCCGGGGAGCAAGGGCTCATGCGTTACTTATGTCGTGGGTGAACGCGGCGTGGCGTGGCGTGGCGTGAGGGATGGCGGGATGTCTCATTCCAGAATTGGTATTAGACGCGAAGTGTGGGACGCGAGACGCGTTCATGTCGTCTATTGGCCTCCGGCCTCCACTACAGCATAATGCGCTGTGACCTGCGGGCCTGGCCTTTGAGTCCGAGTCGAGTACTAGTTGGGCCACATTCGGGTTAGGTGTGGCGTGACGTGGCGTGGCGTGGCGCGAAGGACCCCTATACGGATACCGAACGAGCTTTCGAATTCGAACGCCGACTCACACTCTCTTTCCGTCTCTCTATCTAATTTATTCCACTCCATTCAACTTTATCCAACCATCGCACAATAAATACTCAATTGTTTTTTCTTTTTTTTGTTTCGGAATAATCACAGGCGAAAAAACGCCCTTCCCACTCACCCCGCCTCAATCCTCCTCATCCTCCGAGCGGACACTATCCACGTTCTCCGATTCGTCCACCGCCGCTTCTTCGATTCCTCCCACTGGGTCTGCCGCCGCCTCTGGCTCTGGTTCCGGATCGTCGAGCAAGATGCCACTCACGCCCAATCGCCTACCTGCGTCCTCCTCCGCTTCCACCTCCACCTCCACATCAAATACATCAACATCCACAGCAATAGGTCACACAGCAACCGGGACAGCAGCAGACCCACCCCCGCCGATGTCGAAAGAAGACGCGCGGACGATATTCTCCAATATAGGCGACCTCGCGCTTTTTTCGGATTTGTTCAGTGAGGAGTTGGAGAGGGCGCTGGGAGGGATTGTGGAGGGTGGGGAGGGGGTGGATTATGTGGGGAGGTTGTTTATTGAAGTTGTACGTCTTCTATTCCTTCCTTGTCTAACCATTCGTTTACCCACCCACTCACTGCTTACTCTTCGCGCGTGACTGTGTATACCCAGATCCCTCAAATCTCCCCAATGTACACGCACTACATAACCCGCCACCCCACCGCCCTCTCCCACCTCTCCCACCTCACATCCAGTCCCACCTCTTCCCCAACTCTCCTCCCGTACCTCTCCCACACACGCACCCTCGCCCAATCCCTAACCCACGCCTGGGACCTTCCCTCCCTCCTCATCAAGCCCGTGCAAAGGTTATTGAAGTACGCATTGTTGTTGAGCGCGATATTGGTGGAGACGGAGGATGGACATCCGGATAAGGAGAGGTTGAGGGAGGCGAAGGGGATGATGGAGAGGGTGGGGTGGGAGGTTAATGAAGGACGGAGGAGGAGGGAGATCGTTAGAGAGGTACTTGTCGCGGGGGGGATTGTTAAGCCTCCCCCTGGTGCCGGAGGAGAGGGCGACGGAGACGGAGGGAAGGAGGGAGAGGGGAAGGAGGGGAAAGGAGCGAAAGAGGGAGGAGGAGGGACGGCGGGAGAGATGACGGTGGGCGCGGCGAAGAAGCGTGGTGGAGGCGCTGCTATCGCGCTCGCCGTCGCTGCTGCTCGCTTGAAACCCGGTCCACCCGGTCCTGCATCCTCTGCCCCCAAAGCACTCGGTGCGAGCCAGAAGGACGAGAACGAAGAGGCGGAGAGGGTGAAGGAGATGGAGAAAGAGATGAAAGAGATAGAGGCGTTTATTGAGACGTTCGCGAGTGGGGCGGTGGGATGGGCGAGAGAGTCGAGGGAGATGATGGGGAAGTTGAGTGGGTGGGCGAAGGGGTTCGCGAAGGTGCTTGGTATACCCGTTGCGGAGGTTTCGTCGCCTGATCCTCCTGCCCCTCCTCCGCCCACAACAAGACACCGGAAACAGTCGAAAGGTGCTGCAGAGCTCGAAGAAGAGCGTGAGCGTGAGAAGGAACGTGAAAAGAGGCGAAGGAGGAGAAGATCGCCCTCGCCATTACCAGCGACTCAAGAAGGCGGCTCCGAAGCCCTCGACGCCTTCGTCCGAGTAGTCGACCGCCACCTCATCGAATCCTGCACCGACCTCAGCGCCATCCTCAACCAACATCTCCTCCCGCAACTCGCCCTCCTCCTCAACACCACAAAGGCACCACACTGCCTCCTACACACGATGCATAACCTCGAACCCGCACATCACGCTTTACTACACCACAACATCTCCAAAGGCCGTCCGCCCGCCGCGCTCCTCGACGCATCCACATCCTACCTCGCACTACGAGCGCAACTAGCCGACGAGCTCCCGCAGTATTTAGCACTGGTGCATAAAGGCCTTTTTGGCGCTGTGAGGAGTTGGACGGCGATACAGGCGCAGTGGTGGGCGGATGTGAGGTATAAATGGAGGGAGTTGTGGGATTGTTTGAGGGTGGAGGGAGAGAGGAATGAAGGGTTGGAGATGACGGAGGGGATTTGGAGGGAGAGGTGGGTCGAGGCGGAGGCGGCTGTTGAGGCGCTGGGGATCGTGCATCCGCCGAGGGTGATGTTGAAGGCTAGACGGTCGACTACCGCTACTACGGCGAGTAGTAATGGGGCGAGGAGGAATGTGAATGAGGGGGTAAATGGGAAGGAGAATGGGAAGGCGGAGAGGGTGGCGGCGATGTTTGGATCGTTGGAGTCGACGATCGTCACTTCGCCCGATGAAGAGGCCTTCGTCGTCCCTTCTGCCCCTGTTCCGTATCCTCAACACACCGGCAAAGGACGTCCCAGCCTCCCGTCCTCACTTCCAGACAGCCAGTCGTACGACCCCAGCAGACGCCGAGCACATACACAGCACACACTTCGTTCGAAAGACTCCGACGAGTCTCTGCGCTCGATCCGGTCTGCCAAATCGGGGCAACAGCGCCAATCGACCTACTCCGGCCATTCGGGTCATTCGGCTTTGGACGTGCCGCTCATGCCCGTGCGAGGTCCTTCGCCTTCGTCGTCGTCATCTTCGAAGAGGAAGAGTATGCCGATGCCACTAAGGAAGGCGGCGTCGCAGGGGAGGATGTTCATGGATGGGTTGTCGAGGAGTCCGAGACCTGAGGAGACTTTCGAGTCGCAGTATCATCATCACGACCAACAACAACCTGAAGACCGAGAACGAGACAGGGATGACCGAGGACGCCAGAAGAAAGGACACGGGCAACATCTAGCGAACCTGATGGACTCGATGCGACCCGGGGCCGTCAAACGACGCTCATCCTCCCGGAAAGCACGGCAGCAGAAACTGGACCTGAACTTCGAACTCGACAACGGCGCGGCGGAGTATAGCCCGCCTCTTTACGAGACGTTCCATCGCCAGCAGCAGAATCAGCAGCAGCAGCCGAAGCGGACGACGTCGGTCGCGGCTGCGGTCGAGGGACATACGCACTCGTACTCGCGCTCGCAGTCGTATACTTCGCATCCGTATGCGAACCCGGACGCGCACGGTCATGGTGCACGCAGTTCGAGGACGCTGCAGTACGCGTCCCCGCCGGCGTCGTCTGGAAAGCCTGCAGGATCAAAATACGCCTCGGCGCGTGCGTTGTATGCATGTCGCGTCATCCATGCGTGCGAGCCGCCCGATGGAGTCTCGTACCACGGCCTGCCGTTCTTCAGGCTCGAATTGGGCGACGTGTTCGATATATTGAAGGAGGCGGGGCATCCGAGCGTGCATGAGGATCTGCCGCTTTATGTGGATGATGGCGACGATTGTTTGTTGTTGGCGAGGGAGACGAGCGGGACGGGCGAGATTGGGTGGGTGTTGGCGAGCTTCTTGTATCCTGTTGATTGAGTGAGGCGGGTGTGGTGAGGTGAGTGGACGGAAGGTTTTTGCGGTAATTTTATTTGGTGCTTTTATCCCCTTTCTCTGGATGTGCTTCGGATATCCCTCTTTTTTTCTTTTCTCTTTCGGTGGAGATGTACACAGTTTGATATTTTTTCTCGAGTTATTCTTTGTTGTGCGCGTCATTCACCATGTTTCATGCTCATGCTCTTGCTCTTATTGACTTTTTTTCGACTTGCATAATGTGTGTGTACGATCGATCTCGGTGCTTTGTTCCTCCCCCTATCTCATCTCATCTCATCTCGCCCCATTTTCTGCTCATAACCCATTCACCTCAGCAATCATATTCCCTTTCTGCAGCTGCTTGTCTTTCTTGGAGGCCCGGAGACCCGGAACCCGAACCCTACTTCGCATCACATTCCTGAGCTCGCTCGCTTGCCTACTGACTTGCTCTTTTCGCTATACGTATAATAATCGTCGTCTCGTCTCGTCTCGTGTTGTCTGGCTTACCTGCTTGTTCTGCTTCGGAGAGGACTCCAGTCTCGGTTCGGTTTACGGTTTACGGTTTGTTCAAGGACTCGGTACTAGCGCAATAGTAAGTAGATGCCTTTCGGGTCACCACCATGACGTTCTCCGTTTTTGTTCTCAATTGACAGTGATCGGATCACTTCGAGCTGTTGCTGTCGATTTATCACGGTAGACCCCAGAGTTCAGAGATGTATGTTGCATGCGTTTTTGTGAGCGCGTTGCTATCCATTTGCACTTTGTCTTGTCACACCATGCATGAATCTACCCCATTGACAAGAGAGGCCGGCCCCTGGGGTTTCTGGTCTGGCGACAGAGTTCGATTCAGTTGGTGAGTTCTCCTATTTATACGATATCTTTCGCTCTCCTACTCATTTGCTTTTCCTGGGGAGTACTCAGTGCGAATGTCGATCAAGAGCTTGGAATTATGGACCAGTGCGGCTTGTCATACTTCGTGTGCCCAATTCCAATTTGAGTCTGAGCGAGCTGATGGTCCGGGAGGCAGCGATAAAATACTGAGTGGAAGCGGTGACTTCGTTCGTACGACCGCACGGCTGAGGGTGATATGGTGCGTCACATCGTCCCGCTTTCTTTGCAGGGGTGTTTTCTGACCGATTGATGGTATGGTTATTGTTGCAATAACATCGAGCTCGCCAACGGCAAGGACTCGAACGAACCAATGTCAGACGTCCTCGTCAGAGTCTAAGGGTGCAAGGAAAGTGACATGATTCGGAGTCACAGGTGAATCTTGGCTTCAAATACGGATGCTTCGCCCAACTATGCATGACATTGTCCCATTCGACTTGTCTTCTCTTGTGTTTCACGCTACGAATTGCGACCAGCTGGAGCCTGTCATGTCTCATCAGCCTTTTGTGCACGGATAGACAAGATTAGTCCCTCCTGTCGAAGTTACAGTGCGGAAACTCTGCCACTAGCGAGCGTCCCCAAGGTCTTCTTGGACGTTGGTCTCCATTTGGTGTCACCTCGCGGCAATGACAGATTTATTTGCTTACATCGTGCTTTACGGAGCTGGAGGCGATGTGAGCAGGCTTTCATTAGTACAACATGGGCTTAGTCCCGCCTTGGGAGTCGTGGTACATTCTTTACTAGCAGGGTGCCACCGCGTTTCAGTGGGGGACCGTTTTGCACTCTGAGTGATTCCTTCGCCCTCGAGGAACCAAACATGTATGCGGCCTGTGGATGCCACGTGTTTGTAAGCCTGGGCCACCGGTGCCACAGCTTACAGCGGAATTATCCGAGTTTTCGGACTCCGCTATCGTTCGTCTTCGTCGACTTCGCTTCGCGTCGTCCTCTCTCTAGTTTACCTTGTCACACCGTTTGTACATCCGTACCCGTAGAGTCTCTGTTCCAGGGAATACAGCGCGGTCCTCTCAAGCTTGGACCGAACCCCTCAGTGTTGTCAGCTCCCAGCCAGGGCATGCTTTCAGTGTTATCACTTCACAGCATCGGTGGCTACCAGCCTCTTGACTTGATTGATTTATATATAGTGCTAGCATCTTGTCGTGAGAACTGACTTCTTCGTCTCCAGGACCTAAACCTCTTCGTAGCATCACCACGATGTCCTCTGTTCCTACCTTTGATACCCTCATCTTCGACCTCGGTGATGTCCTATTCACTTGGGCTCCGGACCCTCTTTCACCTGTTACCCCAACTATGATGTACCGCATCCTCAGGACTACGACCTGGTTTAACTATGAACGAGGGGACCTATCTCAGATAGCATGCTACGAGCAAGCAGCCCGGCAGATGGGGGTCACCGTTCAAGACATTGCCTCCGCATTTCGAGCCGCTCAGCAGACCCTCACATTCCGCACCTCCATCGTCGACATCATCCGGGAGCTTAGACCAGGTCGAAAGATCTACGCCATGTCTAACATGTCTGCACCCGACTGGCAGATCGTTCAAGCCCGTTTTTCAGACTGGGACATCTTCGATGGCGTCTTCGTCTCCGCGGAGGTGGGAACCCGCAAACCAGACTTCGGTTTCTATCGCCATATACTCGAGCAGACGGGAGCAGATGCATCACGTACCATCTTCATCGACGACTTAGTTGACAACGTCCTCGTCGCCCGCTCTTTCGGAATGACTGGAATTGTTTATCAAGATGTCAGCAACCTTGAGCAACTACTCCGATGTCTCTGCTTCGACCCGGTCGAGCGCGCACAGGCGTTCATGCGGGCTAACGCGAAACAGCACGTATCATACACATCCGACAACCAAACCATCGAAGAAAACTTCACTCAGCTACTGATTCTCGAGGCCACTGGCGATTCGTCACTGGTTGACTATGTCGAGTACGATGGACTCTTCAACTTCTTCCGTGGAGCTGGCCAGCTCACCACGAAAGACTACCCCTACGATTCCGACACTAGCGCCATTGGTGTTATGGTGGCTCCCCACCTATCGCTTTCTTCAAAGCACCGAATCCTAGACGATATTCTTCACCTTCGCAATGCAGACGGCATCGTTCAAGTATACTTCGATCCCAGCCGCCCTCGGGTCGACCCCGTCATCTGCGTTAACGTCCTCGCGGCGTTCTATAGCAATGGTCGAGGGAATGAGCTGAAGGAGACGTTTGAATGGGTTTTACAAGTCCTGAAGCATCGTGCGTATATTGATGGTACGGGATACTACCCACCTCCGGAGGCCTTCCTATAGTATGTCTTTCTTTCTCGTGGCATTTCATATTAGCACTCACTTTCTTCGTACCAACACAGCTCTTTCTCCAGGCTTCTCAATGTTGTCTCCCCCAAAACTCGTGGTCGTATTACTCCTCTATTTGCGGAACGCTGTCGCGAGCGCCTTGGAGCCAGCGGCGACGCTCTCGCCCTGGCCATTCGCGTCATATGCTGCAACCAAGTCGGGATTGACCCATCAACAGATCGTTCGACACTTTGCAAGATGCAGGATGTGGACGGTGGATGGAAGGACGGCTGGTTTTACCGTTATCCTACTACTGGGATGCTCATAGGGAATCGTGGTTGTACAACTGCGTTGGCTATTAACGCGATCAAGGGCGCGAGAGCGAGAGCCGCTGCCGGTTCGGAGGTCATTGGAGAAATGATACTGGGGATTCCGCTTGCATCACACTAGTAAGTTTTTCATGTATTATCCATGTTGAATTCAGACACCCACTGATTCGACGCGACACTAACCTTTGACCGTAACCGTGCAGGCTCCTGGACCTTGTGCATGTTTTGGTCTGAATCACTTTCTGCTCGCGTAATAATTGCGCAATGCTTGTACACAATTTCACACTTTGTCTCATCCAATGTCCCGCTCATGATCAGCCTCCGACACTCCAGCAATCACATTCTCTCTACTTTCCGTTTCCCAGTCTCTCTCAGAGACCAAACCCTGCTTCGCATCCCTGAGCTTATATTTTTGCTGTACGAATATAGTCGCCCTCTTGTCCTGATTGCATGCTTCGGAGAGGACTTCATCCAGTTCCACTCTGTTGGAGGACTAGATGCCTTCGGGTTATACGTCCCCTTCTTCCTTTTCTTTGTTGCCGTTTAATCATTCCGAGCTGCCGGTATCTTTGAGATGCACCGTGCGTGATCATATGGCCTCCATCACTATCCACTACATTTGTCTTGCCGCACTACATTTGTGGGTGCCGAGGGGCACCGTTGAGGCGATGCGACCACAGCCGAGGAATATTCTCTGTGGAGGTGACATACCCACTCCAGAAGACAGGTTTCGTTTCGACAAGAAAACAAGATCTGGTAAGTGCTAATATATAACCCCTCCGACCCTCTCGTCTCACGAACACGTCTCAATTGGGCATTTTGAGCAACGAACGCTCTAATCCAGGCGACATGAATCAGCGCTCCGATATGCCACCGGCAGTGTCCTCGAAATGACGTCAAACTCTCATGACGTTAGGCGATGCGGTGCGCTTACTTGTGTCTTCCAGGAGCTTTGTATATTCCATCGAGCTCTTATGGGATCTATATAAACAAGAAGCTATCCTCGAGCAAGGATCACCCACCCCTTCACCCAGATAAAACCTCTCAGAAGCAATCCAAATTCCCGAAACCATGGATTTTACATTTCCCACTTCAGACCGACCCAAGGACTCGAACCGCTTTCTACGTCTACGCTCTCATGTAGGCCTTGGTGCTCGTCGACTCCGATCTCAGATATCGCAGAACATAGACCCTTTGACCGCAGCCCTGATTCCTCCCGCCAGTGAGAGCTTCGCGCAGCGGCAGATCCGCAGGTTCAAGGAGATTGACGCCAGACGGGTGAGCGATGCGATCGACGAAGATTTAGAGAAGGAGAGGGCGCGGATGGTGCAAACGCAGCGGAAGGAAAGAGCCCGAAGGGATTCAATCGCCTCCGCTAGGGTGGCATTCGCTTCCCCAGAAGAAGAAGAGGCGTGGGTGTGGGCAGATCAGGGGATGTGGTCGGACTCGGAGTCTCTCGATCCGGTCGTGGTCATGAGAAAACAGTTGAAACTATTCGCCCTTTTTCTAGGATTTGAGATCGAGGATGGTGAGATTGAGGACCGGGCTTCAAGCTTTCTATGTAAGACTAACTGAGGGTGTACTTCATTTTGATGCAGAACCCGACGAGGATCGTACGAGTGCTCGGGGGCCCTTCTCCAATCTTATAAATACCAAGTTTGAGGAGTTCTGTGTCGACATCTCCGAAGAAGTCTTGCAGCGGCAGCGCAGTGTCATGCCTAGGGTGTGCTCTGGTACGTCACAGTCTCTACGTCGACGTTGCCTGTCCTGATATTCTTGGAACTCCAGGAAAGATTCTCTACCGGGCGGGGAGCGATAACCTTCTTCCCAAACGATTGCACATTCGTAAATCGCTATCGTTAATCACCGATTCTAGGTTTAGAGACTTGGTAGGGGATGTTCGATTCGAACTGACGCAGCGTTGGTTGCATGACTTGGTATGATATACGTTATTTATAACTGGTTCTAATTATTGACTGCATCGCACCCTGCACAAACAGATGTCAGAGCATCGGGTTACTGAAAATTCGACTTCTGGGGGCCATTCCTTCTCCGAGGATCGTTCATCTACGTCAACACTCGCGTCATATGAGACTCGATCCATGATTTCTCTGGTCTCATATTTCACCGGAAAACCATCTGATATCAATGACACGGCGAAAGACGCGAGCGAAACCCCTCCATCTCACCTCCGCCACATCATCAAGAATTACATGTCGGACGTTCTGACTAGCACAATGGAACCCTCTTCGCCACTTGTAGAAGGTGATGACCAACCTTACACGGAAGTCACGTCCACTCAACCTCTCCAGGGTGAACTTCATGAATGTGCTCCCAACGACGATGCTGCCGCCGTACAGCCCTCCCTTCTACCTCAGGTGATATACGATGCTTCTACTAACGTCTCAGCTGCCGGAGAGTCGTTATTTGACAGGTTCACTTACTATAAGGAGTTGAGAGACGCCCAGACAGACTCTGACTATGAGCGTACTCTTGAGAGGCTCCTCAAAGAGTGGTGGGCCGTTGGTGCGTCAGTGAGTGCTACTGCATAGTCTTTTGTCGCTGATCACGTTCTAAGTAATTATCCTTCTTGAAGCTTGTCGGAATAGCTGCGTAAGTGGCCAAACTATTGATCACACTACCCTCTACCGTATACTGGTATTAACGGCCATCTGATACATTTGCTTGATAGCTTTAGCTTTACTCTCGCTGGCTACACGCCAGACAGTGCCTTTGGATGCGATGGCTTCGCGAAAGCAGCAGTCGCAATGTCAAGCATCACCGCTGGTATAGGTCTATGTACAGATGCGTGGTTCCTACTGGCATACTCTTGTGCGAATGCCGATAAGTTCAAGGTGCGTCTCTACTAGATTTATTTGAACCCCTTTGTTCTTGATTTCTAATGTGTCCTCTTTGCGGCATGAATCACACAGGCCCTTGCGATGGATGTCTACCAGTCGTTCTTTTTCTTCTCCATCGCGTCCCGCCTTCCTATCATTATGCTAGTTTGCGCATCCATGTCATCGACCGCCGTTCTCATCGCTATCGCATGGTCCAACTCTGGAAATCTTGTGTTAGGCGTGTGTCTCTGCGCGGCCGCCCTCTATTTTCTGCAGTACATCATCCTAGCTATCGACTTTACGTGGCGTGGAGTCCGTCGAGTCTGGAGTTCTTCGTACATGCTCATTGTTAGGATTGGATTATTTCTAAGAATGCTGTGGTAGAATCGTAGTGCGTGGGCTTGATGTAGGCATGTAGTTGATCACTCATCTTGTAATACAATAATTTGCTTTGGGTTCCAACTTTAGCAGAGTGCAACTGAGTGCAGTTCGAATCACAGTGTTGTGTTCTGTAAGCGGTGAGTTACACTCTTCTAAGGCTTATGGCCAGGTTCTTGAGAAGTGCGGATGGCTCTTGGGCAGCTCACGTCGAGGTGAAGGTTCATAAATATCGGGATGTTTTATTCGGTGTCTCCTCACACAGGCAGATAGATCCCTGTGCATTCCATTATTAGCAGCATGGCGCAGCTGGTATAGCGCGCAGGCCCATAACCCTGAGGTCCCTCGATCGAAACGAGGTGCTGCTACTAGAGCAAGATATAGAGCCAACATTTTACGTCCATTTCTCAACTTTTTGATCTTGAGTAACCATCGACGAAACGTAGTGTATCAGAAAATCAGGTGTCACGAAAGCGGGGCAATCAGGTATACAATTCTGGTTCGACTTCCAGTTACACACCTACAAACTGCACCCAGCGGTTACATCATAAAATACATCCATATGGCTGCTCAGTCCTCAGTCCTCAATACGTTCAATCTATCCGACATAAAGATATCGCCCACCCCACGCGCTCACTCGATCTTGACCTTATACGTCGCGCTCAGCTCCGCCGGCTCATTGAACATGTTGATATCCCACTTCGGATTATACGCCGCGGGGGTATTGAACCGTGTGTGGTTGTCCTTCCCGATGGCGGATATCTTCTCGTAGTCTTCGGGAGAGAGGACGATCTGCTTGAAGTTGGATTTGATACGCTCTGTATCACACCATGTGGTAAGTATTCAAGAGGGTCATGAAAGGGAGGGGAACGCATGAGGCGGTTTAGGGTTGAAGTAGAGATACGCGTACCTTCTTTGACGGATTTTGGGATGACGGAGTAACCGCGGTATGCGCCCCAGGCGACAAGGACCTGAGCAGTCGTAGCTCCAAGCTTGTCCGCGACCTCCTTCACAGCCGGATAATCCACAAGCTTCGTCTTGCCAGCCACTAAAAACAACGTAAGAGTCAATACGATGTCACTAGCACATACTAAAGGTGAAAAGAGCGCACAGTTGTTGCCCAACGGACTATACGCCGTAAGATGAATACCCTCCTCCTTGCAAAACGCCACCAAATCGTCCTGCGGCAACAGCGGATGCGCCTCGACTTGGTTCACCACCGGCTTCACGCCCGTCGCCTTCGTGATCGCCTTGATATACTCGATGGTGAAGTTCGAGACGCCGATCGTCTTGACCTTACCCGTCTTTTGGAGCTCGATCATTTTCTTCCAGGTGTCGACGAGGGAGACTTCCATGTCGAGGGCGATCTGGTTTGGGATGGTTGGGTGGGGTGGGAAGAGGCCGTTGGTGTATGGACCGGGGAAGGCGCAGGGCCAGTGAATGACTACATGATGCGTGAGTACGATAGGCGCGGGAATGTGGCGTGCTATGGTGGTGAACTTTGAAGAGAAAACGTACGGTAGAGGTCGAGGTAGTCAACACCGAGCTGCTTGAGTGTGTCGTCGAGCTCGGGCTCTGCGTTCTCTGGCCTGTGCGAGGTGTTCCATAGCTTGGAGGTAATGAAGAGGTCTTCGCGCTTGACGATCGAAGGAATGACTTTCTTCAGTGCTGCACCAACCTATATCATATCATCCATATATAAATCGACGGCGCTCTCAGATACGGTATCGCGAAGTACACACCTCGTCCTGGTTTTCGTAGACCATGGCACAATCGAGGTGACGGTATCCAGCCTTCACAGCCCACTCGACCTAGCTCCATAGAATCCAACCACAGTCGACATCAGGGCATGAGAATCAGTATCAAAGTACTGACACTGATAAGTTACAAGGGAACGGACATACCGCGTACTCCACCTCCTTCGGCTCAGACAACCACGTCCCAAGCCCGATCTGCGGGATCTTCTTCTCGTTCGACAAAGTGATGATATTTCCGAGAGACATCGTTCGTGGTAATTCGATGGACGAGTGATTGGGTGGGTAGATGGTAGGTTATAAAAGCAGACAGCGAGCGGTCGAGGGAAGACGAAGGCCTTTTATAACTTCAGCATGTCCTGTGGGAGAGGCGGCCCGACGGTCCGTTCAATCAGTTGACTCTTCGAGGGGACGGGTGGGGATGTAAGATCCCGCAAACTCCTAGCGACAGATCCTATTATCGATTGACCGCTGATACACCGAGGGATGCATAAAGGTTGAAACGTCGATGACGTCTCGAGACTATCATAAACAGAGATGAGAGCATAGAGCACGGCAAAAGTTGCAGAACGGTGTGAACTTGCAAGATGATGTCAAGCTGAGCCTAACAGATAACCAAGGTGCCGAGCCAAGTTCTGTCGTCCCATATACACATTCTTTTCACGGGCACAAAGATGGGGGTGAATATGGTTTCGTTGTGGTCGTTGTGGGTCACAAGAAAATGGTCGCGACCAGAAAGAGCCAGGGGAATACCGGACCGTCGCCCCGCCTAAATTAGGATAACGCAGGCGTAAGGCCGGTGAACGGCAGGTCCCGCTACTTGGAAGGATGACCACGAACTGACTTTTAATGCTTCGTACTACCCAACCAGTGCATCAGACAATGCAACTTCACGGAACATAATAATTGATATTTGCTCAAATAATGGGAGAGTAAGCTGCGGCCAACATTTGTGTTTTGACGAAAGCTTTGCAGCACATTCATTTTAAGGCTCAGCCGACTACATGAATATTCCTTCCTAAGTGCTGTGATGCGAGCTTTCAGTATTCTTTGACTGGTGATTGGGATGCATGCATGCACAGCGGACTATCATCAGGGACCGGGAACAAATGCTTGTTGATCAAAATATAGGAGCAACCATGCACAAAGTATCGGAAGGGGCAGCAGAGACTATATCCAATTGACAATAGCCATCAACTGAGACAAAAATATTATACTACAGGTATTACTGCAATCAACAGACATCGAA